GAAGTACTAGTAAGTGTACAAAGAAAATAACTTAATTGAGGCCATCTTTTAAAAAATCTTTGTTTGCCCTCTCAGACTGGCTGAAAATGGCCTGTCTCAAAACTTTTTAACCTCCAGGAAATAATAATTTTTTTCTTTTCATTCCTGAATTTTTTCATACCGTCAATAAGTATTTTAATTTTAATTTTATATTGATATATTTTGAAAATGTAATTGTATTGGGGAAAAAATTTACCACGTACCTACCGACTCAATTTTTTTTTTACCCGAGTGGGGAGAGGGCAACAAAACTACGGCCTGATATATTGTAAGAAGAAAAGATCAGTTATTCTTTTTTTTTTTTAAAAAATATTTATAATAGTACAAAATGTTATTCTTCAGTACAATGGGCTTGATTCAGGTACTGTACAGACTTAATCAAGGTGCATGATAATATGTACATGTAAACCACTTCACAAAATGAAAACAAGGTTTAATATGTGCTCTGAAAAAATATGAAGATACAAACAGTAATCAAACTCAAAGGTCCATTGGAACAATACAAGTTGGGAGCACAGTAAACACATCGACCATAGAAATTAACTGTCGAAACTAGGAAATCCTATTTGTGTGTGTGTGTGTGAGGGTGTGTGTGTGTGTGTTGGTGGGGTGGGGTGACTTTCTTTGACACTTTGGGACATTTTTTTTCTAATCCTGGATTTTGCCAGTCCCCAAAAGGGGGGAGGGGCAGCATCAAAATACTATCCTCAGAAAAAAGTTCTATTGGCTTGACTTGGAAATTTAAGGATAAATAACACTAACTTTTCTTCAGAAATATGAAATAATATGAAATATGAAATAATTCTAATAGATTTATGTTCTGTTCATATAGATAACTTGAATAATGTTATCCAGAGTAGATATTGAAATTTTGCAAAATTTTAAAGAAATGTCAAAAAATGTATGCATAAATTTTCACATAGAAAATGGCACAAAGTCACATATTTAAACACCAAAATTCACAATGATAACCAAATACAATTTTAGGTACATGTAATATTTTCATTCATAATTGCCGTTAATCAAGACATATCGAATCAAACAATATTTTAGCACCGGAACTATTGACTATAGTAAGTAGGGGTCAAAATTTTAAAATTTCAAAAGTCAATATCGCGCGTGTGTCCTCATCCGGCATTTACAGCAACTGTAACATTATGAGAATAAAATTGATCAGATGGTTGATTTTTCGAATAGGGATGATATTTCACTCCTTCATAAGTGCTTGCCCCAGCTCATTGGTAGGGTAAATGCGAGACAAAGATGAATTTTGATGAATAATCCTTTTAAAAGTACACATATTTTTATATTTAATTATGTTGATATATATATATATATATATATATATATATATATATATATATATATATATATATATATATATATATATATATATATATATATATATATATATATATATATATATCATATTACTGTACCGAAATAAAATACTGACACACTTCACCATTTCATTATGTAAATGTTGGGAAACGATTTATTTCTGATGGACATTTTACCAACGCACAACAGATTCGGCCCAAACCCGTGTAATTGATAAAATGAAATTTAGATTTCAACAAAATCACAAAAATGCAAATACATTATTGTATCCTTTTAAAATTGATTTAATTTAGACGACTGAATTTCTTCATATTTTATGTTGCGCTAGCAGTAATATACGGACTCTAGGTTTTTTGATGAATAAAGCTTTATCATGGCTTAAATATTAGAATTATTCATAACTTCAAATAATACAATTAATTTCATTCTAAATTTTTAGCAAATACTATAGCTTGAAAACGGCAGTTTCTTGGCGACATATACAATGTAATGCCCTGAACGCAATTTAATTCGCATTAGTTTACTTCGCATTAATTTACTGCGAATTAAACTCTCCGTGTGAACAGGGCATAAGAATCAGATATTAAAGTACCAACTCTGTGTGCAATGTCTTTGTTTTCGTCCGTCGTCGTGCGACGTGCATTAATATTTGAGCATTTTCAGCATCTCTCTAGAACCACTGTACCAATTTCAACCAAACCTAGCTTATAACATCTATGGGTGAAGGGGAACAAAAATTATAAATTTTATGGCCCCTGCCTTCCTGAGGGGTGGGGCAAAAACCATCAAAATTATAGCAATATTTAAATATCTTCTTTGCTCCTGGACATCAGGAAGTGAAATTGTTGGCATGATTGGAAAAAGCATTGAGCCCTCTACCAAAATTGTGGAATTCAGTTAATAGTGCTAAAGTTTGGCTCCACTGGTCTTGTAGTGAAAGTGCATTAATTCTTTGAAAATCATCTTATCTGCTCCTGGTCATTTAGAAAACAAATTAAGTGAATGGTTATGATGAGCCAAGGGTGCTTCTTCCAAAATAATTGTGTAACTCATGGCCCCTGTGTCAGCGATCCTATTGGTAGGGAGGGGCTCTTTGATCATATACTGAAAATGCATAAATTCTTTAAAAATCTTCTTCTCTGCTCCTGGGTATTTAGTATAGAAACTAAGTAAATGAGTGCATAGTTATGACAATTACGATAGCATCTTCCATAATTATGAAATTCATTGCCCCTGGGTCAGGGGTTATGGTGTTATGTCGAGGCTCCATTGCTCATATAATTCTTTTTTTATAGAGAAACTAAATGCATGGTTATGTTAAGCAAAAGTGTATCTCACAAATTTGTGAAATTTATGGGCCAGGGGCTATGGTATTACGTAGGGTCTCCATTGTTCATATAATGAAAATGCATTAATTCTTTGGAAGGTTTTTTTTAGTATTAAGCAGAGAAACTATGTCATAGTTATGATGAGCAAGAATGTATCTTACAAACTTATGAAATTGATGGTCCCCAAGACAGGAGTTTTGGAGTTAGGATTCTGTGATATCATGCATATATGGGAATTTTTACTCTGCTATAAGAGAATTCCTCCTTATTATTCACTCATAATAATTAATCAATGTAATTGATGTAAGTGATAGTAAAATTGAACAAAAGAATTCTATAATAATTTCTTATATATAATAAAAGAGTTCTTCCAAAGTCTTTAAAAATCAAGTAAACTTGTAAATAGATGAATAAGAATTAGACAAAATTTCCATGTACATTAGATATAATTCAATCAGGCATTTGTACAAGATTCCAGAGGATGGTATTTCCTGTATATTCCTACTGGAAATCACAATGCAATGCTTTGTTGATATCACAATTTGTGGTCTATATATATAATTTCAGGCATTTTGAAAACAGCTTAGAAATCAGAAGAAAAAAGTCATAAATAATTTTGGTAAATAACGAAGAGATGCAAAATTATATATTTAAGGAACATTAAGGAAAGTTAGACCTTTTAAAAAATCTATTGTTAACTTAGTGAGTGGACTCTTAATGTGGAATATTATGCAAGTAGGAAAAATGAGCCAAAATATTAGTTATATAGAATTAATTGAAAGGTATTTTTGTAACATTAAAACGATAAACATATTTATTATGTTGACATGAAACTTATTTATGTCAGTTTGCAACTTAATTATGTTAACATGCAGCTTACTTATGATAAAATGCTACTTTTCTATGTTGACATGCATTATGAATATGTCAACATGCATCTTATTTATGTTGACATGCAAAGTAAATATACTGAAATGCCATTCATTAATGTTAACATGCAACTTATTTATAATCACATGAGAAATAAGTTGAATGACCACAGGAATATGTTGCATGTCAACAAACTGTAGTAAATAAGTTACATGTCAACATAATATAGCTGTATGTCAACATAAATAACTTGCATGTTGACATGTTAAAAGTTACATGTCAACATGAGTAAGTTCCATTTTAACACAATATATAAGTCGCATTCCAAAATAAATAAGTTGAATGTCAACAGAAATAAGTTGCATGCCAAAAACAAACATAAATAAAGTGTATGTCAATACACATAAGTTGTATGTCAACTTAAGTAATTTATAAGTCAACATAAGTAATTTACAAGTCAACATAAGTAATTTATAAGTCAACATAAGTAATTTATAAGTCATCATAAAGAAGTTGTATCTGGTGGAAGTCACATGTAGAAAAAATTTTCAAATACTTATGTGGTCAACTTATTTTGCAATGTTGACATATTTATAATGCATGTTGACACTTTTATCTTGCATGTTGACATAATTATCTAACATTTTGATGCAATTGATAGAAAAATAACTTGCATATAGGGCCAGAAATATGCCACCATAATTTCCCATCCTGAATATGCGGCTGTATGTTAAAGAAAAATGTCCATTTACATCTTTATACACTTTATAGGCCCTTTATGAAACCTAAGTATGTAGGTTTTAGGCACTTATTTTCACCAAATGTGTCCACAAACAAAAGATAAACGCCTTTGCATTTTTGTGTTCCATGTGGGACTATCTCCAATACAAAAACACCTACAATCATGCATGGTTAGTCATTTTTTTTCTCGAACATTAATACATGTAGTTTTATTTGCTGTACATTCCAGTAGCAAGGTTCCATTTTTTTTTTTTGGGGGGGGGGGGTTTAAGTCATAATTTAACCAAGAATCTCGTTATAATTTTACTGACTGTAAAAGATGTTTTATATATATTATATATATATATATATATATATATATATATATATATATATATATATATATATATATATATATATATATATATATATATATATATGAAATAATTTTTACATGATAAAATAAACTTATTATATAATAATCATTTCAATTTTCAGAAAAATGAACACTGACGACTAGATCTGAGGAATTATTCACCATGCACCACATTTGGACACCTTCTACAGTGTAACACCTACATCTCTAGCCACATTTTCAGATAAAGTGATATATGGGCTTATTTACATGATTAAGCTTTCATAAGCCTTTTATATTGAGGAATGGTTATTAATGTCCATAGGCACTAAATCATAACAAGAAAATTCTATAAAATCAGGATTTATTTTTATTCCATCAATGTCAAAGATTAGTTTGTACGACTTCTTACATTATCATTAATGTATATCAAACATAGGCCTATAAAAGCTCCTTCAGATTTACATAAATTTATAAAGAACATTGTTAAAGTACAATTCTTATCCAATTTACATATAAATCACTACAAAATGCAACAAATTTTCTTGTACTTATTTAGTCAATTTTGATCCTGGTCATTTTTCCATGAATAAAAAAAAATTCAACACAAATATTAAGGAATACACCACATGTCTAGAAATCAACTATAATAAGCCTGGCAACAAATTTTAAACCAGAGATCCATGGCTACAATCCTTGGAGATTTACCTGAATAATACCTTTGCAATGAGACATTATATTCCTTCATAAAACTATTGAACCCAATCACTGAACCCTCTGGATTATGATAAAGAATAAAATTTAAATCTGCATTATAAAGGGATACTTGCCTATAGGTAATTACTAATTATGTTCTGCAGAAAAAAGATTTTTTTTAAAAGACTGTCATATGTATTATCATTTCCATGTAAAAATTCAAATCCATGTTATGACCTAGTCCCATTAGTCATGACATGTTAGATCTGCATAAATTTGTCTAATGTACTCCAACTGTTCTCGAATGAAAGTTTTTTGTTTTTTTTTAAAATCAATTCATGCACCTTTGCAAAAAATTAACCCATTCATGTCCCTCATCAAAATCTGATTTGGTTTTATCTGATTTTTGAGTTTTGATCTGAACAAACTGGAATCTACACTACATGGAGAAAAAAAGTATCTAAATGACACCACTGTTACAATGCAAAATGTAATAATGCAAAATGTAACTGGGATTTTTACATTTTGCGTCGATATCAATGCAGAATGTTATAACACAAAATGTTAAAATATACCTTTTAAGTTTATTACATTTTGTGTTATTACATTTTGTGTTGAATTCAAGGCAGAATTTATTACATTTTGTGCTATTTTATTTTGTGTTGAGTTCAATGCAGAATGTAATAATGGAAAATGTAATAACACGATTTTTGGATTATTACATTTTGCGTTATTACATTTTGCATTAATCTTGACACAAAATGTAATAACGCAAAACATATTAATCCTAAAAGTCTGTTATAACATGTTGCGTTATTACATTCTGTGTTGATCTTGGCACAAAATGTAATAAGGCGAAATGTAATAATAGTGATTTTTACATTTTGTGTTGTTATTACATTTCACATTGTAACACACTGCCCAATATGTGCCACTCCTTATTAATGATTTCCCCATTGTTTGTTGGTCTCTGGTTTAGTAAACTTGAATCTCCCTGGCTCAAAACTAGTTTGGTTAAAATTGAGCTTGAGATTCTAGAGAAAAAGTGTGAAAAGCTCATACATATAATGACAAACATACTTAAGCCAGACAAACTCGGATACAAAAAGCTCACTTAAGCCTCTGGTTCTGGTGAGGAAAAAAAAAATTTAACAACATTTTGAAATTAATTTTAGATTATCACATACAAAATATACTATAAAGTAATAGTACATATATATACTTCATTTCTATAGACAGTAATTTTTACAACAAGCAAGTACAAGTTAAAAGATATAATAAAGATAGTGGTTGAACACAACTCTGTACACATAAAGCATCATTGAATCAGATAACTCTCAAAGGATAGACCTATTTACTTGTGAACACTCCTTGTATGAGTCTATCACCTTACAATTACTTAATCAGAAAAAAAAAAATGTCAATCACACCTTTCATATTACAAGTACTAAAGACTAACTTTTGACCAACATTTAATGACAGATAAAAACAGGAAATCAATTCTGTAGGACAAAAATATAAACGACCAAAGAAAGGGAGAATCGTACAATTCTGTTTTGAAGTTCATTATAAATGCACAATATTCTCCGCTGTTGTATTTTCTATTCTGTTGTATGTTGTATTTTCTGTCTGGTTCTATTCTGTAGAAGTAGTCTTGCTTTGATTGATTTTTGATAACAGAGCCAAGAATTTGACAAAGCTTACTGGATCAGTCATCAGTACCTGACTCAAGACATGCGGCAAGAGAGCAAAAACAAAAGGCACCACTCTTTTTCTTAATGAACACTTGTGAATGTCATAAAAACTTTTCATTATTTATTGAATCTCAATAATTAAAATTTGATCATTATTGAAATTTAAACAATTTTTGAAGCAATAAACTGAAGTGTACATCTAGCCTAAGTGACAAAAATAGAAGTATACCTGCAGTATAATTTCAAAAGGAAGTGATCTGTAACTTTCTCATCTAGTTCCCTGGCAATTTAATTACTTCCTTCTGTACAAAGTTATCTTAATTGCATATATGTTAGTCATAAAAAAATTTTTGTCCATTTTTTTTTTTCAATTATATGAGTAATCTTGGCTGACAGTTTTTGGAATTTTATTATGTACATAGATTACTTGTATGTATGCACTCTGAAAGTGCAATCTCCATGTACATCATGGTTACAGTTGCCCACTATAGTCACAATGAGTCTACATCACAGGGGATGTTACTTCACAAAGCACTAGAACAATTTATATGTACATAAATTACTTTATAAAAGTATATATGCTTATATCTCAAAAATTTATTTTTTGCTTCATACTTTAAATGCAATATTATTTTCCATGGTTTTGGTTCTACCCACAAAACTTAAAAAGTAATCCTCATTCAAATATACAGACAAAGGAAATGACTCAGCACGAGGCCTGTGAAAAGAAGGGTAGAATAAAGAGGAAGCACAGTACAATATCTAAATCGCACGTACAGAATAATTCTACCTTTTAAAGTCGGTTCTGGTTTTACACTGACATTCTTACATGTAAGACTTGGTGCATATACTGAACACACTGCATAGTGACATGTAAACAAATACTACACTGATCAAGAATGCCATAGGTTGCTTCATGTACAATACAGTATTCCAATTCTTATTTTACAGTGTCTGCAACATCATAATATATAATAGCACTAGAAGGTTAACTGGTTTACTCTACATGGCACAGTGTCTGTCAGATGTGACAAACGAAGTTACTAGATGGTGCAAAAAAATACTGATCCATTCAACCCTGACGAAAAAGTAAAATAATCAAGGCACACAATTCAATACATTGATCATTCATGCATTCCCACTCATTGCCTCCAGAAATAGGGGTTTTGCTGCAACCTACGCTGAAAATTTTGGAACCAGTTCTGGACAACATTCAATGTGACGTACGCCTCGGAAGGATTGGGGGTCATCTGAGACTGTGTGACGGCAAATGAAGTCGCATAATTGAAGAAATTTTCCAGCATTTTCTGTGAGAATTCCACAAATGAGTCTACTTTGGAGACACTAGTTCCAGCCTCCGGGGTCTGCTGAGCCAGCTGACTGAGGGGCTCCACAGAAATTCCCACCTGACCCATGTGAGAAACATGTGGCATGGTTTCAGAAAATGGGTTCTCATTTATCATAGAACCTGTAACATGTATTCTGTATCATTAGAATCTGACCACTTTCTGACAGTTAATATACTACACACTGGGATTTCTTACCCTCCCACCCCTGACAGTCAATATACTACACACAGGGAATTCTTACCCTCCCACCCCTGACAGTTAATATACTACACACTGGGATTTCTTACCCTCCCACCCCTGACAGTTAATATACTACACACTGGGAATTCTTATCCACCCACCCCTGACAGTTAATATACTACACACTGGGATTTCTCACCCTCCCACCCCTGACAGTTAATATACTACACACTGGGAATTCTTACCCTCCCACCCCTGACAGTTAATATACTAAACACTGGGATTTCTTACCCTCCCACCCCTGACAGTTAATATACTACACACTGGGAATTCTTATCCACCCACCCCTGACAGTTAATATACTACACACTGGGATTTCTTACCCTCCCACCCCTGACAGTTAATATACTACACACTGGGAATTCTTACCCTCCCACCCCTGACAGTTAATATACTACACACTGGGATTTCTTACCCTCCCACCCCTGACAGTTAATATACTACACACTGGGAATTCTTATCCACCCACCCCTGACAGTTAATATACTACACACTGGGAATTCCTACCCACCCTCCCCTGACAGTTAAAATACTACACACTGGTAAGTTGTTTCAGTTGAATAAAATAGAGCATGCCCTTGCACAGAAGCATTTTTGTTGATATCCATTATAATCTTGTGTAGTAAAGAACAATGATGTCATAATATGACGTCATAATGTGTACTGGCTATCTCATGTTGTGGGTACCAAGTATGTATTTGACAATAAGTTTTAACTTTCTCTGTATAAAAGATATAGTGCTTAGGCATCTTAATTAGATTATTTGCATAGAAATGCCTATACCTAGCCTTAACTCACCTGCGTACCCCCCCCCCCCCCCACATCTCCATTTTATACTCTTGGGATTGCTCTCATGCTCACAGACGTGCAAAATTTTAACACAACTCAAGATTAACATGATTAACAAAATAACTTTCCGGGAAATTCAAAACAGGTCAAACTTTCATTATGGAACTGAGAATAAATGATGGGGAGCATAATTTCATTTTGGGCAGATGTTGCTTCCAAAGAAAATTCAGGCTTTAAATTCTCTTTCAAAACGATGCCAATATCAAAATTAAAATATGAAAATCTACTTCAGTATTACATAAACTGCAGTAATTTTGCCTAATTTAGCAAATGATATGTGTACTACACATTTAAACCCCAAATCTTCCAAAGTATTCCAAAATGAGAACATAGTACATGTACATGTAATTTGTACATATCTAAATCATAACTTGACCCTGTGACACTCATAACCAGTTTAATATCATGAACAAAAATAAAAAAAAAACCCCACAGCTATACTGGCAATATATGCCAAGAGGAGTAACCTCTTATTATCATAACCCTTCTTGACAAGAAAATTGGAACATTGGCCTAAACAAAAAAAAAAGGCTAAAATTGCACACACAAAAAAAAAAAATGCACCCCTTTGTTAATATAACCTACTTTTCTTGATGTTGGTAATTTTGAATATTGCACTTGGTTTTGTGTTGGTAATATGCCCCAGTAGGGCCCAGGATTGTCCTTGTGGATTAGGGAAGGAAAAATACACTGAAAAAGATGTAAATAGATACCTATTAAGACATAGGTTATATAAAACATTCAGACTCAGACATGAAAAAACTTGTGTTTATTTTGGTCACTGCTTGACTGATGAGGATAATACATAACACGACAGGTATTGGCTATGTGTTACCTGCAGCCAAGTACTTAAGGATGTTGGCAAGGTTCCTGGATATTTAAGAAATGAATTTGATTTTTGAGAATTCATGAGGACAGGAACTATAAGATGCTTCACGCTGGCATATTTCATGAAGCACATTAGCGCTTCATGTTAAATATGCAGGCGTGAAGCGTTGAAGTTCATGTACCTCATGAATTCTCAAAACTTATATTTTACATTATTTGTCTGATAACTAGCTAAAAGATTTTGTCATCCAACAATCATTTTTGAACAAAACAGTTTGCACTATATTTTTAACATGGAGTACGGTATTATGACGTCACAATGGAGATATTCTTGCTCATCCTTAGTGATTCATGGGAAAATGAACAGTCTTCTAATTTGCAAAGAATCTTAAGGAAAAATATTTGGAAATGTAAATATAGTATAGAATTTTTCAAGAACTCTTAGGTAGGTTTAATGGTATTAAATAGGTTATTGGTTGGTTTAACCCACCAAGCCAACCTTCTTTTTTAGATTTTGTCAAATCAATGATTTTACAATTCTAAATGCATTTTCTATAGTTGCCCACATGGCGCAGTGGTGTCTGCTCTAGAGTCGCAGAATAAGGAGTTAATCCTTATATCGCTGGTTCGAATCCCACTGTGGGATGAGGAGAACGGTCCTTCGGATGAGACCGTATAAACTGAGGTCCCGTGTCGCAGTAGATGATGGCACAAAAAAGATCCCTCACTGCTCAATGGCCCTAAGTGCCAAGTATAGGTCAAAATTTGCAGCTCTCCACTGGCAAGTGGTGGCTTCTCCATATGAGTGAAAAATTCTTGAGAGATACGTTATTCAACAAACAAACCAAAAAGAAGCATTTTTATTTCATATCATTTATGCATTATATAAATTATTGTCTCCTCTTTTCCTATGACATCTATTTTGGCTGAAAATGTATCAATAGAAACAAGACACAGACATACCGGCATCGTTCTTTATTTTTGAGTTACTTCCCTTAATATAATTATTATTCATAATGGTCAAGAGACTGGTTGACTGTTTCTATTATGTAATTTACTTCATTAGAAACAAATTGTCATAAAAATATTGGTATGGATTTGTTTTTAATTTTTATTCATAGTTACTAAATGGTGCCTACTTCACACGACCTAGAGCTGTCCTCAACCGGTCTACCTTTCAGCATCTGTCACATCTTTGCTCTTCCACATAGCTATGATAAATGATGTTAGCTCTCTGTCCCCTGAACACAATGTACAACAAAGCCATCACTACTTTTCTTTCTTGTTGTTTAGATAGTTCTACCATTGAAGCTTGCCTTGCCAATGTCCTTAACTCACCTCAGATGACCGAGCTCAGGGCTTGACTTGTACAATTTTATGTATCAATCAATGTCTACTAAAAAAAATACCTGCTGCACCAAAGCCATCAGGGAATGGAATCTGCCCAGTCAGAAAGATCACCAAGTGATTTATGTCGTCTGCATCTGGGATGTTGAATAAAAACTGGTTCTCTGACACCTGTGTCACATCTGTCTGAACCTAGATTTAAATGTTTTAATTCTTATTAAATTCATAACTTAATTCAGCATAACCAAAAGGGTTTAAACTGTAAGAAACAAGAAACATGCAGGGTATTATTCATTTCTTTCATTTTTCAGGGAAAAACTAGTTTGAGTAAATTATAATAAATGGATATAGAACTCAAAATAAATTTTCGAGGAGAGATACAAAATCTGTATGGTTAAAAATGCATTTTGCCCCCTAAGGCCAAAGTAAAATTATTATTTCTTTGGAATTGCCTCAAACAAAATACTGTACACTTACTTTATTCTGCCTGGGATTAATTTTGGCTATGTATGCTGTCACTTTTTTTTTTGTTGAAATGTCACAGCATACTTAAAATACATTAAGGGCATATAACGACAATTCAAGAAATTTGGGTAATTTTCTACCCTCACTTAGGACAGAAATAAGATTCCACAGAATTATGACTCATTTAGTGTCAGATCTAAGCAAAAACTGAGTTCCTGGCTTAACAGGAGATACCTTTTACAAAGAAGTCAGAAAATAATGTGTTCAGTGTTCCTTGCAATTTTTCTCACTGGTTTTCAATTTACCAAGAGATGTTTGTAAAACACTTATCCCCCCCTCCCCCCCCCCCCCCCAATAATTGGAATTTCTCTAAGTCCAAGGGGCATAACTCTGTCAAAAATTGCTTGATCATATCCAAAACAGAACTTGACCTAGATATTCTTATGATAAATCTGTTTGCCAAATTTCATTTCAGTATGTGCAACCTCTGCAAAGAAAATGAATGGAAACCCCCTCAATAATTGGAATTTTTCTAAGTCCAAGGGGCATAACTCTGTCAAAAATTGCTTAATTGTACCCAAAACAAAACTTGACCTAGATATTCTTATGATAAATTTGTATACCAAATTTCATTTCAGTATGTGCAACCTCTACAAAGAAAATGAATGGAAACTGCAAATAATTGGAATTTTTCTAAGTCCAAGAGGCATAACTCTGTCAAAAAATGCTCGATCGTTCCCAAAACAGAACTTGACCTAGATATTCTTATGATAAATCTGTATACCAAATTCCATTTCAGTATGTGCAACCTCCGGGGGTCATGATTTGAACAAACTTGAATCTTCACTACCTGAGGATGCTTCCATATAAATATGACCAAACATGGCTGTTCTTGAGAAGATTTTTACAGATTTTCCCTACGTATTCCTATGTACAACTTTTATCACCCATTGTGGCCCAACCCTACCCCTGGGGGTCATGATTTGAACAAACTTGAATCTTCAATACCTGAGGATGCTTCCATATAAAAAAGACCAATCATGGCTTTGCTCTTCTTGAGAAGAAGATTTTTGAAGATTTGTCCTATGTATTCCTATGTAAAACTTTGATTGCCCATTGTGGCTCCACCCTACCCTGGGGGTCATGATTGGAACAAACTTGAACCTACACTACTTGAGGATGCTTCCATATAAATATGACCAATCATGGCTTTGCTGTTCTTGAGAAGAAGTTTTTAAAGATTTTTCCTATATATTCCTATGTAAAACTTTGATCGCCCATTGTGGCCCCACCCTACCCCTGGGGGTCATGATTTGAATAAACTTGAATCTACACTACCTGAGGATGCTTCCATATAAGTTTCATACTTTCAAGCACAGTGGTTCTTGAGAAGAAGATTTTTAAATGATGCCATTAATTTTTCACAAATTCATAATTATCTCCCCTTGGAAGAAGGCGTGGCCCTTCATTTGAATAAACTTGAATTCCCTTTACCCAAGGATACTTTGTGGCAAGTTTTGTTGAAATTGGCTCAGTGGTTCTTGAGAAGAAGATGAAAATGTGAAAAGTTTACGACTACAACGACAGGCAACGGACAAATTTCGATCAGAAAAGCTCACTAGAGCCTTCGGCTCAGGTAAGCTAATAAAATCAGCTGGAAAAGGTTTAATTGAGAACTGCTTTGACTGTAATCAGGATTTTTGCCCAAAGTTGGTGTTGTCATGTGAGCCCAGTTTTGCTGCCTGAACAGGATAATCACCAGACCCACGGCAACTTTACTTTCAAAGAAATTTTCAGATATGGTGAACATTTTATTCATCACTTTCAATATAATCATATATATACCTGTTAAAAATATTCTCTAAATCTATTGCTGTGCTATTATTTCCATAATTTCTGAATCATTTGTTTGTTTGGTGCTGAACTTATGAAGGTAGAAACCTTTGAAAAGCATCATAACACTGATTTAGGTACCTCATCTATTTGCACTTGCCAAAAACAGAATACAGTCCAGGGACATAATTATTCGCCACTTCTGTGCAAATCACGTACACAATATTTTTGTCGTCTGCTTTATTGTTTGTCGATAAATTTATGTAAAAACAACATGGGTCAGAAGGGGAAAGAATTAGATACATCCGTCAGAAGTATGGTTGTTAAAGCTTATAAAGAGAACAGAAATATATCAGAATTGGAGAGAATATTAGGAATTCCTAGGTCCACAATACGTAGTTTTGTGAAAAAGTTTGATGAAATGGGACAGGTAGAAAATCGACAAGGAAGGGGAAGGAAGAAAGTGTTTACAGACAGAGATAAAAACAAACTTTCACGCATGGTTAAAGAAAACAGATGAAGAACTTAAGAAGACATAACAGGTAATATAAATGAGGGAAAAAAATCATAGATTTTGTACTAGAACTATAAAAAGACAAAATTCAAGAGCTGGGATACAAATGGAGGGTTGCCAAGAAAAAAGTCACTATTCGCGAGGCCAACAAAAAAGCTCACTGCAAGTGGTGTAAGGAGAGAAGAAATTGGACTGTTGATCAAGAATGGAATAAATGGGTGTTTAGTGATGAAAGCCAGAGAGTAATTGGAAAAAATAAGAAAGTTTATATATGGAGAAAAGACTAGGAAAAGTACAGTGCGCACCTAATGTGTCCGCCATCCCGACCACATCTGAGTATCATGATCTGGGGTTGTGTGTGTATAAAAGGAATAGGAACTTTAACAAATGTAGAAGGTAACATAAATGCAAGAAAATATATTGAGATATTAGACAACAACCTTTGGCCCGTTTTAGCCAGACATCTTCCAGGTAACCAGTACGTATTTATGGACGACAACGCTCCCGTTCATAGAGCAAATTTAGTAAAAGAATACATCAATCGCCAACAACAACATAATTACAACATCATGGCCTGCCCAGTCTCCTGACCTTAATATTATCAAGAACATTTGGTTAAAAATAAAAAGAACTCTGGAAACCCGTGCCGAATTCATTAACACAAAAGATCAGCTTATGGCGGAAATTCGGACTGCCTGGGAAAATGTACCAACCTCCTATTTTGAGGACCTGTATAAGACAATTCCTGGCAGACTAAATGAAGTATTAAAGATGAAAGGCAATTTAACAAAGTATTGAGGTAAGATAAGCATTTATTAATTGTTTAACAGATCCTAAGTATCAAGGTGCGCGATGTAAAAAATACAGCGGCCATTTTGAAGTGGTGAATAATTATGTCCCTTGACTGTATGTCATACATTTGGAGAAAAATATCTATTGACTATTATTTGATTAAAATTTTCGTAATGTTTTAGTAAATTATAGGAACCTTTAAAGCAAAACTGCATTAATTCCCTATTCAATTGTACTTATTAGGAAAATTTTTAATTGAATGATTATTACCACCGAAATAGGTTCCACAGAGATACAAATGGAATACCGGTTTGATTATTAGCCCATCTTCAGTTGATTAAAGTCAGCTGATGCTGCAGATTAATCGATTCAGATTTTCAAACAATTTGACACCACTTAATTATTACTTAAGTAATATAGGATGCTCACTTGTACAGTGCTTGCTTTTGTAGAACTTTCTAGATTCAGAGTAATAAAGTTAAGTATTGGTTTTTAAATGATGATAAAAATTTTACCTCCTTATACTCTAACTATTTGCTTGGAAATATCAACACTATTTTAAATAAAGTGTTTTAATCATATATCATTTTCATTAAAAAAAAAACAAAAACAAAAACAAAAACAACTTTGGCGTCTTCAACATACAGAACAAATAACATAAAACCTTGTATAAGTACGTATGCCATACACAGGGGGAAACGCTCCTGTTTTTTAGTAAATTGTGACGATACAAAACGGATTACAAGTTACTCACTAGACGTCCTGCTACAATGAGACCAAACATGCTTTAAAAAAATGTTTCAAATCGCTGTTTGTAGTTGGTTCATTTGAAAAACAGAAAGTAGATCTATGTTAATATACTGGGAGCCAATTCAATATTCAGAAATCTTGTAATCAAACGCTTTAGTGATTTAAATAGAATATAAAATTTGAAAGGGTCCCATTATTTCATTTTGAAGAGAATCATTTATTAAAAGAATTATTTCAATGTAAATTAACATAATATTATTTAATTATATCATATTTTTTTTCTTTTCTAAGAATTCTTAATTTTTTTCGTTTACTTAATCATTATTTTTATTTTCCTTTCTGGTAGTATTCCGGATTTAGAAAATGCCAACATGGCGGACAGAGGGCAAGGTTGGCCAACTCAGCAGGTAATTTTTACGTATAGTATTAAGTAGAAGGACATTCTCAAGAATTTTATCCTATGAGTTGATCGTCTACCCATCATGTACCAATGTTCCTAAACAAACAATCCTACAACATGTAATTTTATACCATTAAACATGGATTCACATCTAACATTTTGAAATAGACATGTCAACTTACATGGTTTGATATTGTTTTGCAGAACGACTCTGCAATCATAGATCTTGGGGATGTGAATGACCCAGATGATGGATCTGATTATGAAACAGATGGTTAGTAAAGTCATTCTTTTGTACATTTACAATAAAATCAAAGAAAGATTTAGTTTCAGTGGTCTATTCGCTAAATGAATGTATTTTAGAAGGCAGGGATTTTAGGCCCACCTTGATGCCCCCACTAGGTGCAGACAGGGACCTATATCTTGCAAGTTACCAAGTTAACTGGTTAAAGGATTTCAAATGTCAATTTTAAATCAAATGTATCTCTAATCTTATCAAGTATATCCCTATTTACTGATTTCAAAATTATTCTAAATGCTGTATCTCATTTGCACTGTTCATATTAATTATTTAAGTATTGTCTTTTATATATATATATATATATATATATATATATATATATATATATATATATATCCCTGGGGGTCCAGGGCAAAGCCCTGATTCAGGTCTAAGAATCAAAGCCCCTGGACGCTCAAGGAATTTTTATATTTGTCGATTGTTTGTTGAGAGGTTTCTGTCCTAACAACTCTCAGGCTAACTGTTCATATTGATTCAAGTTATGTAAATTGACGATCACCTACTTAGAGGTTAGTTTGAATCAGCTAAATAAATGAGTACTTTTTTATCATGTTTATGGGGCATATAGTATGTGTCATGTCTCTGTCTTCCATTTCTCAGTTCTTCCATTCCTTGGTCTCCGATTAGTCTGTTCATCACACTCTGCATTAATCTTCATTTCAAGGAAACTTTCGAAGATATATATTTTTAGTGTGTGTGTCTAGAGTGAATGCCTGCAACATTAATCATTTACTTTGATAAGTAAATTACTAAATTATGATGTTAATGCATATGAAAATAACATTATGGTATTGTGTTTGAGGGGGTGTGTGTACTTAGCTCTATATGTAAATTTTATACAAAGTTCTTAACAAGCATTATTTTTTTAAGCTTTATGGACATCTATTAATTTATCATTTCCACATTTTTTAGTATCCAAAGGTCCAACAGAAAGCAAAAGAGAAAGATCTTTTGAAGAGGATGCCAGAAAGAGATTGACTGACAATGTTACTCAGATGGTATAAACACTTGTATTGACTGCCATTGTTACTCAGATGGTATAAACACTTGTATTGACTGACAATGTTACTCAGATGGTATAAACACCTGTATTACATATTACATGTACATGTACCAGCACATATCTTGTATTCTTTTGGTCATTTTATCTTAGTCTACCAAAAGAAGTAATCACACTGGGTGAAAAAGATTCATGTTCAAGTAAATCATACCCTGGGGCATCTTGTGTCTACATCTTTACTCCAGGTGTTTGTGGGGAATCCTGCATCTACATCTTTACTCCAGTTGTTAATGGGACATCCTGCCTTTCTATCTTGACTTCAGGTGTTAATGGGCATCCTGTCTTTCCATCTTCACTCCCTCTACATCTCCCCTTCAGTTTTTATTGGGACAACTTTCCTTTACATCTCTCCTTTAGGTGTTAGTGGGGCATTCTGCCTCTACATTTCTCTCCAGGTGTTAATGGGGTATCCTGTCTCTACATCTCTTCTCCAGGGGTTAGTGGGACATCCTGTCTCTACATCTTTACTCCAGGTGTTAGTGGGGCATCCTGTCTCTACATCTATCATCCAGGTGTTAGTGGGACATCCTGCCTCTACATCTCTCCTCCAAGTGTTAGTGGGGTATCCTGCTTCTACATCTCTCCTCCAGGTGTTAGTGGGACATCCTGCTTCTACATTTCTCCTCCAGGTGTTAGTGGGACATCCTGCTTCTACATCTCTCCTCCAGGTGTTAGTGGGACATCCTGCCTCTACATCTCTCATCCAAGTGTTAGTGGGACATCCTGCCTCTACATCTCTCCTCCAAGTGTTTGTGGGGTATCCTGCTTCTACATCTCTCCTCCAGGTGTTAGTGGGACATCCTGCTTCTACATCTCTCCTCCAGGTGTTAGTGGGACATCCTGCTTCTACATCTCTCCTCCAGGTGTTAGTGGGACATCCTGCCTCTACATCTCTCCTCCAGGTGTTAGTGGGGTATCCTGCTTCTACGTCTCTCCTCCAGGTGTTAATGGGACATCCTGCTTCTACATCTCTCCTCCAGGTGTTAGTGGGGTATCCTGCTTCAACATCTCTCCTCCAGGTGTTAGTTGGACATCCTGCTTCTACATCTCTCCTCCAGGTGTTAGTGGGGTATCCTGCTTCTACATCTCTCCTCCAGGTGTTAATGGGGTATCCTGTCTCTACATCACGTCTCCAGGTGTTAGTGGGGTATCCTGTCTCTACATCTTTACTCCAGGTGTTAGTGGGACATCCTGTCTCTACATCTCTCATCCAAGTGTTAGTGGGACATCCTGCCTCTACATCTCTCCTCCAAGTGTTTGTGGGGTATCCTGCTTCTACATCTCTCCTCCAGGTGTTAATGGGACATCCTGCTTCTACATCTCTCCTCCAGGTGTTAGTGGGACATCCTGCTTCTACATCTCTCTTCCAGGTGTTAGTGGGACATCCTGCCTCTACATCTCTCCTCCAGGTGTTAGTGGGACATCCTGCCTCTACATCTCTCCTCCAGGTGTTAGTGGGGTATCCTGCTTGTACATCTCTCCTCCAGGTGTTAATGGGGTATCCTGTCTCTACATCTTTACTCTAGGTGTTACTGGGACATACTGCTGCTACATCTCTCCTCCAGGTGTTGGTGGGGCATCCTGCCGCTACATCTCTCCTCCAGGTGTTAATGGGGTATCCTCCCCTTACATCTCCCCTCCAGTTATTAATGGGGTATCCTGCTCTACATCTTTACTCCAGATATTACTGGGGCATCCTGCCTCTACATCTCCCCTCCAGTTTTTATTGGGACATCTTTCCTTTACATCTCTTCTTTAGGTGTTAATGGGGCATCCTGCCTCTAATCTCTCCTCCAGGTGTTAGTGGGGTATCCTTTTTCTACATCTCTCCTCCAGGTGTTAATGGGGTATCCTGTCCTGCATCAGACCTTCATTTAGTCAATTTCTGAACTGCTTTTATTAGGCCTTTTGTAGAGAAGTTGAGGGGGAGTATTAAAACGAGCCATCAACTTCTCAATAGAGAATAGGGGCATCCTGCCTCTACATCTCTTCTCCAGGTGTTAGTGGGGTATCCTGTCTCTACATCTTTCCTCCAGGTGTTAATGGGGCATCCTGCCTCTACATCTCTTCTCCAGGTGTTAATGGGGCATCCTGCCTCTACATCTCTTCTCCAGGTGTTAGTGGGGCATCCTGTCTCTACCTCTTTACTCCAGGTGTTAGTGGGGCATTCTGTCTCTACCTCTTTACTCCAGGTGTAAGTGGGACATCCTGTCTATACATCTCTTCTCCAGGTGTTAATGGGGCATCCTGTCTCTACATCTCTTCTACAGGTGTTAATGGGACAGTCTTCCTCTATATCTTTACTCCAGGTGATAGTGGGGCATTCTGCCTCTACATCTTTACTCCAGGTGTTAGTGGGGTATCCTGTCTCTACATCTCTTCTCCAGGTGTTAATGGGGCATTCTGCCTCTACATCTCTACTCCAGGTGTTAATGGGGCATCCTGTCTCTACATCTCTTCTCCAGGTGTTAATGGGGCATCCTGTCTCTACATCTCTTCTCCAGGTGTTAATGGGGCATTCTTCCTCTATATCTTTACTCCAGGTGTTAGTGGGGCATTCTGCCTCTACATCTTTACTCCAGGTGTTAGTGGGACATCCTGCCTCTACATCTTTACTCCAGGTGTTAGTGGGGCATCCTGTCTCTACATCTCTTCTCCAGGTGTTAGTGGGGCATCCTGTCTCTACATCTTTACTCCAGGTGTTAGTGGGGCATTCTGCCTCTACATCTTTACTCCAGGTGTTAATGGGGCATCCTGTCTCTACATCTCTTCTCCAGGTGTTAATGGGGCATCCTGTCTCTACATCTCTTCTCCAGGTGTTAATTGTGCATTCCTCCTCAATATCTTTACTCCAGGTGTTAGTGGGGCAATCTGCCTCTACATCTTTACTCCAGGTGTTAGTGGTACATCCTGTCTCTACATCTCTTCTTAAGGTGTTAATGGGGCATTCTGCCTCTTTATCTTTACTCCAGGTGTTAGTGGGGCATCCTGTCTCTATATCTCTCCTCCAGGTGTTAGTGGAGCATTCTGCCTCTACATCTTTACTCCAGGTGTTAGTGGGACATCCTGCCTCTACATCTTTACTCCAGGTGTTAGTGGGGCATCCTGTCTCTACATCTCTTCTCCAGGTGTTAATGGGCATTCTGCCTCTATATCTTTACTCAAGGTGCTAATGGGGCATCCTGCTTCTACATCTCTCTTCCAGGTGTTTCCCTCTTTCCCTGCAGGATTCCAATTTAGGGGCATGTTTTGTGTTTTTTGCTGGCTTCTGCAGAGTCTTTCTCGATTTCTTTTAAATGAATACTCTCACAATCTACTTCGTTTATTATTTAAATCTTAAGAATTCTTCTGAATCAGTAGTTGACATGGTTTCTTGGTGTTTCTCAAGGTTTCTGCTCCAGATAGTAGGATGAACTTCACATTGGAGTTTCTGTAAAGATACTTTTTCCACTCTGTCCAAATTCCTCGGAATCATAATTTCTGTTCAATCCATGGGTACAAATTTATGTGAATTTCTTAGATTACCACTATGTGCCTTAAATGTACTTTAAGTACACAGGGACAAATTTCCGTGGAAAATTGTGACATCGTACATAGTGTAAATTAATACCATGTGGAAAAAGTACTTCTACAGTAATATCCTCAGCTTTGTACTTCTTGATGGCAGAAGATTATACAAGTGTGACAGTCAGATGACTAATCGCTGGTAACCAGATAAGAGCACCTGACTTGTGATTCTGGGGGCCAGGGTTCAATCGAATCCTGCTTTGGTCCATCACATTTTTCTCCCCACTGGTTACACTAGTAAGAGGAAATGATTAAGAAACAAGGGGGGGAGGGGGGAGGGTTCATATAAGAAATTTCTGTTGAACCACTGGTATAGGAGTACAATACTCTTTTGTAAAAGTGTTTTCTCTTATGTAATTACAGTAAAGTCTTTAACCAAAATAAAATAAATTAAAAAAAAAAAAAACATAAATAGATAAAAAATAAGGCTATTCAAAGCTTGATGCACAAAGATAATCACACATATTTGATTTTGATGTGTTATTATCATTCTGACATTTCTAGGTATGGAATGCAGGGACTCAGCAAGCCAAGCGTGCATGGAGCCTGTATGGTAACATAGATATATTGCGACCTTACTTTAACGTGGAACCTCATGAAGTCCGCACAAGGTTAAATCAGAATTTCAGCTGGATTATAAGCAGTACAGTTAATAAAAAACACATAAAATATAGATGTGATGAATAATTTTCTTTCTGTATATTAAAAGATTTTAGAATATACATGTAAAAATGAGGGTGCCAATCTCATTATGTGAAAAGCAAGTAATAAGAGAGTGGGGAAGGAGGTACTTCTCTCATATGAGAGTGGTGAGGGGATACCTTTCTCCTTTGATAATTTTGGGGGTGGGAAAAGACAAAGAAGAGTCTAGCTGTTTTTAAAGTACATATAATACATATATATATTTTGAGAAAATTCCTTTTTTTTTATTTCAGACTTTTATATTCATTCATACCCAGAATGCCTTCATCAGAAAAACAGGTATGAATCTGAAGGTATTTTTATGTAAGCTTTCACATTACAACTTACGGAAGCCGGTTGGTGCCAGGTAGAAAAAATATTTTATCTGGCGGCCGCCAGATAACTTTCTGGTGGCCACCAGATCTTTTTATCTGACGGCCGCCAGTTATTTATGTGGCGGCCGCCAGATAAAATATTTTTCTACCTGGCACCAACCGGCTTCCGTAACAACTGTATATTGTGCTTGAAAATATCATTTCAGAGGATATACATGTATCAGTAAGGTTTATAAATGCTGAAAAAAATGTATCAACTTTGTTTTACCCACAGCTTCAAAATCAGTTTATGACAGATATATTCATGTATTCAGAGCTAATATGTGATTGGCCAGTCCTTTATTGTACAAGTAGAGTTTAGATAAAAAGGTACATGTACAATAAAATCATACAGTATATAATTTACTTGTATATGTATTTGGAGTATTTATGAGAACACTGTGTCTATTTTATTTGTAGAGAGCCTACAGAGAACTATATGGGCCACTGATGGTTGTCTTCACACTTATAGCTTTACTCCTGTTTCAGATGAAAGCTGCAGAACATAAAGTAGTAAGTCTGAATTTATAGTAAATAAATAATCTTAAAGAGATAGTATTCATTTTGTAGGTTGAAGAAAACTCCTACAAAAAGCTCAATTTTTAGTTCTCTGTTGACAATGATTACTGTTCATTGTGTACACAAAACTGACAGTCAATAATTATTCATGTAGCTCTAAAATGCATTGTACATAATTATTCCTTCTGATGTATTACCATGTTTATACTTTCAGGAAGAGGGCACATTGATGGGCACGGCCTTTGGTGTGTGCTTTACTTACTGGTGGGGAACCTCAGCTCTCATGTGGTTCCTCTCTTATGTCTGTAATGCACATATCACCAGCATCCAACTGTTGTCACTTCTGGTAAGTTGTTGTCACTACTGGTAAGTTGTTGTCACTACTGGTAAGTTGTCACTATTGGTAAGTTGTTGTCACTATTGGTAAGTTGTCAGTATTGATAAGTTGTCACTACTGTTAAGTTGTTGTCACTATTGGTAAGTTGTCAGTATTGATAAGTTGTTGTCACTTCTGGTAAGTTGTTGTCACTTCTGGTAAGTTGTCAGTATTAATAAGTTGTCACTACTGTTAAGTTGTTGTCACTATTGGTAAGTTGTCAGTATTGATAAGTTGTTGTCACTTCTGGTAAGTTGTTGTCACTTCTGGTAAGTTGTCAGTATTGATAAGTTGTTGTCACTACTGGTAAGTTATTGTTACTATTGGTAAGTTGTCAGTATTGATAAGTTGTTGTCACTACTGGTAAGTTGTTGTCACTCTTGGTAAGTTGTCAGTATTGATAAGTTGGTGTCACGACTGATAAGTTGTTGTCATGCTGTTAAACTGTTTCCATTATGCTCTACCTCCCTCAATTCAAAATTTGAGAATATACATACAGTGTTTATTTAATAGCAATTATTCTGTCTGTGCTTAGATCATAACTACATGTATGTAACAAAAATATTGGAATCCCAAACTTGAAACAAAGATTGCTGAAATTTATAATCATGTTTCTGGCTTGTTGTTAAAAGGTTTGCAATTTGTAAAACTATTTCTATGAACCTGAGCTGTTATTTTTATTCCAAGAAAGAAATCTTTCATGTACATGATGGTATCTCCTTGTAAGAGTTTAACAAAGTTAATTTATTTTGTTAATTGACTTGATTAAAGATAATAGTGTAGAATTTTATTGAATATACATGGTTTACATGTAGGCCGTGCGCCATTATTAAGTGTGTAATTTATCTTTCAGGGATATGGTCTGACTGGTCATTGTGTGGTCATTCTACTTGGGACTCTGATTCATACATCACATGATCATCTCTTCTTTTATTTGTTATGGGCAGTGTTTGGAGGACTGTCCACATTAAAAATGGTAATGTTTACAGCTGTTTACAGCATACAAGCTTAGTACCGTACAACACACAATATCAATTATCAAATTGTGGTCAAAATCACTTTATTTGTTGATAAATTTATGTACACCCCAGCTACATTTTTTGAGAATCCTAAAATTTTATTTGTTTTTGAGAAATCTTAACACTGCGGATGAAGGTCACAGGGATCAAATTATAAAATTCTTATACAAGTCACTCTTTTTGAAAGGCAGAGACGGCCATGCTTTACACAAAAGTTGCTTATTACTTGTCTTGAGGGTGTAATTTGACCCTGATATAGGGTATATGGACAGGTAAATTCCATGGGGAACAAATGTGCAAAATTATTGTCTGTGTCACAACTTTGTTATGCATAAAATGTAAAAGGTAGGGTTGCATATAAGTGAGGATGTGTCATGTCTGGTCAAAGGCCATTTGGAATAGCCCAAGGTCATACAGATTAAAAATATTTATTGAATATTTATTGAATATGGGGAAAAAAAGGTTTTAGAAGCTTGTAGATGTGACAAAGAAATGCTTTTTGATCACAAGATGTGTCACAGCTGTAAACCGGTTTACACATAACCAGTTCAACATGGTGAATATAAGGGCTCATAATATGGCATTTATCTTGACTGGGTTTTTTTTATTGCCCTGTTCCTATTTATTATGTCCACTGGAGGTATATGTCCCATTAAAGTCAAAAAATGGGTCAGGGTTCCAGGTCCTCATTTTATCTCGTTGACCTTATGAAGGATTATTGTATTAATGAATATATTTTTTTTTCAAAAATTTTAAAAAAAGGAAATGGAAAACAATTATATCTGAATAGATGTATCTGAATATTGAGACAAAGTTCCTGAAAATGCAAATAAAATATATGCATGCTCATGATAACAAATATTATTTAACTGAGGAAAATTTTTGCTCATCTTATAATCTTTTTTAAAAATTGAAATATTATTTAGTCACTGTAAATTTATGATAGAATTCATTCCTTTAATCTATAGCATACATAACTGTAACAGTAGCTTTTTCACTGAGAGAAAGATTTAATATAAGGAACATTGTTCTACTAAAAAAATAATGTTGTTTTGACATTTCAGGTAGCAGTGATTGCATCACGGACTCATGGGAAATCTCAGCAGATAATTCTCTCATGTACATTAGCGGCCATTCATCTATTATTTCTGCTTTATCTACATTTTGCCTATCATCAGATTGTTGAAGGTCAGTTTTGGAAATAAAAAGCCTGTTAATTATTGATAAGTTTAGTATCCCACTGTCCTGCAGTATTTTGTTACATGCTGAATAGAAAGTAGTCCCAATTTCCTAAAACTGTAGATAGGAATTCTAGTTCTGGTGACAAAATAATGTATAATGTTTTTATTACATTTTCAACACTGAAATACTGTCATTTATTGAATAAAAGTGATATTTTTTCACAGTATCATAGTGGTTTCAAAGTGTGAAAAAATATTAGAAGTAAGGCAAAACTCATGATTTTCCTTCCCTTCGCGATGAGTGTTGTAAAAAATACTTGCTACTTAATACTTTTTAACAGTGAGAGTAAATAAACCATCCTGACAGAGACTGCCAAATTTTTGTTATTTAAAATCCATGTTTAAAATGTCTAATGTGCTATGACTCAACTACATGTATGACATCACAGTCTACGACACTGTGTTATGAAAAGACAGAGACAAAACGAAAATCAAAGAAAATGTAATAACAAGAAAATTCAATAATTTGTAGTTGAATATGGAATTTATATCACTTGTGAGACAGGTTCTTTTTTATATTCTCACTTGTGCTTCTTACTAGTGAAAATATTAAATAAATCCTTGTTCACCCTTGAAATTAATTCGATATCCAACTACAAAACATTGAATATCCTCTCTATCTACTGCCATTTTAATTCTTTCTTCCAAAGAGTATTTTACAAATGTACCAAATATATATGACTTATTACTGGTATGTTTTGTATGACATAATTACCTGTATCGAGTTTTATTTGTAGACTTGTCTCGAGTTCTTGACTCTGATCCCATTATCAGAAAACCTATAGTGAACAGTGTCAAAAAGGTGACAGAAAATATGCTACCCAAGGGTAAGGAATGTGAGCTTGTGAGACTTCAGTGTATAACCTCTAACTATATTGTAGAATTAGCTACTAAAAGTCTATACAGATTATGCTAGGCATTAATGCTAGTTGTAATAAAGAATTATCTCCTCATGAATTTTAAAATCCATACATGAATCTTTCTTCTGAAAAAAACACTTTATGTATTTTTTTTAAAAATCTATCCATCTCATCCTAAAATTTATAATTTGGCAATAATTGTGCTCAGAATCTTTAAACATTGCAAAAGTTTTAAAATACTCCTCACACTGACTTCATATTAAAACACTAATTATCGTGTCATAATTGAAATACACACTTACCTCTGTTTGTCAGCATGCTTTGTTGAGTGCATGCTTGTTTCACATTCTAGACATATCAAACACACACCTTTCTAATGAAGGGGTGAAACTGGTCAACAAAACATTGGTGAACATTCCTAAATTGGTATCCAAAGTGGCTGGTAACAAAACTCACTGACACACAAGAGGGCAGGTTAGAACTTATTGGGTGATGGATCATATTTGATTGAATATCTCTTTTATTATTATAGCACAGTAGCACCTCACTAACTTGAAAATTTTGATTAAAAATTTAATACAGTTAAACTTCGTATCTCAAACACTGATATCTCAAATACCATGGATATGTCAAACTGATCTGGAAAACCCTACCACTTATACTTTATGTATTTTACCCTCAATATCTCGAATCCTCGAATATCTCGAAGTTTTTTCTCGGTCCCCTCGAGTTCGAGATAACGAGGTTTGACTGTATATGTACTTGCACATTTCAGGATCTTTTATACACCATACTGACTACCTGTTCTTGTACAAATTAAATTTATTGGCTGCAAATTTACTTCTTGCCTTTGATAAGAAGACCAAATTATTATATACACTAATGGAATTCACTGTATCTAGCTTTTGTATGTGTATGCACAGTTCACTTGTCATATGAATTCTGTGTAAATACATGTACATGTAAGTCACTGATTTAGTATAGGCGTAGGTATTATTGCATTAAATCAATTTATGATACAATGTAAATATTTAAATGTACATGTAACTTCACACACATATACAATCATAATTTTACTTTCTTTTGAATCCTCTACTCCTTTGTATCAATATTAGATAGAGTGCTAGCTAAAATATATCTTTTATAGCTGCATGTAGATTTGAATCGCTTGTTTTTGTATGAGCAGTAAGTTTCCTGCTATTATTTAACCATTTAAGGTTGTCCTTGGTCTATTTTCTCACTATATACCGGTACCTTTCTGAAAATAATGGCTGGAAAAAAAAAATGGCTTTGATTTATTATTAACTCAGTCCACAAGAATCACTCAGTAGGATGGATTAAAAATAATATTATAATTCTAGCATTATGTTCACTGCTGATCCTTCATTGAGTCAGTAAACAAAGTTGATTCTCAGTAAACTTTTTAATTAAAATGAATATATAAGTGAGCAAATCTATTTTTCTATTCTAAAGTAAACAGATTCGTCAATAAATCAGTGTGAAATATTATGTGTACACCTGATTCAGTTCACTTGAATACATGTCCTAGTTGTATGATACTTATTTAAGATTATCATTTTTCTTTTGCAGAATCATAAGATCTAAATCTGGAGAAGACAATCCTGCCATTTTACAATGTTAGATTCTTCGAGATGTTTTATGGAGCTTTCTGTGAAAGGAAGAGACCATGTGATCCGACCCTTTCTGATGTTATTTATATACTGTTTTATTTTGATAAACTGTGAATCTTGATCATGATAAGCTAAACAGACACAATAATGTGTTTACACAGCTGCCTGTGTATAAACAAAAGATGATGTGTCCAGATAGCTTGTCTGATGTTTATACTATTTTATTCAACGACCTGTGATCAATGATGTACAGACACATCAATCTTTCAGTGTATATATCAGTGCTGTATATATTATGTCTTGACTATTAAATTATTGAATTTATAAATGTATTTATATCTGTTTTATTTTGATAACAATCTTTGTATTGTGAGGGAGAGAAGTACTTATATTTTTTTGTTTTGTGTGATGAATATAATTATCATCATGACGTTTGGACTTAAGAAACCAGCAATACCTTGAAAAGGGGACATCAGTTTTTTCTTTTGTTTTGAGTTTACCTGAGCGGAAGGTTCAAGTGATTTTTTTTTTTCAGATCAAAATTTGCATCATCATCATCTTTGTAAACTTTTCACATTTTCAGTTTCTTCTCCAGAATCAATAATCCAATTTCGATCGAACGTGGTACCAAGTATCCTGGGGGTTCTAGTTTGTTCAAATGAAGGGCCATGCCCTCTTCCAAAGGGAGATAATCAAGATAGGCAAATAAAGGGTGGGGTTATATAAAATTCTTTTTCTCAAGAACCACTGGGCTAGAAAAGATGAAACTTCCATGAAAGTTTCCTGACATAATGTAGATTTAAGTTCAATCAATGCATGGCCCCCGACATAGGGAGGGGCAAGAATGGACAATCAAATTTTACGTAGGAATATTTGAGACTAAATACCTCTCAATGACAACAGGGCCATGATTAGTCATATTAATGTGTATTGTGTATGCAAACTTAGGAAGTGCAGATTCATGATTGTTCAGATTATGGTCCCCATGTTAAGGATAGGGTTCACAACAGGTTATCTAAGTTTTACATACTAAGGGATATATAGGAAACAGTATGTAGAAACTTTTTCTCAAGAACAACAGGACTATGATCAATCATATTTAAAATGTGCAAGCATTCACAGGTATTGTTCAATTAATGGCCTGAAAGGGGGGGGGGGGGGGGGGGGGGGTCACAATATGAGATCAAAGTTTTAAATAGGAATGTGGAAAAAATCTGTAAAGATCAGCAGGGCCATGATTATAGGGATCAAAGTTTTATATAAGAATATTTATTTATGTTGCTATGCAAACATTCCTGTATCATATTGATTCAAGTTTGTTAGAATTATGGACACTTGTTAAATTGGGATGGGGTTAAAATTGGGGATCAAATTTTACATAATACATGTACATTTATATGGGTGGAAAACTTCTTTAAAAAATTCTTGTTCTAAACAGCATGCAGAACTGCAAGGCCATATTTGTAACATTGATATTCAGAACCCCCACTTATTTAGGTTTGGTGAAATCATGACCCACTGAAGCTTTTTAGCTCACCTGAGCTGAAAGCTGATCACATTTTGTCTGTAGTCCGTCTGTAAACTTTTCACATTTTCAACTTCTCCAGAACCACTGGGCCAATTCAACTTAACTTGAAACAAAGCTTCCTTGGGTGATAGGAATTCAAGTTTCTTCAAATAAAGGGCCACATCCTCATTCAAGGGGAGATAATTCAGAAATAGTGAAAATTTGGTGGTATATTTTAAAAATCTTCTCAAAAACCATTGGGCCAAAAAATTTAAAATTATAGGAAACTTTCTTAACATAGTGCAGATTCAAGTTTATTCAAATGGTGACCACTGGGGGTAGAGTGGGGCTACAATGGGGGTCAAATTTTTACTAAGGAATAAGTAGGAAAACAATCTTTAAAAATCTGCTGCTCAAGAACAGCAAAGCAATTCTTATATCGATATGGAAGCATCCTTGGGTAGTTTAAAATTCAAGCCCCCCCCCCCCCCACGTAAACTTTTCAATACTGAACTGATTCGTGCTTTTTCTAGCCAATGTGACCGTTCATGGTAGCTCAGTCCATAAAGCACTCATTACTGATCGGGAGGTCATGAGTTCGAATCTCGGCCGCTACAGACCTAAGTCGATAAAAAATGGGTAGCAACTGTTCCTTCGCCATCCGCTTGGCACTTTGAAGTGAAAGTTGGGGGTCCTTCGGATGAGACCTTAAAAACCGAGGCCCTGTTACACGGCAGGCGTTGGCACGATAAAGATCCCTCACTGCTCAATGGCCCTGAGTGCTGAGTAAAGGTCAAAATTTGAAGCCCTTCACCAGTATATGGTGACGTCTCTATATGAGTGAAAAATTCTCCAATTGGATGTAAAACAACATACAATCAATCAATCTAGCCAATGTGCACAGGTGGGCGATGTGGCCCATGGGCCTCTTGTATTTAAATGGAAATGCTGATAGGCATGAATCGCGTGATGGTATGAATTTTAAAAAGAAAGAAAATGGAAACTGATACTATGAAAGAAGATGGGCGAACAAGGCAAGTAAATTGCATATGGTGCGACAAATATAAAGGTGAAAATTAAATCTCAATTACAACAAAATTTTCTTTGATATTTCATCTAACATTAAAGTATGCTTTATGTCACTCACGCTAGCTCTTAATATTAGCAGTTAATGCAACATACTCCTAACGAAAGACTGTCGCAGGACACTCCAGATGACAAGAGCCTTTGTCTCAGGTGAGCTAAAAATGTGTGATGTAAATTGAAATTACATCGGGTTTGGAATACTGATAATGGCGACACCAAGAACATTGAGCATGGTAAACAAAAATATTTTTATATGTAGAACTGAGTGCATTTATTTAACTATTTAAACATTAAAATAAGTAACTCCAACATCTTATTAAGGAATAATTTTGTGCGAAACAGGTAACCCATGGAAAACTTATGGAATAACACAATAATTTGAATATTGCAGAGGAAATTCGATCTAACCATCCATAAAAATGTTTTTAAAATAATTCAATACAGTATTGATTTACTTACCAAAAAGATAAGCATCATGCTGCTGCTTTTTCATGATTACGACGACTTTTAATTTGTTTTTTAATCTTCAACATATATATGAATGTCAGACGGAGGTCACAAACCAATCGTATTCAGGTTAAACAGCTGATAAACATTAAAAATAATCAGTGTCAAATCTATCACCTATATTACTTTTATATAATCGGTATAGTGAAATCACTAGTAGAGGTAAAGCCAAAAAAGACATGTTTACTGTTTTCAGGTACAATGAAACCTAGGTGTCTTAAGTATTGTATATAAGATAGGTTATGACATATTTGTCATGAGGTGGTTGCTTGATAATGTAACAGGAAAGGAGCTAAGTTAAGGCTTGACTGGGAATCGAACCCTGCACCCCTTCATAATTGCTAGTCAGGTGGTCTAACCACTGAACTACCCTGGCCGATGTCATTGGCGGATCCAGAGGGGGGGTTCTGGGGGTTGGAACCCCCCCTTTATTTTTTGCCAAGTGGAAAGAGAGAGAAGGAGAGGGGATAAAACATTTGCTGAAATAGATATTTGTACGTCTAACTCACGTTTTAAATATGTTGTTCAAAACAAATAGAACGGTTGGTCATATTCCACTTGCTAAATTAAATAGAGTCTCACAAATTTTCCTTTCCCCCATTTACCTTCACTTTTCATACATTTCACTTTTTTTATTTATGAGTGAATGGAATAAAATACTCTACTATAATTTCAATATATGATAACAGGCAAGGTTTAATTTGATATCTGATTTCGACGATCTTTGGCTATATACATACCATTTTTGGATTATCTAGCTTTTGAATGAACTAAATAAGTCAATATAGGCAATATGCATAAGGCCACAGTAAACCTTTTACTTTTTCACCGTAAAACAAAAATATTATTTACCACGACCTAAGAATTTTCCGTGTGTGTGAATCTATGTTTGAGAGTGTGCTTGCAAGGGGGGGGGGGGGGGGGTCACCACCCTGGAACCCCCCCTTTCAAAAATTGCTGGATCCGCCCCTGGATGTCCAATTGGTCCACAAAGCCTATTAAACCACATCAAAGTAAATTGTATGCATCATACTTTAGTTTAATTTGTGATGCACATTTTTTTTTATTATATTGAACATGTCAATAGAAATTATAAATTGAACCAAATATTATCTTCAACTTAATTAGACAGATTAAAGTTGGACAGATCACAGTACATTTTTTAAACCCAGAATTAGGAGTAGAAATTTGGAACATATTTGAACATATACATGTAAAATGGTTATTAATAAGCAATTAAGAAGTCATTTATTGCAATTTCAATGACCTACTGGGGAGTAAAATTAATGCTAGAAACTTTCAAAATATTTTTTTCGTCTCCAATCATACAATTGTGAATGTTGTGAACTTTATAGAGGTTTCTGTTACTAATAATGATGTAGACTTGTAGTATTATAACACGTTTTATACTTTTTTTTCAGTTTCTGTTTAGAGGTGACTTGAGCAGATTGGCCACATCTGTCAAACTTTTACAGCACACAGCAGCAGTTAATAGTTGTATGAAAAGCCATGAACGATATAAATTTACATCCCCACAAATCCATCCAAATCCAAATGTAAAATTTAAAAAGCACAGGGCCAGAAAAACCATGAAACAGATGTGGGAATTTGTAAGAAATTATTTTAATTTGAAAGCTTTTACTGTATGTTATTATTTATATTGTTAAGCATATAATTTATTCCTTCAAGTGTAGGGAACATTTAATGGTTCGTGAAATAAGATTTTATTAAATTATAATGATTGGAGTTAGCTTCTAAAATTGCTCTGCTTAATAAAATGGTATAAATTTTACACATGTTTTCTTTACATACATGCATGACAATTACTACACAATTTTATTCTAAATATTCAAAAAAGCCATATCTTGCAATTCATTGTTTTTAACTTTTAAGATTGAGGAAAAACCAGATCCACATCACGTGACAGAACCAACCCGCTTATATACAAAAGCCAAGGAGATAGCCATTACATCTATTGGTAAGATGGACCTGTGTTAGAGCTCTATAATTCTGTTGGATTGAAATCATACCAGAATGAGTTAAACAGATTTTTTTTTCAAAATCTTTGGTTGTATTACCACACGCATGTAATTGTAGTAATATAAGTAAGGAATCACTCCACTCTGCAGTGTGTAATACATGTACATACACTTTGTTTTATAATTCTAGTTCAGTTTTATTTCAACGTACATACATGACTACACTTTATGTCAACTACATGTACATTCTTGCCATGGTGATCAAGCACATAACCTCTGCCTTCTGTTTTGTAGGAACTATTATGAACCCATATATTCCAATGGAGAAAGATGTCAGAAAATCACTGAGTGAAAAAGAGGTAAGATTTTGTGCAAGGTTGAATATAATTCTTGTACTTACTGTCATCCAAGTTAATCTTAGAGAGTCCAAAATCTGTCAGCTTCAGGTGCCCCTTACTGGTGATTAACATGTTGTCAGGCTTCAGGTCATTGTCTTTTATTGTAAACTCCTTATGTTCAAATTTCATCATATTTCATGAGGTACATGTTAATTTCAAATTTATTTGGACAGCTCATGCTAGGAATAGTGTTTGTATACCTGTGAATCATAGAGATGGAGAACAAATGAACATTGTAACTGGTACATTCACTACTGTAACATTATTGCATGTAATATTGAAATGACTGTAACACTAGAAGATAATGTATATATATTTTTTTTGGCAGTCATTTGAAGAATTCAGAAAGCGAACTCGGGCTAAGATCAACAATATCAGATTTGCAAGGATTGTTAAGAAGTACGATAAGACACATAACCAGAAGGAGTTTCTAGCCCAGGCTCACCACATCTATATCACAGCGCATAAATGTATCGCAAGGTAAACATGTTAACACATTAACAAACTCAGACATCTGTATTATGACGAGTTTATAATATTTTACTCTTTTATGAAACCTGAGGGGTAAGTTGCTGTTCCAGTTATGAATTGATGTCCATTGGATGACCAGAGTATACTTAAGAATTGATGTCCATTGGATGACCAGAGTATACTTAAGAAATGAATTTCATTTTGATTCATGAGGACATGAACTACGACGCCTCACGCTGGCATATTTCATGAAGCGCGTTAGCGCTTCATGATAAATATGCTGGTGTGAAGCGTTGTAGTTCATGTACCTCATGAATTTTCAAAAATTAAATTCATTTCTTATATTTACGTTATTTTTCTTATGATTTGCCACACATAACACCATTCAACTGTCATTTTTAAAGCAAAACAGTTTGCACTATAGTTTTGACGTCAAGTAAGGTATTATGATGTAACAATGGAGATATTCATGCTCATCAATGGTAGTTCATGAGAAAATGAAGTGCATTCTGTTTTGTAAAGAATCATAGGGGAAATTTATTGGAAATGTAAATACTGTTCTATATTCAGGAGATTTTGAGACGTGCATTTGAGAATTATTCCTGTTTTTTTTTTTTGCCTTTTGTAGGATCAGAGAAGATGATGAAGAATTACTGGATTATGTCACGCAGGATGTTTTTGGGGTAATTAGCCATCAATAATATTTCTTAATTTGAAAAAGTGTTTTCTATAAAATTGTAAAATTGCAAGAATTGTAAAATTCTTGTGTTGTACAGTCAGCATTGATAAGCAAAGAAAAATATTAATGTGAATCTACATGTAATTATTCTAATGAATATTTAGTTTTGACTTGTACATGTAATACCTCTTTTGAATTTTGAAATATGTGCACTTTTAGCAAATGACGAATGGCATGTATGACAAGACTCTACAATGGGAGTTTATTGAGTCAGTAGAACAGCCAAGAATAGTCAACGTAGCAGCTGGAGATTTATTGGTAAAGGATAACGCCTATGCCCAGATTACTGTCAGATTTCATACCTTACAGGTAAATCAAGTATTTGTCTGTTACTGTGTTCTATTTTGAAAATCTTCTTTAATCCTTAGTGCTTTTGATTGATTCTGCCACTGAATGGGATCAAAATTTCTCAAGGGAATTGATAAATGTAAGAGAAGATATTAAAATATCTTGTTCTCAAGAGCCTCTGGCTCATGCACCATGTGTCAAACCCTGACTACTATTTGTGCAAAGCACAAATCTATTATATAAATATATTATAGGCACCTCTCGCGATATCGCGTTAGTTGCGGAAATTTATAAGTCAATTTTAAATATATTTCTTTAATGCTATCAAATATTTCAGAACAAAACTTTTATTTATTGGTCGAAAAATTATTCAGGATTTGTTAGCTCACTACTAGCTTCTATAGGCGATCAAAGTTTTACATGAATTTATTTAGGAAAAATCTTCCTCTCAAGAATGGTAAAGCCATGATCAGTCATATTTATATGGAAACATCGATAGGTAGTGTAGAATCAAATTTTTTCAAATCATTACCCCAGGGGATAGGGTATGGCCACTATTGAAGATCAAAGATTTACAGGAGTATAAATAGGAAAGATCTTGAAAACTCTTCCTCTCAAGAACAGCAAAGCCCTGATCAGTCATATTCATATGGAAACATCCATTTGGGTAGTTTAGATTTAAATTTGTTCAGATCATGACCCCTGGGTGTAGGGTGTGGTCACTACGGGAGAATTCAGTTTTACAGGGGTATAAATACGAAAAATCTTCTTCTCATGACAAGAACAACAAAGCTATGATCAGTCATATTTATATCAAAGCATCCCCAGATAGTTTAGATTAGAATCAAATCATGACCCTCTGGGTAGGGTTGATCCCATTGGGAGATCAAAGTTTAATATAGGAATACATAGAAAAAATCTTTTAAAATCTTTTTCTCAGGAACACAAAAAACATGATCAGTCATATTTATAACAGAAGCAGCCTCACAGGAAGTGTAGATTCAAGTTCAAATGGCAGGGCCACATGAGGCAATTTAACTTTTATATAGGAATATATAGGAGAAAATCTATAAAAATCTTTTAAAGCCATGATTAGTCATATAAATATGGAAGCATATTCAGTTAGTGTAGAATTAAGTTGATTCAAATCATGACCCCCTCCCCCTCCTAGGTAAGAATGGAACCACTTGTATTTAAACTTATCAATACTGAACTGATTTCTGCTTTTCTCTAATCAAAGTGCTCAGGTGAGTGATGGACCTCCAGTTTAATACTCTATCTGCAATATATTTTCAGAAACTAGCTATTTATAACCGCTTTGGGAGGCTGACGTATGGTGACAGGGAACAGCCTCGCTATGTACTGGAGTATGTTGTGTTTGAGAAACATATCTCTGATACTGAGGGAAGATGGAGGATCGCAGGTAAAGTCACACCTGAGTGGAAGAAAAAAGGCTTCTCCTTCCTCCACACATGGAAACAGGAAGTTCCCGAGAAGGAGCCTATTGGATTAGAGGACTTGGAACCCTTTAGGGTTCATCGATGCAATCCCGAGTATCCTGATGAAATGACAAATTATCCTGAGGAACAAAGTCACAACGTGAAATCATCTGTAGAGACTGGACATAACAAGAATAGTCTGAAAGAAAATGAAAAGTTTCAATAAATAACATTATCTCTTTTTGGAGTGGAAATTGTGTAATTCATTTTGTAGGAAGGAGGACTTTTCACAGAGGGTTCATTACTTATGCTTAAGTAATGGATTTAATGATAGAAGTACACTACAATTAATTATTAACGTATGACTTCTGGACTATTTCCTAATGGTGTTCAGTATTTAATAATGGAAGGGAAACAGTGCCTGGCCCAAGTGTGCACTGTTTTGTATACAGGTGCTTGTGGATCCATACCAGTATTGTGGATCAAAATAAAGAGTATCATTTGATGTTTCAATGTACTCATTTAAAAGGATCAGGGTGGTTATACATAGATTTTTGTAGAAATTACGTCCAAAAGTCAAGGTTAACCTGAAGTCTGTGATAGGTGTTCAAATTTAAAAGCTCCATTTGATCCATAAGGTTGTCCAAAATTAGTTTTATGTTTAACATCACCTGTGCACGAAGGTTTCGGAGAATTGGCATTTTGGAAAATCAAGCTACCGGTAATCAGTATTTAAGTTTGTATGCCAGTTAGCTTTTAATTTTAGCAACTGAAAACTGCATTCCATAGGAATAGACAACATTTGGGCCCTATTTGAGATGTATTTGAGATGAGTATCATTAACACTGACAAATTTACTAAAAATGATCATTTAACAATAAGCTTATGATGCACAAATATTTACAGATAAATGAGTACTCGTTTGAAATTGTTGTTTGATTTTTTTCTCCCTCCCTCCCTTCTAGGTTTTGAAGTTTTTAGATGATGTTAAACAAAGAATTAAGTAAAGGAGAAAGGCCTCAAACTGTCCATTCTGTGAGAGAAAGAACTAATCTCGGGCCTAAGGCCCTCGATTAGTTCTTTATCTCACAGAATGGACGGTTTGAGGCCTTTCTCCTACTTAAAACATGATTTCCTTTGTTCTAAGAATTAAACAAAAAATGTACAATACTGGTATCAGAGAAGACAGGTAGCACACATACAATGACAAGTTCATTGTTTACAGAATGGACAGTCACAGGTAAGCTGGGATTCAGAGCAATTTGTTGAATAGGTAGTTCTTGTGTTCTCAAATGCAAATAACAAAAGGTTTTTGTCTAAAGAATGGACAGTTACAGATGGATTTTGGGGGATACTAGTATTTAAACAAGGATGCGATGCTTCAAAATCAGTTTATAGTTTGTGTTGAAAAGGCAAGCATGCTTTCCTCTGATGGAGAGAGTATAATTATGACACAATCAAAATCAAATGAATTAAAAGATGCACAAAATCAGTGATAGTTGGACCTGGGAACAGAGTATAGCAAAAGAAAATATTAGCCAAACTTTGACCCCAAAATGAATTTCTTCTTCGACAGATATTCAAATTCGAATCAAGTCTTGAAATGTTTTATTTCAATTCAATTTTTGAGGGTATATTGACTTGCAGCAGTGTTATGGACTGAGATGCAAATTGTGTTCTGAGTGTTGGATTAGCCATGAGCCAAACTTCGACCTGAAAATGTATTTCAAATCAAATCTGGGAATGTTTCAATTTTAAATATTTTCTATGGAAGCAGTGTAGTGCTCATGGTGCAAACAGTTTTCTGGGTGGTGGATTTAATATTAGCCGTACTTCATTCTAAAAATGGATTCTTTTCAAGGGAATAATGTTTTCGAAATTTAAATCAAATGTGAAATTGTGTCATTTAAATTCCAAGTTTTGTGAAAATTGAGTTTTAAGTATTGAAATAATGGGGCATTATTCATGGATTTAAAAGTGTAAAATCGAGCGGATGCTGTGCAGACATTGTGTTCTGGATTAACTTAGACCTCTACCTTCTTTTTGTTATTTACATGTAAATTATATCGTATTTAATGTATTTGTTTTTGTTTCCTCCTGGGCACATTACAAAGTTTACCTGTCACTCTTCATTCTGTTTGTTTTAACTGTCCATTCTTTTGGAATAAAAACTGTCCATTCTTAAAAAGAATGGACAGTTTTCCAAAAAGAATGGACACTTACAGGTGAATTAATGGATTGTTTGGGGAGTTAGCTCAACATTAAGCTATAGAATGGACAACACAAACAAAAGGTTTACGTCACAATCATGTTTTAATTTCAGTTAACCTAGGCTTCATATTTGCCTTGGATGCCAATTGGCTTAAGGAACTTACTGATTTTAGGGTCATAAAGCCAAGACAGTGATCGGCATACACGTAAATTTGAACATAACGTAATAGCAATGATAGAATGAATTTCAAACCCTTGACTGCAGAGATGGTTGCTTTTAGCTAAATGAAGAGATATAATGAGCTTTGGATCAATGAGTCAAGGCTTCATCTCTCCTAAAAAAACAAAACTCTTACAAAAAATGGTCACTCAGGTGACATGTTTGTTGCTATGGACATCTCTCAATATCTAATCTTTTCCTTCAAAAATACTGATTGCAATCGAATTTCATTCATAGCATCTTTATACGCCCCCACTACACACACACAACAGGGGTTCTAGTAAGAAATATGGTTAAAACTTGAAATATGATGAAATTTTTAAGAATTCTTTGCTCAATCTAAATGATTACAGTCATGCATCATAAATCAGGACTATTAACAGATTAAATTGTCTGAATAAATGAAGCATCCAGATTACTGAAATGTACATATTATAATTGGAAGATATGAATGTAAATTCTGTTCCCCACAATGTTTTCTGGAAGGTGATAATGCGAAGCATCTAAGTACCAAATTCCAACTGAGCTATGAACCCTCTACCAATTTTTTTCTTTACCCATGATCACATCTTCATGCACTAGGATAAAGCCTTCATTATTATATATCATTAATCCAGAAAGAGAATTATTATACTCCCCACAAAGTTTTTTATTTGGGGGGGGGGGGGGGGATATAGGAATCCCCTTGTCCTGGCTATAACTTTGTAATGGGGAGTTATTGGAATCTCATACTTAGTACAAAGATTGTTTTATGACCTGAGGGTGACCCAAGGTCATTCTGGTAAGTTCAAGGTCACTGGCAGTAAAAAGTATAAAATTCTTGTTCAGGTTTTAACTTTGTAAAGAAGAATCTATTGGCATGTATATAATGTGGCTGTTAAGAACTGTGAAAGACCTAACACTCCTGGAAATTTAACAGATAATTTGCTTACATGGTGTAAAACCCTTCTTCAAACAAAAGCTTGCCATTAACACATCACTAAAAAGATGCTGTGTGGTACTTGGGTGACTGTTAACTTTGTAACTTGTTCATTTCTGAATGAACCATGTTCAATTCACATCCTCTGGACATTATACTCGGTCCTAAAACAACAAGGTGAAGACTGTACAACACAGCTGTAGAACTTACAAGGAATGAAGTCTTGAAAGATTTTCCAACAGCTCCAATAAAATAAAAGCATGTCATGAAAACTTATAAAATTGTTTATTAATCATTCATGTTTCTGTCCTTTTTGTATTGAATCACTTCAGTACCATATTTAGTTACCATATACAACAACAAAACATGGCAATGATGTAAGCATTGAGTATCAAAACCATTCATAAAATTTACACATTCTTACACTCTTTAGTGTCTGGCAGCCAGATTTAAGTTAAAACTACTTTTTGACTACATATAAAAATAAATAATTGGAAAAGCTGATAGTTGCCTATAATAAAGCAGATCACATCATGGCATAATTACTTCTAAATGTTTGGTGAACAATGAAGCTTGTGACCTATACAGTTTGCTATAATATCAAAGTGCTTGAAAGTTTTAAAAAAAATCAAAGTGCTTGAAAAGTTGAAAAAAAAAAGACTTGTGGAGACTTTATACAAAGTCAGTTTACACAAAATCTAGTCATTTAAAATAATGAAATTATCAATAACTAATAACAGTACATCATTTTAATATTAAGTTTCACACCAGATGAATTTGAAATATACGTGTACATGCCTAGTAGACACTTCATTTGAACTTTGTGTACAGAAAAAAGGTGCATTCCACACTGCATTTTTTTTTCACTGCTCATTCATATAAACTGTTAAATGTACCAAAGGTACCAGATTTTCACTACATCTTGCTGATGTCTGGAAGTATACGACTAGCACAATAACAATGTGAAACAATGCCCCATACGAACCATGGGTCAAAGAAAATTGCTGGGTTTATTCTCTACTAAAACTGACAGAAAGCATCAACCCCTTAACCAGGTCCAAGTTGTTCCAAATCAAAATATAATTCCATTCATTGCTAAATAAAACTTCTTTAAGATCAAGAGAGGAAGTTTCAACTTTTTCATTCTTTGTCAAAGACTTTAATCTTTTCTGATTACCCAAGTGAACAAATTACTGAAAAAAGGGTACAATGTATTAAAAAAAATCAGTATTATCATAATATCTTAATGCAACATTTATCTAAAAACAAAGCAAGACAGATTTGTTTAGTACAAAAAAAAACTATTCCACCATATCTTATATCATGGTCTGACTTTAAAAATACAGAACTTAAAAAGTATCTGAGTTCAATTCATTTTTTTTTATTTCATGTACATTTTCAGTGTATTTCTTAACACCAGGTACCATCTCCAAAGTTTTAACACAAATTATCACTGAAATACATGTATTAATACATGTAATGCTATTAATGGCACTTTTACAATATAACATTTTTGTTTTAAAAAATTCATATGATTTTGGCTAATTTTCTGTGCAATCAACTTCCGATCACTAGTTTGAAGGAGAAAAAAACCACCACAAAATCAAATAAATACCCAAACACACATAGGAGCTAAAAAATCTCTGAAAAAATACTGTGGAAAATGTATAATGAAATAAAAACCCATGAACACCATTTTCCTCAAGAGATTTCTGCATTTGGAACATTTAATTGAATACAATTAATAATGGTTAATTGATAATTCTTTAAACTGAACATATATGAACATGAAATTTACTTTTTCCTTCAGAGCTCAGAGTTTTCCTAGCACAAATCTGCAACTTTCTCTTTTTAAACTTTGATGATTCATAAAAAAAAAAAAATCTATTTTTTTTGGCAGATCATGATAAAATCTACATGACCTTTTTGTACATTGTTCTTTCAAGCAGAAGCAATGCTAGACTGTTCAACATCACTGCCTTTGTGGCAGTTGACCTATCACAATGTCTGTTCACTTCCCTGGAAAAAAAAACATTGCATACTGTAACACCCTCCCCCCCCTTATTAAGATATTCTAGTCTTTTTAAGCTTAAATAAAATGTAGCATCTCTTATACCTCAGATCAAATGTTACATCTTTCATTCAAAAACTTATCAAATGCAAGCATTGGTAAATTTTAAGCAATACTGACTCTCTAACAACACTTTAGCTGAACTTAAAATACATAACAGCATCTTCTATAATACAAGTTTAAACATCAGTCATACATTTACTTTAGTATTTTGAACTTTTTATGCCAAACAAAAATAATGGCAATATCCAATAAGTTGGAATAATCAAAGTTGAGACCCAAATCCATAAATCATTCCTGACTGATATACATGTATCACTTTGACACATCCCTAATATTCAAAATAAATGAAAATCTTAGCAACAATATTCTTTTGATATACATACACTTGGACTGTGGGCAAGGTTTTTTCAATTTGAGGTACCGATTTACTATGCACATGAACATGCGAAATATTCATAATTTAATACCGTCAGATAAATTCCCACACTAAAGACTAAAAAAGGTTCTCCAAATACACTCTTTAATTAATTTACATTTTGTTGAAGTCAAGTTTAGAAACGTAGTCAATAGGAAATATAATTACCCTTCTTGTTTCAATCTGTGACTATTTATTTCCCTCAACATTTCAATAACATAGTCAACAAGTCTATAAATAGTAACAATATAAAAACAGAAGACAAGTTTGTCTATCTGTATATAACACACGGGGATGTAAGGAATGGTTCAACACCTATCCTAATTTAAATTAAAAAAATAACTAATTCTTTGTAAATAACAACCTAAAATCCTTCCAATCATGTTTGTATTGAGCTTTTGAATTTGGGTAGACACAGTCCAAACTTGGATTCCATCCCATTAAATGTGGCCAGAGCCAGTCTGTAGCCACCGATGTGATCCGGGTTACGAGAAAGTTGTTTCTCCAGCTGTACGGACTGAGGCTCTGATCCCTCGGGACGTCTGAAAGACAAACATGTCATGTAATAATAAAACTGATCTTAAACCAAATATCTGCTTATAGCATTAAAAAGTCTCCTATCTCAGATAACAAATCTAGATTTAAGTATAATTACCGTATAAGCAGAATTTTTAGCAAGGATTGAATTTTGGCATTATTAGTGAGGGTTTTGAGATCGCTAAATTTGAATATTGCTAACAATTTATATATCGGTTGTTATAGCTATCTTTCTTGACATTATAAAATTGCTAAAATTACTTCTTGCTAAAAAATATATACCATTTTTTGGGATAAATCGCTAAATTTGCGTCTCACTAAAAATTCCACTTCTACGGTATCTTTTTCTTGACACTTAGCCTCCGAGACAAGTGTTATTAATTTCATGTATTTGAGAACAAACATGTTTAGGCAGGCAAAATTTACATAGTTTACACCAAATATTTCCAGAAATAACTTTGATGGAATTATTTATGACAGTCACATTATATATGCTGTTCTTACCTTCCACCAAAGTCCACATAGAACAGTCTCTGGAGAACTTCATATGTCAGCAGTGTCACACCAAACTGGGGGGAGGATCTAAACACGCGAGCTGAAATAAACACAATGAAATCCATTTCTAAATAGCTATCGAATAATTGTACATAAAAGGGAGTCAAATGTTATGATCTAAATATTCCAGAACCAAATATATGTACATTAAAATTCCCTCTAATATTGGACAGAAAATACACCTTACTTATATCATTTTGACCTGTGCAATCAATATTCTTAGCAGATAACAATGTATGATTCTTGTAATTCAGCAAATTTCCTTTTAAATGGAACTTTTTATTATTCATTTTTCAAGCAACAGTATTTGTGAGAAACCTGATAATTTTTTGTCTACACATAGTAAAATCTGCCTAAAAAAGTGTTTTTACAAAGCACATCCATCCACAGACCAAATATTGAAAGATGATATCCAAATATTTTACATCAAGTCTTATCATTTTATTTCTTTGTTTTAGATTTTTAGTCCAATAATGTTCACAATTATCAGCTTTATGTGTTGGATCTTATTATTTTGGAAGAAAATAAATTAAAAAGCAATGTACATGTATAACAAAATAACCATATACAGTTAATAAAAACACGGTTTGAAATATTAGTAATACCACCACTAGACCTCGTCTAACAGCTGTGTAACAGATTTCTTACCAGGCGTCCCTTTCCAGAAGGCCCAGCCTCCCTCCTCTCTGTATATCTTACGTATACAGTCTATGACCCCATTATACGCTGTCTGTCCCGTTCTAGCCTGCACTTGCAATCTTGTTTTGATCACATCCGCTGGTGTAGGGATAGCAGCAGCCGGCATACCTACAATCAGATTATAACTGTATCAGCTGTTATTTTTCCAGGTGCCTGTGTACATCTGTCCAATACACTGTAGTGGATATACATCAATATTTATTATCAATGTTGTCTTGAAGTAACTTTTAAAGATTCACTAAAATCAAATTTCTATTAAACATTAGGTAAAATCTACACTTACTCAAAATTACACATTTGATTTATATAAGTTATATATATTATATGATATAAAATTGTTAAGGTACCTGCTATTGTAGCAGACAGAAGCAGTGTTCCCCATGAATTGTAGCCATTTTCATCAGCCAATGCTTTCTTTGTGTTTGCATAAGCAGGGAAATAAATGGCTGAAAAAGGTATGTCTCTCAAGAAACATGCCCTGGACCCCTACAGCACATCAAACAACTTATTTAATATTTCATGCATTTCAAATAAAACATATTTTTCAAATTCATGTTAAAATTCTTATATCCATTTAAAGGTTTAACTTTTTCTGTTATCTGTAACTCCTTGTACCATTTCAATTATTTCTTTTTTACGACTACAATGTATCAACATTTAAACCCAGTTTCAAGAATGTTTCCCATTTGCAACTCCAAATCAAACACATATGCCGTCCAGATGTAGTAGTGTTAGAAATTCCCTTTCCCAATCTTACATATTGTACACGCTACATGTTCTTTTCCATTTTAACTCTATAGAAATAATTTTGGACTACAAAATCAACAATTCAGGTGATTTTATACTAAACTTTGTTTATTTTCAATAGCTGGGACTCTGGAGTTTCTTTTAAGATATGCTTCCCAAATTTTTGCATTTGTGTTTTGGTTAGCTCTGACAAAAAGCAGACCAGAAAAAATGTATTGTGTCAAAAGTTGCTAGCCAATTCTGGTTTACCCCCAAAAATTAAAGAAGTTCACATGTTCAAAACTTTATGATCCTTTTATGACTACAGATAATTTAAGCATAATTAAATTGTCTTTATCTAGATTTTAAGGAGAATTCAGCCAGTATTTCAATACCTTGTACAATCCCATGAATCCTAGTTCCTTGATGACAGTAAAGGCACTGACTTTAGCCTTTCCGTGAACCTCTCCTGCCACCTGTAGCCGAATCTTGACGATTTCCAGAGGGTTAGTAAACATGACTTGAGAGGCCCCAGCCTGTTAACAGATAAATACAGACATTTATCAATCGCATGTAAAAAAGAAGTATCTATATATTGAAAACATCAATAAGCTGTTAAAGTTTACATCTATATGTAGTCATTTGTACATAAAAACATACTAATGAGCTGGAAAAGTTTATGGTTAATTATCAAACAATATACAGTGAAACTTGTCTAATCCAGATGTTGTATATTCTGAAGTCTTGTCTAATATGATGTAAACTTTAGAAAGTTAAACTACTTAAAATGTTGTCTAATCCAGAATGTTGTCTAATCCAGAATGTTGTCTAATCCAACTGATCTATGTGAACCAGTGGTGTCCAGATTAAGCAAATTTTACTGTACATTACTGTCATTAGGTTAATAGCTAGCAATTATCCAGATACTTGTCTCATAAAGTTTACAGACAGCATTTTTCTGATATCATGGATGTATCGTTAAACTATAAAAGTTTACAGCTATAGTTACTTTATACAGATAGAGAAAGATTAACAATGATATGCAGCATTTCATTTCTAAAGGGTACATGAACCAAACTTACTTGTTATAGGATTAAATCATCAGAAAATATGAGGGGTGAGCAAAAAGTTAGCGAACTATCTCTATATTTACAAAATCACAATTCAGATCAGAATAAAATTTGGCACACATATAGTCATACACATGTTCTATAAATAGCAGATGTTATATAATGTTTTGCTCCGTGTTTGTGACGTCACAATGTGAAAATGACATCAATATGTAGGTGACAAAAAATGGCAGACTCAGCCGCACTCGAGCAACGAACAGCTGTAAAATTTAACGTATATCTCGGAAATTCCTTTGCAGTAGAATATGATAATTTGTAGAAGGTTTATGAAGACAAAAGACTTACCAAAAGTTCAATCATTAATTGGATTGATTGTTTTAGTGAAGGCAGGGAGATGGTTAAATATGATATTTGTTCTGCTGCCCAGCGAAAGCAAGCCGGTAAAAAGATGTGTCCTTAGTTGAGCAATTTGTTTTGAAAGATCGCCAAGTTACAATTTGAAAAATAGTTGAATATTTGGGCAATAATATAATTATTAACTCCCTAAAATATTGTTTACTTTAGACTTTAAACATATGAGATATGAAAAAAAGAAGGCGCCCATACTTTTTTCCACATTGGACAAACGATGCTCCCGAGACAGAGGACTCGGGTTGTGATGGTCTCCAAGCTTATTTTTGGAAGGGATATCCTTATCCATCCATCCTATTGCCGAGATTTGGCCATTTCTTACAGATGGTCTGTACTTGTTATAAAAAATAACTTGTATGGTAAGAAATATAAGACTCTGAAAAATCTCTTAGCTTCTGTGAACAGACCGCTATAGAGCATGTCACGTGACCGCCTGGATCACGTGATTCGCAAATGGGCAGACAATGACAGATGTGCATAAAAATCGGAGAGGACTACTTTAAAAAATAATGAACACTGAAACCTTATTTTATTTCTTTTAAGGGAGTACTTCAATTAGTTTGCGGACTTTTTGATCACCCCTCGTATCTACAAAGTGATTCAAATTTGAAGTTTTACGAACTACATTTTGTTTTTGTTGAACTTACTGTGCCTCCTGCAATCATTTCAGCCCAGAGAGGAATATAACCATCTTTACGTGTTAACTTATCCCTCATTAAGTCATTCATCTGTAATAAAGGTGAAAAAATTGATCTTTGGAATATTTGCAAGTATTAAGGTTAGATATACAGTCTTGTTGTAAACACAGTCAATCTCATTTGTAATCATGGCTTATTGGGATTGTGACAATTACGTCACTAAAATTCAAGTCTTTGCTTTTTTCTGTGGGAAAATGAAATTACTTCAGTGTTACCATGTCATTTTTGCACGAAAGAATTTTCACTTTTGGTGATTTTCATTTGGAACTCTGGCAATCTGCTAGGTCTTTCTAAACAAGTTTATTTGTCCAGGATTGACATTAATGGTTGTCCAATTGCCTGGGGCAAGTAAATCCTCAGTTTGGGCGAGCAAAACTTTCAATGTACTTGTGAATATTTCTAATTAAAACATATTTTTATCTTACATTAGTCATACATTGAACATTTGATTTCCCCTGGGAACGCAACATTATTGTTGTCTGGTACACAAGGCCTTCCGATGTGCTTCATGCTTGCACTTCGGAAGGCCTCAGGTCAGACTAAATGTTGTTGTTGCAGAACCCCTTGGGTAGTGTTTCTACAAAGGTCATTTTATATCAATTCATTTAACAATTGAGACCCTAAATCTGTCTTCTTTCATGGAAGTTACAAAAAAAAATACATTTTCCATCTGATAACTTTGTTACTTTCTAATTATGAATAGGACTGTGTATCATGGGGGAAAAAGTATCAGGATATATCACATTCGGAAAAATATCACAATATAATATGATATATTAAGTTATAACATTTACTAGTTTCTACATACTTATTTTAAGGAAGAAAAATTTAGATTTAGCCTTTCTTTTACAAAATACCTTTTTTGAATGGCATAAAGTACATTCTAAAACCAAATTGAGATTTTTAAAAAGTGGGAATAGGTGGAAGACCCCTGAAGGGTAAGTGGATCTGAAAGTTAATGACTTCTCTTGATTGTTATTGTAAATGAACCTCTACAACACCCCGTTTTCATCCAGATTTTTGTATATCATAAAATATAGATAAATACCGTAAGTTTGATGGCTTTCTCTGGACAGACCCCTACAAGCTGTGGTCCCAGACCTCGATACAACCCCAGCACTCCTTCGTGTCGGATCACCTTTTTGAAGCAGTCCCAACTGTTTTTGTACATTAACTCTCCTACCATTGGACCTGTTCTCTGGTTCTGCATCCTAGTCTTCACCAAGTCGATTGGGTACACTGCTGTTGCTCCAGTAGCTACAATTTTAACATTCCAGAATGCAATGGATATATACATTATGATGTAAAATATTCAGGGAATAATACATACGTGTATTTTAACTTTATCTGAATAAGAGATTCTGATCAAATTTATTAATTCCATACAAGCACTTGCCAATCATTTTACAATTAAAAGAATACTACAACATATGCTCTGTAATTTAACTGAAATGGTAGTTTGTTCACCTCCAGCAATAGAACCCAAGGTAAATCTGTAGACACTCTCTAGGATTTCCAGGAAAACCGTTCTCTCTGTTCCTTGTTCCAAAGCCAACTTTTCCTACAGTGGACAAACAAAGTTATTGGTAGGGAACTGATATATAAAGTACAAAACAAATCACTGAACAGTAATAAAATCCCAGGATATTCAAACAACTGTCAACATGTTTACTGCATCATAAAGGACATGTAGTTACATTTCAAAGTTTACATTCATTTTACATCAAACCTATTAGTTTCAAATGGTGTAAATTCTCAGTTTTTCCAATTTTCATCACAACATCCTATAGAGCATTATTTCTGAAACTACTTAATATCTTACATTGAACAAAACCATGTCATCCCTAGTAAAACAACTAATTCGAGAAACCATCGATTAAAATGAAATGCATTGGTATCAACAACTTTTTTATTGGTAGAAGACATACATTGGTATATTCACTGCTTAAACACCGAGGGGTTTGAGAACTTGGAGGATTTTAATAATTTCTAAATACAGTCAAACCTCGCTATCTCGAACTCAATGGGACAGAGAAATTACTTCGAGATATCCGAGGATTCGACAAATCGAGGGTAAAATACTTAAAGAATAAGTGGTTGGGACTTCTAAATCACTTTGACATATCCATGGTTGAGATACCGAAGTTCAACTGTACAGTACTACTATCAGCATGTAAAAGTGCTTGGAACATTAACCTGATCAAAGCTTCACAAGTCAATGTGATGATTCACATATATTTATTAACATGTATTTATTTATTTATTTTTTAAAGTGTTTTTAGTGTACTTTTTTCATCAAGAAAAATCAAGAGTACATGAAACACATACATGCATGATTTCTTTCGTTTCAGGAATGAATTAGACAGAAATCATTTTCTACTTCAGTTGGTGTTATAATGAATTACTTGTTTGGAATTACAAGGTTTTCATTTGAATATCTGGTTAATATCTCATGGTTCTTTAGAACCAGTCTCATTAGCAAGGCTATATAAGAAGTGAATAGTTGTTTAAATGCCAGTTTAGGACAACACATAGAGCAAAATAAAAGTTTAAATTTTATCAATTTTTATTCAATCGAACAATACAATATATGTGTTAACTTTATAATTATGGATTTTCATATTTTACGTTATATGTACGTGTTGTTGCTATGCAGTGTGCTGTTGTTTATTGTACTTTCATTTGAAAGTAATGAATGACTTTAAAGCAGAAATATATATGAACAAGATGTGTTTGTGAAACACTGATGCCCCAGTACGACAGCCCAGGTCGGTAAAGGTCAGGAGGTCAAAAATGTTGATACACAAAGTAAGGTCTTGTCACAAGAAATACACATGTGAAATATGAAAGCCCTAGTACAAACCGTTCAGAAGTTATGATCAAGGTAAAAATTTTTGCAGACAAACAGACAGATGGACGGACAGACCATAAACTATGTGCCCCTGAATCTCTGATTACAGGGGCATAATAAAAAATGTTAATAATTGCAGTAGATATCATGGATTTACAGTCAAACCTCGTTATCTCAAACTTGATGGGACCGAGAAAATACTTCAAGATATCCGAGGATTTGAGATATCCAGAGTAAAATACTTAGGAAATAAGCGCTTGGGACTTCAAAATCACTTTGACATATCCTTGGTGTTCGAGATATCAGTGTTCGAGATATTGAAGTTCAACTGCACAAATGCATTATGTTTTGATGTATACAAGTACATGTATATCTAATTTAAATACACTTTAACACTTACAGTGTATGCATATTCTTTTGAGCTATATTTCTACCTAACACAAGCAATTTTTTTCTACAGTTTATTAATACCTATTGGCAAAGGCATATCCTATGTCAATCCAAGTGCATTACATGTTTATTGAGTAAAAAGAAATTCAAAGCTGAGCTGTAACATCCATCTCTTAAGTACAGTTTATTTCCATGATCTACCTTCAACAGTACTTCAATACGTTAAAATACAGAAAGAAACTGACCCATTTTAAATTGAGTTAAATACATGTATATGTTAGATTTGAATCATTTTCTCATTTAAAGTGAATTACTGCAAAGATACACCTGTCTGACTTCAAACAACACAGCAGTAAAAACAATTAGGAGCTTGCAGTACATACATGTAATAGCTTTAGTGAGAATAACATGCCAATGTAAATAAAAATGGTAAATAAAAATATTATACACTATATCAAATTTATTTCTATTATTATAATACAGTAAAATTAATCACAAAAATTTTATTCCAAACTATCTTGTGTGGTGTTACCATGCAATGGAATTAATATCTGTACATAAACTATGCCTATTTATATAAACATGTACTATATGCATGAACTGGTAACTTTGCAATCAGTTTGTCTACAGTCTAGAAGCACATATTTAACAATATCAGATATACATTATATACAACTCTTATATAGATTGCCCATATATAGATAGTGCAAATGATCAAGTCTTTCTAACCTTAAAGTATACTTCCCCCCCTTTGTTTTTATTTTAAACCTATTTTAGTGTGTGGACTAGCTTGTGAATTTTTTTCAAAAAAATAATTATGGGTAGATTAAATATTAAAATCATAGGAACAACAACCATGCACTTCTCACATTTAAATCCAAGTAATGTTATATGGTGCATACTGCAGTCAACTGTTCAGAGAAAAGGATTTTGTACACAAGTCGAATATTGGGAAATTGTTCATTTTCTGTTAGCAGTAGACACAAGTTATGTATTTTCATCAATAATGCCAACTGTAATTGGTTGAAAATGTAGATGACAGTGGAGGCTTCAAAAATTGGACAAGATTTTTTTTTTTAGATAAAGTGTTTCCAGTTTAAAGGACATAAAAAAGCAAGCTGAGAAAAGCTTTGATTACAAAAGTGTGAATACCATACCTTCAAGTTTTCCTATTTTATGTCCCATAAAAATAATTATATAAAGTTTAAAGTTAAAACAAATAGTTAAAATAATTTATGATATTCAAAGGTCTATGAGAAGAAAAGCATTTAACCTAATTACTCATCCAGAAAAGAAGTCACTTGTAGCATCCAAAACCATCAGCATGATATACATTATACAACTTAAGCAAAACTATTCCATAAAATTACTCAGTTCTTACTCTCCTAAATGAAGAAAACAATTCCTTGGGCAAAAAACTTTTCAGAAGAACCACACTCTCTGTAGATCATTTCTCCAAAACCTTATTCCAGGCTAAAGGACATGGTTAATCATATGCAAAAAGAATTATATGTCTACCTCTACAAATGGGCAGAGCTATGATGAGATGTGACAAATAGACCAACACACAAGGATAACATCTATATACCCAAACTTTCTTTAGAAAGTGACTTTTGTGATTTTTCTCTCTCAAAACTGAAGTAATATCAACACCAATGAAGAAACAGAGGGAGAATTTGACATTCTAACAATTACATGTACCCTAGACATAGCATCTCTGCTATTTTATAAAATGCAAAATTGTTTATCAATCAGATATCAAGTACATTATTTTCTCAAACAACTAACACATCAAGTATGTTTTTCTTTACACAAAAAAAAAACACATTACAGAATTATCCCTATTTACCTGTGCTATCCTCATTTGAATAGAATATGGTGTCTCCCTTCCTTCAGCTGGGGACAGGTCTGTGATGTCTTCAAAGGTAACCCTCCTGTAGGATTCAATAATAGTTCATCTTCATAATTTATTATAGATCATTTATCAATGATCTTAAAATTTACTGAAAAGGGCATTTCTTTTTAGATATTTTTACATAATTATTTATATATGTATATCATTAAAATATTTTTATGGCTCTTCTGGATAAAATGCTGAAGACTTTAGGAATGACTCTAATTCTTGGCCAAATTATTCGAGTATAACCTGGTTTGGGTCAGTTTACGCTTTATAATCCGCGAAGCGGATTATAAAACAGCGTAAACTGACCCAAACCAGGTTATACTCGAATAATTTGGCCAAGAATTAGAGTCATTCCTTATAATTTAATTCTAAAATCATTAAACAACAGTGGGTGTAAAATTTCGTTGCTTTTTATTAGTTCAAATTTGCCGCTCAATAATACAACCCTAGTAACGGAAGTGATGGGAAGCAAGGGGAGGTAAAAACTGATACATAGTCCTAGCAGCCATATTTTTTGTTTGCATGTGGTAAGATCCGAGTTACTGTTTGAAGCTAAAGGTACATTTATTAAATCTGGAATTTTCCATGAATCCCGAGGACTGGAAATGAGAGCATTGCATGGATACAGACGATTCAGCTGGTTGTCGGGGGGGGGGGGGGGGGGGGGTGTCCCCATACCAAACCAGGTTATACAGAAATAATTTGTGTTCCTTTTTGGATATTAACCAATCAGAGGCTAGAATACAAACAAAATTAAATTATATTGCATTAATTTATTAAATTGTTTGGTTTGCAATGATTAATATGCAGTATTCCAGCTGAGTTTAATGTGAAAGTTCACTGTATATATTTTGTTGAATGCTGTACTTATATTCAAAGATTTACCACACATTTACCCTGTTTGATGCTTCAGTCCAACCAGCTGAAACAAGATGTCAATCTCTAGTGGTGTAATTTGAGCAAACTCCTGGGCTTGGTACAACATCTCCTCTTTAATTAAAAAAAGACATGACTCAATCTATTGCTTTTTTTTTTAAATTTTTGTCCAAACAGACAGTGCATTAATTTATACATCTTACATGTACATATTCTAATTCTAAAAAAAATCTTAATATATACAGTATATGTACATGCATGTGGAAAGAAGTCCAAGTTCAGTCCCTGTGCTTCATTCACAACTTTTCTTATGCATAAGCATGCAGTAACAATTGATAACATTTATTATACAGAATTTCATCTTGAATGTTGATGCATAATGTGCTCATCCTACACATTTCCATGTCTTACCTTTTGTGACCTCCATAGTTTTGTCACGCCGTGTACAGGCAAGATAAACTTTCTGGATCAGCTCTAGGTTGTTTAACAAGGACACAAAAGCAGTAAAGTAGGAGTAGCTAATCTGTCTGTGTCCCCCTCCCATGGCCACCTACATAGTGAAGCAATCTTAAGAATGTGCACCTCATTGTACATGCATGCAATTTCTTCCTATGATATACTTTATGTAAAGTATTAACCAAGTATCACTGAAAAAGACCTTGTTGTTAGAAGAAGTGATTGAAAACTATTATCCTAAAAGACAGAGTTTTCCCTTTATTTCAAAGTAAAAGGTTAGAGATAAATTGTAACAGGCTTTCGGTTAAAGTTTATGACAGATCTCTGTAGACCTTACAACAATCAAAATTTGATTTCTTTATTTCAAAGCAGAATTTTTATCAATTGAAATGGTCAATTTGGCTGGTAGCCGGTTCTTGGGGAAAACACTATAAAGACAAGTGTTGCACAAATAGTTGTTAAACTAATGCAGAGCCATCAAAATGCTAAAATAATCTGTGATGAAACAGTCTACTACCAGGGGAGATTACTCACAGTGACCAGGTTTTCTTTGACAAATGGGGTCAGGAGGTAACTTTTTAATTTACACATGATTTCCTCAAAGTCCTTTGCATTGATGTAGCCTGTGTCCCCTTTGTCTCGCCTCCGAAAAGCTTGCAAGGCATGTTCTTCATGAAAATCCTTATAAAGAAAACAATGTTTCTGAGTACTGTGTCATCCAGATGATAATTACAATTATCCTTATAATTTTAATTAAAATGTAGATAATTTTCTTACATGAATCAACTGTGTAAACTCTGGGTAAGTGATTTTTCTTTGTTTGTCTTTCCCAAAGTGAAGTTTTATGAACTCGCTATTGAAATTAAATGGAATTTCTCTGTTCAGTGTTGTGTGTTTTATGATATCTTCAAATTCATCTACAAAACAAATACAATAAATAAAAAGATGGGCTAAATAAACCAATAATTACAAAAAAAAATTATACAACCCTAAAATACATGTATATGTTTTTACCATTCTTGAAAAATAAATATGCCACACAACTTTTTTTAACTCCACTATAACATGGTAATAATATAATTTCCTCCTTGCAACCATGACATAAAACATTATAAGATAATGCTACTGTGATCTCTTAATCGTTGTAACATCTTTACCAAGCAGAACACTTACAGGGTTCGACACTAACGTTAGTCCGTTAGTCTCATGCAGACTAATACATTTTCATTCGGACTAATAAAATATGTGGCTAATTAGTCCGAACGGACCAATAAAAATTTCTGAAAAACAATATGAATAAATTACCGATGTCCGATTCTCAACAACTTTTACTGGAAAACCCCGCGTGTATTTTTAAGATTTCTAGCTTTTGGCGGGTAGTTACGCAATGATGGGTCAATTCAGTGCTTAATTTTTCGACTGATCGATAAGAAGTACAAGGTTTTAGCGATCATGATTTAGTATGACACTTTTAAGAAAGATGTTGGTCGTTTTGGATGTAATGTAAAGACAAAAAAAAAAGAGAGAGAGATCAGGAATTCGATCGTACTTGCTGATTGCGAGATTTCAGTGAATCTGTGGAATAATATATTTCACGTAAATACTTTGTTTATTTCAAAAAATAATACGTATATTAATTGTCACGTTAAATTAATGTTAAAAAACATTGATGTTTCTTTCTTTTTTTTGACAGACTAATAAAATCGCGTGCGGACTAGTAAAAGTAACGAAGCACTAGTCCAGCTGGACTAAAGCCTTAAAATGTTAGTGTCGAACCCTGCACTTACCACAAGAAAGATACCCATTTCCATTTCGGTCAAAAACCTGGAAGGCCAGAGCATACATGGCATCAGGCAGACACAGAACAGCCTCAAAGGCCTGAAATTCTGTGAACGAAATCTTCCTGAAAATATGTTTAAAAGAATTCTGTTAAGAAATTTATACATTTACTACACAAATTATTTGTGTATTGTTGTTAAGAGTATAAATATTAGAATGCAGGCATCCCTAATGTGTGGTTAACAAATTCAATCCTTTACAATTCAAAAAGTTTAATAAAGTATTTATCACGTATAACAAAAACCACTTCTTAGTACTATAAGTGACGAACCAATGAATTTAATACACCAGTTTTCATAATATTTATAGATGCAGCTGTTAATATTTACCCATCTCTAGAAGATTCTACGCTGACTTACCCATCTCTTGAAGTGTCTACACTGGAAGCAAATAATTTCAGGGTGAACTCATCGCAACCTTCACCAAGAAAATTTAGGTATTTCTGAATAAGGTCTCCATATGTCATATAATGTTCACCATCCTCCACAACACTGGCATACTGTAAAATTTAAAGAATGTGTAAATATTGTAATCACCGTTTGTCATAAAGTTAATTAAGATTGCTCAAAATTTACTCACTGTTATTGATTTCAGTGATTGAAATGCATTTCTTTAAATGTATTGCAAAAAAAACAATCTGAAAAAAAATATAAGCACAATTTTTCTTAGTAAGCATAATGTAATAGTGTCTCGGGACAAGCCCTCATCACATTTAGAATATGTCCCATATAATCACTCCAGCAAGCTTTTGGAGAATACAAAAGGGGAAGTTTCTAGTATGCCGGTCCCCAGAATCATGTGATTGCGCATGAGCAGTTATTTCCCTTGCCGTTGCTTTGCAGAATGTAAACAAACCGCCATTTTCCCCTCTCTTCAACAAAACGCATTCGATCGAGTGATTAGGGTTAGGGTATATTGTTTTAAGATTGGAACTGTTTTATAACTCCACTCTTAAATCTTCCTGACTTTGGGCTAATTCATGTAATTTTTGCTTACAAAAGGCACTGCCAAGTGCCTTTTGTGACCAAAAACTTCGTGAATCAGCCTAATGTCGAACCGTGCCGATATACCATCTTATAGGAGTAGAGCATGAAACATGCAAAACTTAAACAAACCGTTAATTAAATATGGTATTGTATGCGGTCTACGGATTAGGGTTAGTGTATATATAGCTCGGATATTGTAACTGTTTTATATTCACCCATGCTCGCATCTATATCACTTTGGGCTTATTCATCATATGCAATTTTTGCTTACAAAGAACCGGAAGAACAGGAAAGTTTTGCGAAACTTGGATGAATTAGCCTTGGTCTAATGTTGAAAAATGCCTGATATTGTGCGCTAAGTTTTGGCAAGTAATTGGTAAAAGCGACTTACCGTTTACTTAAGCTCGATATCCTAACCTCCTAATGTCCATATTCAGAATATTTTTCTTTCAAATCAATGGTGATGTACAATTCAATCAACCAATTACTAGTAATTAGTTATCACTTGTTAAATCCCTGCATTTCTCACAAAAATCTCGCAATTTTAGTAGCATTTCACTTTGAGTCCTATCAGCTATACTTCTTCATCAGTCTTCATTAGTCAAAACACAAGTGACGCACGTCATGAATATTTATGAGATTACATCAAAAACTGATCATGTGACCACATTCCTAAACAACGCAAAATGGAGTTTTATCTACTAAACAAGTACGTTATTTTACGAAACCTTTTAATTCTCATTTAAAAAACTGGGTTTAAAAACCAGTTTTTTAAACCCAATTTTTCACAAGGAACACGATTTTTGGCTCAATTTTGCGATTTGTGGCCTTTTTTATTGATTTTGTCAATCGCTCACGCGATCATATTATATTGTACACCGCCTTCGGCGGCACCTATTTTAGCGCCATATTTATAGGGACCGGTATACTAGAAGTGTTCCTACAAAAAGGAGTTGCACTGAAAATATCTGCAAAATTTAAAGTTAGTGTACCAAACATTTTTAAACTTATGTATGCCTTCTTCCCAAAAATATAATCCATACAAAAAAGAATCAACACATTTTCTTAATGGGTTTTTTTTTTCATGCTTTGAATTTACACACCATGATAACATTTGGAACTCTCTGTACTGTTTATAGGATACACAAAGATTTGAATTCCTATCTGTACCTATATTTTGCTGCATTGCCAACACATGGAGCAAATTCAATCATTAAACTGGATACATAAGACAATATCATTTTAACGAAAGAATGTTCTATCTCAACTTCTTTACCTTCAAAAATATTTCCCTCAGTTGCTCTGGGTCAGCTCTATTAAAAACTTCCACCTAAAATTAATTACAAAATGAAAATTTAAATCATTTCCTTTCGAGTGGTTAAAATAAGAGGCAATTAAAGCTTGTATCATTATATAAACAAAGATATGATTTGTTAAAACTGAAAATAGACTGTTTACCAACGGGAAATAACTCTTTCAAGGTAACAAGTCATGCCCTTCAACACACAGTCTGACATTTATCAAATGAACGACATACAAGCTAAAGCAAAAAAATTATCGACACAGAAAATATACAATTTTAATTTTTAAAGAATTCTTTCCGTCTCACCTTTCTCTGTTCACATTTTGCAGTTTTGATGGGCCAAACTTTGGAAACAATTTCAAGAGGATGCTGAAAATAAATTAAGATTGCAGTGAACGTAGTGCTGTTTTGATAGTTTAATATTTATATTTGAAATCAAACTACATTTGACATCTGTGTCGGTCTACTTTCACGGAAGATTTGATAATCTGCACATATATTCCTGCAAAACATGAAACCGCGGTCACTCACGTCTTTGCCATTAGCCGCCATGTCTCGCTAACAGAAAAGATCATGCCCTCAGTTTCATATGATTGGTTATCCTCTTTCCGAATTCCGTGATCGCAGCAGACGTGTCAAGGACAATTTAATGACAAAGATCCTAAATCTTAGAGAAGTTACGAAAATTAGTAGCTTCGGAACTCTTAAAAATGGCGGGTAAGTCAATATCGCAATCTCATACATTTTTTGACAGAAACTGTGCCTTCAATGAAAAAACTTAAAACCCTATTGTGAAAATTGAGAAATAATCATGTAAACAATTCTGTGGCATATGAAAGATGAAATGAAATTGATATCGTAGTTGATAAGGTGCGTGTTAATTTGAGGTAGTTCGAAATTCCTCTATGTTAGAACGTTTAACTCTGTTCATTATTGTCATTCTTATAATTTCACAGCTTAGATTTAGCACCTGCCAAGAACATCGAACCACTAAGTGATGCAAGAAATAGGGAATTAGGGGGTGCTTAAATGTAGTTTTTAAGTAATACAATTTTAACATTTTACAATATTGCGAATTCAGATATCTTTTTCATCTTTTTATTTTAGGTTTATCAAAAAATAAATTTGATGTTTACAAATGTTCAGCAAATGAAGCCATACATTTTAAACTTGGTAAGTATGAAGACAGACAGTATGTGTAAAGTTATAGACTTTTGTTTTCTATGTGATAATTTGCAAATTTCACCCGTAACAAATTTTTGCAGGAGGTTATTTTTTTTTTCTCTGAGTGCAAGTTCCACAAGGTTATTGTTATAAACCAAGGCATAAACTATAAGGCAAATCCCTTAAGCAACAGCAAACATTTGCAACTATATAATGCATTTGCTAAACAGGTCCAGCACAATACCCTGATAAAGGTATATAGTTTGATGAAGCTATATATAGCTTTATCAAGGTATTACAAATACCTTGATCAAGGTATTTTATGTAATGAAAATACAAAAAAAAATCTGCTAAAGGAATGTAATGGAATTCTAACTATCCTTTTAATTATCATTTCACAATACATGCATATCTTTACTATATTTCCTTCTCAGTGACTTAGCAAATTTTAAAAAATGGTTAATAATTCATATAAAAGGTCATTACATGTATGTTTAAACAAGTTTGAAATCATAATCTGCTTGAAATTTCATACCCACAGTGTTTTCCCTAAGAACCAGCTACCGGCCAAATTGACAGCTTCAGTTGATAAAAATGCCGCTTTGAAGTTAAAATCAAAATCAAAATTTAATTGTTGTAAGGTTCACAGAGATTTGTCATAAACTTCAACCCAAAGCCTGTTACAATTGATCTCTAACACTTTACTTTTAAATAAAGGAAAAGCATTGACCCAGGATAAAGTACCGAGGAAAAATTCGCAAAGAAATATGCTAGCAAATTCAATGTAAACCTTACTACAGTACAGTTTATCATAGCTAGAGAGTTTGTTTTATATTTAATTCTCTGTTTCTAGTTAGAAAGGAAGAAGACCTGGATGATGATACATCAACATTCCCTCCTGAGATGACACATCAGGTGTTTGGAGAGAAGTAGGCTTTTTATTTTTTACCTTTTATTATGTACATGACATGGTTGAATAAGGATCAAGTCTAGGGATCTTTTTGAGGAGGGGATGAAAAGAGTATATTAGATAAAGAATTTCACAATCAACTATGAAAAATCTCCTGGAGAAGTTTTAGATAAAGTACAACCTCTCTGTAACTGAGTCATGTAACTTACCCTTCATGTCAATTTTGAGCAATAATATATAGGATACAAAGGAAATGAACCTCTGGAGCCCTGTTATGGGTGCCCCATACATCTCATCTTAGAACTAGAGCTATTCTGCTTTATGAAATGAATATTTAAAGAACTTATTGAATGATCTTTCAAAAATCATAATTTTATGAAAAATATTATCTACAGCCTTGTTTATTAGCTCACCTGAGCTGAAAGCTCAAGTGAGCTTTTCTGATCACATTTTGTCTGTAGTCCGTCTGTCCGTCTGTCCGTCTGTCTGTAAACTTTTCACAATTTCGACTTCTTCTCCAGAACCACTGGGCCAATTTCAACCAAACTTGCCACAAAGCATCCTTGGGTGAAGGGGATTCAAGTTTGTTCAAATGAAGGGCCACGCCTTCTTTCAAGGGGAGATAATTAAGAATTAGTGAAAAATGAATAGCATCTTTAAAAAATCTTCTCCAGAACCACAGGGCCAGGAAAGATGAAACTCATATGGAAGCATCCCCAGGTAGTGTAGATTCAAGTTTGTTCAAATCATGACCCCCGGGGGTAGGGCGGGGCCACAATGGAGGATCAAAGTTTTACATAGAAATATATAGGAAAAATCTTTAAAAATCTTCTTCTCAAGAACAGTAAAGCCATGAAGAGTCATATTTATATGGAAGCATCCCCAGGTAGTGTAGATTCAAGTTTGTTCAAATCATGACCCCCGGGGGTAGGGCGGGGCCACAATGGAGGATCAAAGTTTTACATAGAAATATATAGGAAAAATCTTTAAAAATCTTCTTCTCAAGAACAGTAAAGCCATGAAGAGTCATATTTATATGGAAGCATCCTCAGGCAGTGTAGATTCAAGTTTGTTCAAATCATGACCCCCGGGGGTAGGGCGGGGCCACAATGGAGGATCAAAGTTTTACATAGAAATATATAGGAAAAATCTTTAAAAATCTTCTTCTCAAGAACAGTAAAGCCATGAAGAGCCATATTTATATGGAAGCATCCTCAGGAAGTGTAGATTCAAATTTGTTCAAATGATGACCCCCGGGGGTAGGGCGGGGCCACAATGGAGGATCAAAGTTTTACATAGAAATATATAGGAAAAATCTTTAAAAATCTTCTTCTCAAGAACAGTAAAGCCATGAAGAGTCATATTTATATGGAAGCATCCTCAGGAAGTGTAGATTCAATTTTGTTCAAATCATGACCCCTGGGGGTAGGGCGGGGCCACAATGGAGGATCCAAATTTTACATAGAAATATATAGGAAAAATCTTTAAAAATCTTCTTCTCAAGAACAGTAAAGCCATGAAGAGTCATATTTATATGGAAGCATCCTCAGGTAGTGTAGATTCAAGTTTGTTCAAATGATGACCCCCGGGGGTAGGGCGGGGCCACAATGGAGGATCCAAATTTTACTTAGAATTATATAGGAAAAATCTTTAAAAATCTTCTTTTCAAGAACAGTGAAGCCATGAAGAGTCATATTTATATGGAAGCATCCTCAGGAAGTGTAGATTCAATTTTGTTCAAATCATGACCCCTGGGGGTAGGGCAGGGCCACAATGGAGGATCCAAATTTTACATAGAAATATATAGGAAAAATCTTTAAAAATCTTCTTCTCAAGAACAGTGAAGCCATGAAGAGTCATATTTATACGGAAGCATCCTCAGGTAGTGTAGATTCATGTTTGTTCAAATGATGACCCCCGGGGGTAGGGCGGGGCCACAATGGAGGATCAAAGTTTTACATAGAAATATATAGGAAAAATCTTTAAAAATCTTCTTCTCAAGAACAGTAAAGCCATGAAGAGTCATATTTATATGGAAGCATCCCCAGGTAGTGTAGATTCAAGTTTGTTCAAATCATGACCCCCGGGGGTAGGGCGGGGCCACAATGGAGGATCAAAGTTTTACATAGAAATATATAGGAAAAATCTTCAAAAATCTTCTTTTCAAGAACAGTAAAACCATGAAGAGTCATATTTATATGGAAGCATCCTCAAGAAGTGTAGATTCAAGTTTGTTCAAATCATGGCTCCCGGGGGTAGGGCGGGGCCACAATGAAGGATCAAAGTTTTACATAGAAATATATAGGAAAAATCTTCTTCTCAAGAACAGCAAAGCCATGATGAGTCAAATTTATATGGAAGCATCCTCAGGTAGTGTAGATTCAATTTTGTTCAAATGATGACCCCCGGGGGTAGGGTGGGGCCCAATGGGGGATCGAAAGTTTTACATAAGAACATATAGAAAAAAAAATTTCTTCTCAAGAACAGAAAAGCTATGTTAGTCTTATTGATATTGAAGCATCCTCGGGTAATGTAGATTCAAGTTTGTTCAAATGATGACCCCTGAGATGGGGAGGAGCTACAATGGGGGATCAAATTTTTACAAAGGAATAAATGGGAAATTTTTTTTAAAATCTTCTCAAGTACAACAAATTCATTTGTTATATTGACATGAAAGCATCATCAGGTAGTTTAAAATTCAAGCCCCCCCCCACCCCCCCCCCCCTTGTTCATTACTGAACTGATTTGTGCCTTAGTCTAGCCAGTGTGCTCAGGTGAGCGATGTGGCCCATGGGCCTCTTGTTAAAATGCTGAATACAATAAACGTTGAAAGCATATTTTAAGAGATATTGAAAGTTGAAATTCAAATACAGCAATATGCATATTTCAGTCAGATTTTGGCGAAATACTGCTCTGACGTCATAGGTGACAATTCAGTGATAGAGAGATGAGAATATGCATACTATTTATGGAGTTATCAACGACAAATGCAGCTTAATTACGAAAAATGCTGAAAAAATAAATTCCTAACGTGCTTTTCAATTACTATAGAAACATTAACTAGTTCTAAGGCATCAGACTTTTGAGATATTTTCGTTTTTTTTTATTCCAAACATTTCGAGTCTGTAGCTCTGATTACGATAATCTTTTGTGATCGGAAAATTATTTTTCAAGACCGCCATCCTTTACAGAACATATGCATAAATTAATATTATGTTAAAAAGGAAGAATAACCAAGTTATATAATATTAAAGAGCTAGGTTCACTTTATGCTTAAAATGGCCCTGTCCTTATATCAATTAATTGACTATCACCCCCTGTCCCATTTCACATATCAAAATAAAGTAGAGACTTAGTGCTTTCATTTCCTATAATAAAATTTTTTTTTGAGAATCCAGGTATTGGAAACTGTCTTTGAGAAAATGCAGTGTTCTTGAATTTTGCAGAGAACATTGGTATTTAACTATCTTCAGCAAAGAATTAAAATATGAGCACAGCCCACGATCCAAAAATTAAAACATGTTTTGTGATCTTCAGAAACAGTTCTTTCATTATGTAATTGCATATTTTGGATCAGAGGTTGTGCTCTATATGAAATATTGAAAAAATACCTCAATTTTTGGCCATTTTTAAGGGAATTTACAGGATATGGGAAAAATGACGCATTTTATGACGTCATTATGCATTGACTGGAGAGAAAATTACGTCACGTTCAATAGATACACTGTCTCAAAGGGTCCAAGTTATAAATACTGCATTTTCAATCAAAACTGAGCAGTTTTGATTTTTCAGATATTCTCAGGGCCAAAAAAAGCCCCAAGTGGCTCTTGCTCTTTGTGAATCAAATAAGTTAATACATGTGATAAAATGACAAATCAAATTGTATTGTGATGGCGAGTTTCTTCGTCTTTGCCGTGTCTCCCTCGCTATCGTCCCTGCTATTTTTATAACGTTAACAGATTTTCATATTTTTTCTTGCGGAGAATTTTAAAATATAAGGTTGGATATTCAATTTCATATTGATTAAAATCCACAACTTGGAAATTCAGGTTGTATCGCGTATATTTTAGTAAGATTAACGTGAAGAGCTGATCAGTCATTGTCGTCTTTGACATCACAGGGTCACATGATCGCTATCTAATTAACTTAGATTTTTAGTTCAGGGGTTTTCATTTGAGTCAGTAATTGGTTAATTACCACGGTTTATCCGCAGTAAAAACACAAAATTTATTAACTGTGGTCATAAGGAACGTTTAACGCTTTTAATTTCAAATAATTTGGAAACATGCGATAAGTCCTTTAAAAGACATTTTAGGGAAATAACTATATATGCTTTTTGTAGAAACAGTAAATGTACAGTATGTAATTTTTTTATACTTGTTTTTAACAGTGAAAGTATTTTTGGATACAAGGATTTGGTGGTAGAGATGTATTATACTGCTGCTAAATTAACAACATTCATTAACCTACAGTACATCACTAAAGTTTCACCAGAATTACATGAAGGACTACAGGTATTCACCTAAATTTATTTAATTCAGAATTGAAGTGATCCAACTGATCACAGTTTGTCTACTTTTGTCTCTCATCTAAACATATTGAAAATTATAAGCTGAAATTTGCACAATTTGATTAGGAGAGGTATAGATATGTTCATTGTGGGAAGAGAAGCTGGTAAGGAATAGGTAAAGTTGGACAGACACTTCTGATTACCATAGACAAGGGTCCTCTGAACAGATCTGATTAGAATTTGTAAACTTCACCTGTTCAGCTTCTTCAGCCTAAAAGTATTTCTTTGAAACATTAACACAATGTATGCTTTTGTCAATATTTAGATTCATTTTATACAAGTAAAGAATGTACTGTATTCCCTTTAAATGTTTAATGGATAATGAGAATTGTTAATGCCATACAATAAAATAGACAAATCTGCTTAATTCTTTCAAAATGCTACTCCTTCTTTGGTTTTGAATCAATAAAACTTTCTGCAAATGTGGAAAAAATCTTGATGCATAAAGATGCATAAATCTGTTTTTAGAAATATCTAACAAATTTGAAATGGAACTTTGTTTTTAGACTTTTACTAGAAATCAATTGCATCTGCAACAGATATGAAACTTTTCTGGATTTAAAAATTCTCCCAAGCATCTTATTTTATGGAGAAAACCTAGGCAGGAAAGGGGGGGGGTGTTAGCATCCTGAATCCTGATAGAGACTGGGTGTCTGTGATTTTTGTTACTATTGTGTGTGTGTGTGGGGGGGGGGGGGGGGGGGGGAGTTTTGCAGAACTTACAATGTCAAATTTTGATTCTATCCAGGCTGATGATGTCATTGGTCAGTTACGAGATGTGGTGCCTCCTGGATTTCTGACCAGTAGAGATGCATTCATTAGTTCAATACCAAAGGATGCTGACTTCAAACCATTTGGAAAACTTTTGCACTCATTCACTGTACACAAAGGTAATGAAGTTGTTCTTATTCTATCCAAAAATAACTAAAATTTAGAATATGTGAATGAGAAGCAAAACAATCAAGTTGTTGGACGAAATGATCCAATTCATCAAAGCAGAATTTATTGAAGATTTTGAAGAGTTTATGTGATGGTAAGGTGTTTGTTTGCCCATCTTTTCCTCTCACTGTAAACAATATTTTACAGTGCTACTTCCCCAACAGTTTTGATCCTATTTCAATAAAACAAAGTATACAACTACTTCTAAACTTTACAAATATACAGAATTCTTCGTTAGTTTCTTGATGATTGGTGTTGCTATGGTTACCAGAAAAATTCTGAAATTCTTTCAAAAGGCTAATACGCCTATATTTTTGGTCAGATTTTATTTGAACTTGGCATTCAAGTAGATTACACCAAGATGCCTAATTCTGTTTATCAGTTGAAGAATTTGGTGAATGGTGATAAAATGGCTACTAAAAAAAGAATCCATGAAAATTTGCCAAAAATGCTACTCTTACAATTTTGGTACAATTTCAATCAAACTTGATACAAATGAAGAAAACATCAGGATGCATACAAGCAATTCTGTGAATGTAGTTATAAAAAAGGTCAGGTGCAATTTTCCTCTTTCACTATTAGAAGACCAGTAGAGCTATTGTCTTATCAGAGACTTTTGTTTTACAGATGGAAAGGATCGACAGTTTGAGATCTATAAGACAGGGATAGAGAGCCCAGGATTTAGAGAGTACCACGAGAGACTACAAACTTTTATTTTGTTCTTCATTGATGCTGCTTCCTTTATTGATGTGGACGATGAACGATGGCGATTCTTCTTACTGTAAGTTGTCCTCAAGTTTGAGGTCACATTTTTATTGCCCTCCATGAATATAGGCAGGGAATATAGTGTTTGCCATGTCTGTCTTCCATTCTTCTGTCCTTCCATCTGTCTATCCATCACACTGTGTTTAGCTCAGTTTCAAAGAAACTGTTCAAGATAAATAACCAAAATTCAATCACTGATACATATTGGTGGGAACATTGACCTTTCCTATGGCCTTCCTTATTTTGCATTTAGCTTAGTTTTAAAGTAACTATTGAAGATATTCTAATCAAAACTCATATAGTGATACATATTGTTTGGAGATTATCAACTCTGTCATAATTTTCTGACCTTGACATTTCCTATGACCTTGACCTTATAAACTCCTAATTTGATTGAATTGCAATTCAATCAAACTTAGTAGTTTATTAGGTAAACATGTTGTTACTGTTATTGTAAATTTACCTAGATTAGCACAGTCAAAGTTTAACATAATCCCCCTCTTCAACTGATAAGCTCAATCATAAATTAGTATTTTTGAATCTTGAAAACAAGTCATGTATTAGGGTGTACATAAATTAGCAGACCTAGAGCAGCCTGAAATGTGCTGAAATAAGATTAATAGTTCAGTATGTACTATTACAATGATATGTCTAGTTTTCTTGAAGCATTTTTCATTTGCAGAATCTTCTTTTTTTTAGGTTTGAAAAATACATGTGTAATGGAAATCCAATGTATGCTATAGCAGGTTACATGACTGTATATAATTACTATGCCTACCCAGAGAAGTTACGTCCCAGAGTCAGGTAAAACATGGCACTCTTCTCATACATAAATGAGAAAAATGCTAATTTGTTTGATTTAAGGAAAGTGTAAAAGTTTACATGCTGTCATAAATAAATAAATTGTGATTTAAGACCCAAAATGATATATTTTTTATTACCTATAGCTTTAATTGAAATGTTGCATCCAGTAAATGTATTTTTAAAATATTTTCAGTCAAGTGCTAATCCTGCCGCCCTTCCAGAGGATGGGTTTATGTGCCGAGTTGTTACAGACCTTCTATAACGACACTTATAGGAGGAAGGAGGTGTTAGATATCACAGGTAAAGATGTAGCATCAGTAAAACGTACTGACAGTCTAGCAGGTGCTAGATATCACAGGTAAAGATGTAGCATCAATAAAACTTACTGACAGTCTAGCATGTGCTAGATATCACAGGTAAAGATGTAGCATCAATAAAACCTACTGACAGTCTAGCAGGTGCTAGATATCACAGGTAAAGATGTAGCATCAATAAAACCTACTGGGAGTCTAGCAGTAGAAATACAAACACAGGACATTAACCACGCTAGGTTACTCGAAATTTTATTTTAAATGTCATGAAGTTTTTATTTTCAGTAGAAAAGATGTGACAAAATTACCCCTCATTTTTTTGTAATATGTACATGTAATAGAGTAAATGTTTATTTTTGTATGATTAAGTTGAGCATATAATTGAACATTAGTACATGTATTTTTACCAATTTTACTTGTTATCCTAACACAGTTGAAGATCCCTCGGAAAATTTCCAGAGAGTCCGAGACTTTGTGGATGTTAAGAACTGCCAGAGTCTTTCATCTTTCCGACCAGAGAGACTCCTGAAAGGTTTCTCCGAGGAAATGCAGAGAGAAGCCAGAGAGAAGTTCAAGCTTAACAAGGTCTTAATTTCACCTTGTCCAGATTTAATACCATTTTACAGTAAATCACTAGTTTTCTGATTCTCAATTTATATTGTGAGGAAAACTGAAAATTTAACTTATAATCATGCATGTACTTTTGCACTGAAATTTACAGTTTAACTTTAAAATCTCAGTAATGAATTAAAAAAAAGAATGCAAAAACAAGCTTTTTAAGGAAGTCACTCTGTTCTTGTATGAAAAGGTAGATTTTTGCAATTTGTGAGTGTATATCTAGAATTGGCATCCTCTGTAAGGATGTTTGTTAAAATATAACATTTGATTTGTAGAGACAAACTAGGAGAGTGTATGAGATTCTGAGGTTGAAGGCGACAGACACAAGTAACAAAGAACAATACAAGGCATACAGACTGGACATGAAAAGGAGGCTGAATGCACCATTCCAGGTAGGTCCTCTCATCAAATAGGGGGCATATCCTGGGGGGTGAGGAGGTGTAATCATTTACAGGAATGTCCTCTCACCATTAAAGGTCATATCCCAAGGGGGTAAATCATTCCAGGTTCGTCCTCCCATCAACTTTGATGGTATTTCAAATATAGATACTGTAAAAGCAGAAATATTTGTGAGGGTTTAAATTTCGTTGTTAACTATTATCAACAAAATTAAATCCTACACAAAATTTTATGTGACTTTATACTGAATAGGGTTACTTTCAAAACAACTAAATTAAATGCCCATGAAAGTATTTTTAAATTAGTACAAACTAAATATTAATACAATTTAACAAAATTTTATCCCCACGAAAATTTATGCTTCTACAGTATATGAGAAATACACATGCTAGGAAGCCAGTGAAGAGATGTTGGAAATTCAAAGTTTTACAAAAGAAATGAAATTAATTGCAATGAACTTGTAGTAAAAAGTAAAATGAATAGAAATCCTTATAAGTGATAAAATTCTAGAAATTTAATATGACTGATGTACCTGTATAGTATATGTGATTTTGAAAGTAAGGCAAGTTATTCAATTTAGGTCTATACTTATTTACTCCAGAAAAATGGTCGTGATTTTGACAAACTGAAGAATGTTTTACGTCCAGACGAGTTTTCTGCCACTCTGAGCTCCATCACTGAGGAACAAAGGCATCAGTATTTAGAGACAACATTTCAGGAAAACGTGGAGATGTATAGGAAAGTTATAGACCGACTGGCAACATCATAACCCAGTATTGTCCTACACTGATAGTCTCTGGCAATGGATGGTGCTCGTCTGGACTACCAAATGACTAGGCATTCTTTTGTTGTAAATCATCAGTACTGTTCTCATTACTTTATCTAGGGATTATTTTCCAGTCCAATTGACTTGCATGGTGAAGAATTTTCCATTTAGTTAAATGTTTACGTCAAGGTTAGGAATCTCATTTAAAAGCTGGCTTTGCTGAAAATGCAGATTCAACAGAATTTTTTTTCTGCTGGAAGATACATATTAAGTTTCATTTTGTTTATCCATAATCAGCCAGCAGCAGTCATTTCTCATGTCACCATTCTCATGTTAACAATTTAGGGGGAAAATGTGTGTGATTATGTTCTCTTGTTACCCATATGCCATCTTGTGTGATAAATCATTATTTTACTGCAATATCTAAAAATGTCAACCCAGTCAGCTGAGTGTACAGAACTTCATGTACATTGTATATTGTGCTTTTCTTACTTTCCTCCTGTGATCACAGATTTTCATTTTGTTTTATACATTAATTGATAAACAGACAAAATAGTTTATTTTCTTGCTATGTTCTGCATTAAAAATAATGTGAAAGATTTTTCCCTCAATATTTAAAGATGTTGATTATATATTTTTTTATCTCCCCGTTTTTGATGCAGTGTACGAGTGACGCTGACTAAGAAGTTTGAACACTTTCATGAAGCATGTTCTGGGTCCATATCTCGGAATGATTTGGATATTACATTTTCTAGTCTCATGTCATAAATATCTATTATATTTACAACCCTTTGCAAACAAATTCTTGGTTACATACATGTGTAAGTAATATATTATGTTAAACTTTTTATTTTCGTCTTCAAAACTATGACTTGACCATAAATGACATGGAAAGAAACAAGAAGACATATACAAGTATTAAATTTCAGAAGATTTAACTGAATCTACCTTCTTACAATTCTCAACAGTCAAGTCTGACATCTTCAGGACCTATTATATTTGAAGTTTTGTTTCAACTAGTTATAGCTTATATGATCTCTTAAGGAAAAGAAAATGATTGTGGATTTTCCTATGACTATTTATAATGGTGAGTTTTGTTGTACTGTTTGGAACAGGGTTAGTGCTTTAATGTCAGTGATGTTCACACACCAGTATCATATTTATTTAATTCCTAATATTATTTTCCTTGTATGTGGAGAAGGAAGAGTGGATGTCGGATGAAAATAAACTTGAAAGCATTCATTTTTTTTTCTCTTTTCATTGACATTTGACACATTGATTGTATTTAATGTTTTATTAAAATGTATAACCATAAGAATATCAAGGAAAATATAATATAGTAAATTCTTCATGTAATGCATGGATTAAGTTAGTGTACTTTTTAGATTTAAAAGAACTACAATGTACATGAACCTTCATTCCCCAATTTCTAGAAGACTTCAACATTTACACCACAAGATCTGGAATAGTAGTCTTTTCAAGTCATTTGTAGTCTTTAGTGTTTCTTCTGGTCCAAAACCCAGTTCTTCAGAGCCTGAAAAATACATGAAAATACCCTTTAATATGTACAGTGTAGAAAAGACTATAAAACTTTCCTAGTTCTTCATGGACATTCAGTACATAATATACAGGTAAACTTCGCTAACTCAATCTCGAGGGGACCATGATTAAACTTTTGAGATATTCAAGGATTCAAAATAATGAGCCTCAGGGTAAAAAACAAGAGGCCCATGGGCCACATTGCTCACCTGAGCACATTGGCTAGGCAAAAGCACAAATCAGTTCAGTAAAGATTACCGGGGGGGGGGGGGGGGGGGGGGGGGCTTGAATTTTAAACTACCTTCCATGTCAATTTAACAAATGGCTTTGTTGTACTTGATAAGGTTTAAAAAAAATTTCCCATATATTCCTTTGTAAAAATTTGATCCCAAATTGTGGCTCCTCCCTTTCCCAGGGGTCATCATTTGAACAAACTTGAATCTACACTATCTGAGGTTGCTTCCATATCACTATGACTAAACTCAGTTTTTCTGTTCTTGAGAAGAAATACTTTTTATTCTATATGTTCTTATGTAAAACTTTCGATTCCCCATTGGGCCCCACCCTACCCCCACAAAGATGGATCCAGGGCCAGCTCGCCGGGCGTGAGCCCCCCGTTGAATTTTTTTTATGTAGAACTTATATGTCTATTATCCTAAAATCAAGGAAAAACATCTCTTCTTTGTAAGAATTTGTCAGCTTCCCAGACCCCCACCAAGGCCTTGCTCTAGACCCATTGGGGGCTTCAATGCAGGCCCACTGCCTCTACTCCCACCCCGTTACGAAATTCCTGGATTTACACTACCTGAGGATGCTTCCATATCAAAATGACTACACATGATTTTCAGTTCTTGAGAAGAATATATTTTCCTATATGTTCCTATGTAAAATGTTCAATCCCCCATTGGGCCCCACCCTACCCCCGGGGGTCATCATTTGAACAAAATTGAATTTACACTATACCTGAGGATGCTTCCATATCAAAATGACTTATCATGGCTTTGTAGTTCTTCTGAAGCAGATATTTTCCTATATATTTCTATTTAAGACTTTGATCCTCCATTGTGGCCCCACCCTACCCCCGGGGGTCATGATTTGAACAAAATAGAATCTACACTACCTGAGGATGCTTCCACATAAATATGACCCATCATGGCTTTGTGTTCCTGAGAAGAAGATTTTTTTAAAGATTTTTCCTTTACATTTCTAAGTAAAACTTTGATCCTCCATTGTGGCCCCGCCCTACCCCCGGGGGTCATGATTTGAACAAACTTGAATCTACACTACCTGAGGATGCTTCCATATAAATATGACTCATCATGGCTTTGCTGTTCTTGAGAAAAAGATTTTTAAAGATTTTTCCTATATATTTCTTTGTAAAACTTTGATCCTCCATTGTGGCCCCACCCTACCCCCGGTGGTCCTGATTTGAACAAAATAGAATCTACACTACCTGAGGATGCTTCCATATAAATATGAATCATCATGGCTTTGCTGTTCTTGAGAAGAAGTTTTTAAAGATTTTTCCTATATATTGCTTTGTAAAACTTTGATCCTCCATTGTGGCCCCACCCTACTCCCGGGGGTCATGATTTGAACAAACTTGAATCTACACTACCTGAGGATGCTTCCATATAAATATGACTCATCATGGCTTTGCTGTTCTTGAGAAGAAGATTTTTAAAGGTTTTTCCTATATATTTCTTTGTAAAACTTTGATCCTCCATTGTGGCCCCGCCCTACCCCCAGGGGTCATGATTTGAACAAATTTGAATCTACACTACCTGAGGATGCTTCCACATGAGTTTCATCTTTCCTGGCCCTGTGGTTCTTGAGAAGAAGATTTTTAAAAGATGCTATTAATTTTTCACCAATTCCCTATTATCTCCCCTTGAAAGAGGGCATGGCCCTTCATTTGAACAAACTTGAATCCCCTTCACCCATGGATGCTTTGTGGCAAGTTTGGTTGAAATTGGCCCAGTGGTTCTTGAGAAGAAGATGAAATTGTGAAAAGTTTACAATGACGACAACGCCAACAACAGACAACGGACAAATTTTGATCAGAAAAGCTCACTTGAGCCTTCGACTCAGGTGAGCTAAAAAACATAAAAAAAAGTGGTTATGACTGCTAACTCACTTTGACATATCCCTGGTACTGTAAACATCTTTAATTCCACATGTTTAATATTTCACAATTTTCTCTGTTTTTTGTAATTTTCACAGTGGTTTTAATTTTGCCAATTTCTCTTTGCTAAATATTTACAATTTTTTAAAAAGATGTCTTTCAAAAACAAAGAAACATATTGTAAATAATTTATAGTAAATATATTTAGAAACTAATCCATGTTGTTAATAACATGAAGTTTCCTTATGAGTTTAATGATTTAATATGTTATTACATGTATTGTGGAATAGGAAAACAGGATATTCACGATGACTTAATGCTAACGGAAATTCTTTGATTTTGAACATTGTGAAATTGAAACCATTGCAAAGTATTCATCTTTCACAGTTATTGGTTATTGGTGTTCCATATAATGAGTTCAACTGTATGTACGTTTGTTGGTTAGTATTACCTGGATACCATTATACACTGGAGTACAGTAGTCTTTGACAAAATTCTCCGGTAACTCTGTGCCAAGTCCTAAACTGCGACTGTAGGCCAGGGCATTACCTCCGTCAAATGGAACATAACACAGACGAGTGGTCAGCTCGTCCACTGGTCTCAGAAAAGCTGGACCTCCGGCCATTACCTACAAATGTATTATAGAAAATACTCACTGTGGAAGTTTAAAAGTATTTGTATGAAAAGTTTACCCGTTTTCAGAAGTTAAAAAGTCTGCTAGGTAACAATAATCCTACTGATTCTTTGAGGTCAATTTAAGAATTTTAAGTTGTGAAAGATCCATATATTTGTATTTTGAATGAAGAATTTAAGCTTTGTTACTAAGCAGGTAGAAATTCCACATTTCTGGAATGCATACTATGTAAATGTCTTATGTGAAAGTGAACATGTACTTCCGGTTGCATACAATACTTAACTGCTACACCACATTTACTGCTGTAAAAAATACTTAACTGCTACACCACATTTACTGCTGTAAAGAATACTTAACCAATACACCACATTTACTGCTGTAAAGAATACTTAACCAATACACCACATTTTCTGCTGTAAAGAATACTTAACTGCTACACCACATTTACTGCTGTAAAGAATACTTAACCAATAAACAACATTTACTGCTGTAAAGAATACTTAACCAATACACAACATTTACTGCTGTAAAGAATACTTAACCAGTACACCATATTTACTGCTGTAAAGAATACTTAACCAATACACCACATTTACTGCTGTAAAGAATACTTAACTGATAAGCCACATTTACTGCTGTAAAGAATACTTAACCAATACACCACATTTACTGCTGTAAAGAATACTTAACTGCTACACCACATTTACTGCTGCAAAGAATACTTAACCAATACACCACATTTACTGCTGTAAAGAATACTTAACCAGTACACCACATTTTCTGCTGTAAAGAATACTTAACTGCTACATCACATTTACTGCTGTAAAGAACACTTAACCAATACACAATATTTACTGCTGTAAAGAAAACCTAACCAATACACCACATTTACTGCTGTAAAGAATACTTATCCAGTATGCCACATTACTGCTGTAAAGAATACTTAACCAATACACCACATTTACTGCTGTAAAGAATACTTAACCAATACACCACATTTACTGCTGTAAAGAATACTTAACCGATACACCACATTTACTGCTGTAAAGAATACTTAACCAGTACACCACATTTACTGCTGTAAAGAATACTTAACTGCTACACCACATTTACTGCTTTAAAGAATACTTAACTGCTACACCACATTTACTGCTGTAAAGAATAATTAACCAGTACACCACATTTACTGCTGTAAAGAATACTTAACTGATACACCACATTTACTGCTGTAAAGAATTCTTAACCAATACACAACATTTACTGCTGTAAAGAATACTTAATCAGTACACCACATTTACTGCTGTAAAGAATACTTAACTGCTACACTACATTTACTGCTGTAAAGAATACTTAACCAATACACCACATTTACTGCTGTAAAGAATACTTAACAAATACACCACATTTTCTGCTGTAAAGAATACTTAACTGCTACACCACATTTTCTGCTGTAAAGAATACTTAACCAATACACCACATTTACTGCTATAAAGAATTCTTAACCAATACACCACATTTACTGCTGTAAAGAATACTAAACCAGTACACCACATTTACTGCTGTAAAGAATACTTAACCAATACACCACATTTACTGCTGTAAAGAATACTTAACCAGTACACCACATTTACTGCTGTAAAGAATACTTAACCAATACACCACATTTACTGCTGTAAAGAATACTTAACCAATACACAACATTTACTGCTGTAAAGAAAACCTAACCAATACACCACATTTACTGCTGTAAAGAATACTTATCCAGTATGCCACATTACTGCTATAAACAATACTTAACTGCTACACCACATTAACTGCTGTAAAGAATACTTAACCAATACACCACATTTACTGCTGTAAAGAATACTTAACCAATACACCACATTTACTGCTGTAAAGAATACTTAACCAGAACAACACATTTACTGCTGTAAAGAATACTTAACTGATACACCACATTTACTGCTTTAAAGAATACTTAACCAATACACCACATTTACTGCTGTAAAGAATAATTAACCAGTACACCACATTTACTGCTGTAAAGAATACTTAACTGATACACCACATTTACTGCTGTAAAGAATACTTAACCAATACACAACATTTACTGCTGTAAAGAATACTTAACTGCTACACCACATTTACTGCTGTAAAGAAAACCTAACCAATACACCACATTAACTGCTGTAAAGAATACTTATCCAGTATGCCACATTACTGCTATAAACAATACTTAACTGCTACACCACATTAACTGCTGTAAAGAATACTTAACTGATACACCACATTTACTGCTGTAAAGAATACTTAACCAATACACCACATTTACTGCTGTAAAGAATACTTAACCAGTACACCACATTTACTGCTGTAAAGAATACTTAACTGATACACCACATGTACTGCTGTAAAGAATACTTAACCAATACACCACATTTACTGCTGTAAAGAATACTTAACTGCTACACCACATTAACTGCTGTAAAGAATACTTAACCAATACACCACATTTACTGCTGTAAAGAATACTTAACCAATACACCACATTAACTGCCGTAAAGAATACTTAACCAATACACCACATTTACTGCTGTAAAGAATACTTAACCAATACACCACATTTACTGCTGTAAAGAATACTTAACCAGTACACCACATTTACTACTGTAAAGAATACTTAACCAATACACCACATTTACTGCTGTAAACAATACTTAACTGAGACACCACATTTACTGCTGTAAAGAATACTTAACCAATACACCACATTTACTGCTGTAAAAAATAATGCTACAACACATTTACTGCTGTAAAGAATACTTACTGCTACTCCACATTCATCCAGCATTACAGCACACATTTCCTCACAGGTTTTAAATCCCCTTCTTTTGAGATTTTCCTTGATGACCTCAAAGTCTGGGAATATGTAGTACCCTGCAGTAGGTTTCACAGCCTTGACTCCCACTGAGGTCAGCTCCCTGTTTTAATGTATTAAATATATACACCGGTATACGACACCTTTGAAGGAGTCATCTCTAGAGAAATTTAACTGAATATACATAAGTACAAAAACTTTTGAACTCCCTTCAGAATTCAAGACTAATGAATCAATTAAGCAATAATTACCAGTAGCAATAAGATCCCACAGCATCCAGTATCCTAGAGCAGTGTTTGATGTAATCATCACAGACGTCCAGATTCTGGAACATCTACAGATGAGAAAAGAATAAGATTCAGTTATCATTGGTTAAATTTCAATCTTAAATTATCCTCAGTTATTCACTGTTTAATTAGGTGGCTATGTACTGTACTGGGAAGGGTGGCTGATGTGTAGGGGTGACTTACCTCTGTGGCTGCACACTGTACTGGGGAGGGGGTTGATGTATAGGTGTGACTTACCTCTGTGACTGTGTACTGTACTGGGGAGGGGGCTGATGTATAGGTGTGACTTACCTCTGTGGCTGTGTACTGTACTGGGGAGGGGGTTGATGTGTAGGTGTGACTTACCTCTGTCACTGCGTACTGTTCTGGGTAGGGGACTGATGTATAGGTGTGACTTACCTCTGTGACTATGTACTGTACTGGGGAGGAGGCTGATGTATAGGTGTGACTTACCTCTGTGACTGTGTCTTGTACTGGGGAGGGTACTGATGTATAGGTGTGACTTACGTCTGTGACTGTGTCTTGTACTGGGGAGGGGGCTGATGTGTAGGTGTGACTTACCTCTGTGACTGTGTACTGTACTGGGGAGGGGACTGATGTATAGGTGTGGCTTACCTCTGTGACTGTGTACTGTACTGGGGAGGGGCTGATGTACAGGTGTGACTTACCTCTGTGGCTGCGTACTGCACTGGGGAGGGGGCTGATGTATACGTGTGGCTAGCAGCACTTCTTACTGCCTTCCTCAGGTCTGACAGTTGTTTAGGGTACATGTGGTAACCCAACTACAAATAAAACTCACATAATGAGCAGCATCCATCATTGCCAGTAGCTTACTTGCTCTAAATGTGATAGTAATTCTAAGAAGTAGATGCTTTTACACATGTTGCACTAGTTTTATAATTCATGTGTCGTGTAGTAGTTGGGGACATTACCCCCATTTCCTGTTCTGATTAAGATTTTCTTACCCTCCACCCTCCAGCACTCGCCCATTTGGACAAACCAGTACTTATGATGGTTCTTTCTGGGTAAAACTGAAAGATAAATAGACTAAGAGGTACACATAAACCCAGAATTCTGTAATACTCAAAAGTGGGCATGGCCAGGTTTTCAAGTTTGGGGGAGGGGCCTGAGTTGATTTCAAAATGTAAAAAAAAAATGTACAGTACTAATATTTTTTGGCAGTGTTTCTATCTGTGTATAATTTATTAAGAGTATATATAGCTTACAACATTAAGGCTAACCTGCACTCCCCCCCCCCCCCCCCCCCATAGATTTAAAAAAAAAACAAGTAAAAAGAAGGCAAACAAACAAAATCAGTCTTTTAGTTTGGATGAATTACTCTCAATAGAAGCAGAAATGAATTTTAAATGAATTTGAAATTTAATCCCTGGCAATGAATATATAATATTTTTACATACAACACTAGGTTGATATTTATTTGACACTGAGTGGATTGACAGGTTAAATTAAGGACATAGGATACTCTATAAATTGTGTTATAGAAATCTGCAAAACGGTTTGTACAGGCTTAATTATTGATAAAACACATATTTATCACAGAATTTTCCCATCAAACCAGCCTTATTTTTTTCCATTCTCCCAAAATTTATACCCCTGTGCAATTCGTTTCACATTCATTTTCATTCCCCGACACAAAATTTGCCTCCCAGTGCTTGTCGGATTAGACAGGTTTCAAATCCTTACTTTCTCCAGTTTTTGGGTATCCTATGACCTTAAATTAGAAATACTTGTTCTCAGACCTTCAAAGTTTATAAAACAACAATGCAGCACAGTCTTTGGCCATTGTTAAAAAGTATTGAAATTATGGAAACAAATTATTTTTTTTTATTGAAGGGATGGTGAGGCCTTACTTTTGCTAGAGAGACGTGATTTTGGTCATATCGTATGCGGGAGTAGATCTCGTCTGACAGGACAATGATGTTATGTTTTCTGAATGCCCCACTGAAAATCAAAAATATATCATATCACAATCCTGTCTGACATTGTTAAAACAAATTAATTCTCTGTTAGTGAGATTATACAGCAGGAATTGTACGTGTAACATCTTTTTAGATTTTATTTATAGATTTTATTTATGATAGACTTCATAAATGTTGGCATTTCGAATGACTGCAATATTTCTAAATAAGAGCCTTTTTTTTTAATAAGAGCAAATATCCATTACGGGGAACATTTTTACCTGAGTTCTTGTAGCTCTTGTTCAGAATAACTTGTACCCGCTGAAAGGGAACTTAGTTTAATTCACAATATCACGAATATTCAATGTCTATAGTACTGAACAAAACAGTTTCCTAACCCAGATTGACTTGTTGGTATCATAGCATTTTAATGAAAATTTAAGATTATTTTTTAAATTATCCACTTCCTTAAATTGTTTGTATGATTTTGAGCTATAGTAACAAATTACATGAAGATGTGGACTTTTTGTTGTACAAGACTACTAGGAAAGAAATAAAATAATACAACGACTTCCTTTTGCCGCTATATTGTGTTAGGATATCTCGTTATTATTTGTTTTATTTTCTTGCTGATTCAATCTTCTTATTACTGGAAATTTTTCCTTAAGTCTCGCTATATTGAATTATTTCGTTATACTAAGTATCTAGATATATTACGGGATATCTTCTTGATATTACCACCTGACGAATGGATGGTGGAACCCCCCCCCCCCCTTCTGAGAATTTCTAATAGACAAGATTACTTTTCAAAAATACACGAATTCCAAGCCTATCATAGCTATATTCCCATATCTGATATCATTTCCGTTTTTGTTAAGTTTTAGCATGTTTATAGATTGGCTCTTTACACATTTATTTACGGATCACGTTTACAATTTTATCAACAAAAAAATCATGAAATCTTCCGAGGATCATTATGAAACGTCCTTGGGACAAAAAAAAAATATAAAGATAATTTGTAGACCATGACAAAACATAAAACGTAAACCTTAAAAAAACTAATTTCCATGTATATGTATAGACTGCCGGCAATCATCCATTCCTTTTATAAGGACTGCGTTCATATCATTTTACTTGTTTAAATAAACAGCACATTACACAGCACATTTTCAATGACAAGTAATCTATACCTATTGTAAATTTTCACCAAATAAAGATACACGTTAAAGAGAGCAAATGAATTCTAAACATTCTCTCAAGAGCAGACTCTTTCTGTTTTCGCGTTTTATCAACAAAAAACAAACAAACAAACAAACAAAAAAGCAAAACAAAACAAAAAATTTTACAAAAAACACGTTAAAACGAGGTAATCATTTCGTTATGAAAGAAAATTCAATCAATTTAACCAGATAATTATCTTGTTATTACGAGATAACCATTTCCCTAACTTTTTACGAGAACTAATACTCCTCGGTAGTGTGTTTTGTCGGCATTTCATAATGTTAATTTCAATTCATAGTAACCACATATTCTATTTATAGTTACTGTAACCATCTCTCTTGTTACTTACTCATATATACAAGTACTGAGATAACTAACACAATACCTACTATCATTTTACCATGCATAATGTTTGCTTCTATTTAAGAGAGATGTCAAAATTGTCTTACTTGGATTATCCGGATTATTTAGAATTAGAAGACGGTTCTTCTTCATTTTATTCTTTTCCACGAACTGTAAGTATATTCAGTACAATAATATTTCAGTATATATAAAAAATAATACGTGCATGTTGCAGTTTTATATAGCTGAGTCTTGGCTGCGAAAATGATTGTTGCACCAAGTAATTGCGTAAAACACGTGCACTTATTCAGATACTAGTACATGTATACTATTGATCATCAGAAAATTTTTAAATTGCTTGATAAATATTCCTTAAGCATAAATCTGAGAAAACTGCAATACTTGTGCACGCAAAAAGATGGAATATATACCTCATTGATAAGTCTTGGCGTTAACTTCCAGGCATTATCCAGATTCGTTTCCAAGACGAATGGTATGTGGTGAGCTAAACGAGCCTGTGGTTTGTACGTCGTCCAGGAGGGCGACACCACTATAACGTCTGGAATGATAAATAATCGACTGATTTGCATCTGTTAATATAATTTTACTTTTTTTTTTTCAAACTGGCTATTTGGATTTTTTAAACCAAGCATCATGATTTCAAGACCATGGAAATAAATTTACATCTTACCTCCATTGAATACATGCATGACGAGATAAATGAGCTCTTTACTCCCAGGGCCCACGATAATATCCTCGGGGTCAACGTCGTCGAACCCGTCATATTTTTGGTGGAAGTCACAGATTGCTTGTCGAAGTTGTTTAAGTCCTATAGAAATCAAAAGCAAATATTTTCCCTTAATGAAAAATATAATCAAAAGTCATCTCGTTTCACATTCTTATTGGATGGAATGTAACTGCAATGTATCGAACTGGACCCCCCCCCCCCCTTCTCCCATGTAGTCCCATTGGAAAACCAAAGTATTCATTCAAAATTTGAAGTCCTACTTGGTAATCCTTTACAGGACCATCGCCAAGTTTCTGGAAAAGGGGATGCGGTGTCTTGGAAGGGCACTCCCTTCCTCTAATTGGCCAGATTTTTTTTTTATGGAAAGGTACAGTTTTGATGAGTTCTGGTGTATTCTTCAAGTAATTTTCAAAATTTAAATGAATAAAATCTAGTGTATCACGATTTCATAATTTGTAAATTATAGATATAAAATTTGTTAATTGTAACTATCTAGTATAACTTGTCATTATTGGGTAAAATATATATGCACGTTACATGTATGTCAATGCTCAACACGTATATAATCCGTTAGATTTTTGATTTGTCAACTGTACTTTCAAGATAGATATTTATGTGTAAGCTGAAAATTTATTCAAGGCTTTGCTTTCATAATGAAAAAATATGTTCAAAGCTATTTAATCCTGTTAAACATGAATTAAAAGAAAGTGACTATATCCAATCTTAAGGGAAAGAGGGGGAGGAGATTCAAGTTTTCCACCCGTCGTGAGGGTTGCGCCATGAAATACATCATCTGTTGACAACCTTGGATTAGGGTAACAAGCAATACAACACAAAACATTATCTAAAGTAAATACAACAGAGATATGTAAAATTTTCCACCCCTCAGCTGGTCATTGAATCTCTCTCTCTCTCTGTGCCATGAAGAATATGGACAAGGATCTCCAACCCGAATAGATAGATTCACATTTTTTTTAAATTAGTATATTCAGCACTCCCTCCCAAATATATGGCATATTGAACTTAAAAAAAGGAAAACACGGCAACCTTTGAAACTTTTACAGAAATAAGTACTCGAGATACACTTGTATTATTTAAATAGATATACTGAAGGACAAGCATGCACCGATAAGCTGTTGGTCACACAGTTTTTATCGTACGTAAGGTGTATATGTTTGTTAAGTTTCCGTCGTGTTTAAGCCAATGCCACGGAGTGCATCAGCGTAAAACAGGAAAAAAAGGAAGAAATTTCACAATAATGGAAAGATTAACTTCCCTACAATATTTATGTAGACATTTTACAGCTATAGCAAAGATTTGCACATAATGCATTGGAGCAATGCCGACAGTGGAAATTTATGAAAATATATAATAATTTTATGGCAAATATTTTTTTTCAGAGACCTGAACACTAGCCAATTTTCAGATAAATAAAAAAGTTTTTTTCTTCCTGCAGTTCAGTTCGACATTCCGATCAATACCCTCGGCTGACCTACCTGCTACTGGCAGATACGCGTTCTCTCCGGCATGGTCCTTCAGAGCCTGTACAGCCGATTCTACCACAGGGAATGGCGATTGTCCGAACGCAAAGTGGTAAATATTCCGTCCAGACTGGATCAAGTCCCGGATGTGTTCATTAAACAAAAGGTTGGATGCTGGAGCATACTCCGCGAGATCTGTTCGCACCAAGTCGCTCATCGTCAGCTGTTCTCTGGGTTTACGGAAGCACGTCTGTGCACGACTTTCAGTCGATTTATTGGAAAACCACCAGATCACTTCAGTGTCGTACATAAACATACAGTCAGGATCGGTCCATTCTACCGAGCTAATCCGTGGTCAACTCTGGTCACTGAGTTTAACTTTTTAGCTCACCTGAGCCGAAGGCTCAAGTGAGCTTTTCTGATCGAAATTTGTCCGTTGTCTGTCGTCGTCGTTGTCGTTGTTGTCGTAAACTTTTCACATTTTCATCTTCTTCTCAAGAACCACTGGGCCAATTTCAATCAGACTTGGCACAAAGTATCCTTGGGTAAAGGGGATTCAAGTTTGTACAAATGAAGGGCTATGCCCTTCTCCAAGGGGAGATAATTACAAAATAGTGAAAAATTAATGGCATCATTGAAAAATCTTCTTCTCAAGAACCAGTGGGCTAGGAAAGATGAAACTGATATGGAATGATTGTCAAGTAGTGTAAATTCAAATTTGTTCAAATCATGACACCCGGGGGTAGGGTGGGGTCACAATGGACGGTAAAAGTTTAACATAGGAATATATAGGAAAAATCTTCAAAAATCTTCTTCTCAAGAACAGCAAAGCTATGATTGGTCACATTTATATGAAAGCATCTGCAGGTGGTGTAGATTCAAGTTTGTTCAAATCATGACCCCCGGGGGTAGAGTGGGGCCACAATGGACGATCAAAGTTTTACATAGGAATATATAGGACAAATCTTCAAAAAATCTTCTTCTCAAGAACAGCAAAGCCATGGTTGGTCATATTTATATGGAAGCATCTTCAGATAGTGAAGATTCAAATTCGTTCAAATCATGACCCCCTGGTGTAGGGTGGGGCCACAATGGACGGTCAAAGTTTTACATAGGAATATATAGAAAAAATCTTTAAAAATTTTCTTCTTAAGAACAGCAAAGCTATGATTGGTTATATTTATGTGAAAGTATCCTCAGATGGTGTAGATTCAAATTTGTTCAAATCATGACCCCCAGGGTTAGGGTGGGGGCACAACTGACGATCAAAGTTTTACATAGGAATATATAGGACAAATCTTCAAAAAATCTTCTTCTCAAGAACAGCAAAGCCATGGTTAGTCATATTTATATGGAAGCATCTTCAGATAGTGTAGATTCAAATTCGTTCAAATCATGACTCCCTGGGGTAGGGTGGGGCCACAAAGGACGGTCAAAGTTTTACATAGGAATATATAGAAAAAATCTTTAAAAATTTTCTTCTTAAGAACAGCAAAGCTATGATTGGTTATATTTATGTGAAAGTATCCTCAGATGGTGTAGATTCAAATTTGTTCAAATCATGACCCCCAGGGTTAGGGTGGGGCCACAACTGACGATCAAAGTTTTACATAGGAATATATAGGACAAATCTTCAAAAAATCTTCTTCTCAAGAACAGCAAAGCCATGGTTGGTCATATTTATATGGAAGCATCCTCAGATAGTGTAGATTCAAGTTTGTTCAAATCAATAACCCCCAGGGGTAGGTGGGGCCACAATGAAAGTTCAAACTTGTAGGGAAAAAAGTCACAGTCAAAAAAAAAATATGTAAGCATCCTTAGTGTAGATTCAATTTTGTTCAATTCATACCCCCCCCCCCCCCGCCCCCACTCCCTTTTAGGGGTAGGTTGGGACCACTTATGTATTTAAGATTTTCAATACTAAACTGATTTTTGCTTTATTCCTAGCCACAGTGCTCAGGTGAGCGATGTGGGCCCTGGGCCTCTTGTTGTGTATCATTTGGCCACTCAATCCAGAACGCTGATCACACGATGCTACTATATATCTTCATATAGTATAGTTTAAAAATGTACTATATACTCATGGAATTGAATAAAAAAATATCCATGTCAATACACTCATATTATTTGCTAGCGCGCTAGCAACTACGTTAGTCTATATTTCTGAAATACGCATGCTCGACTTCACGGTCGGGGATTCTGGGAAAACTACTGTAGATAGACTGTACGATAACAATTTCGTTTTGTCATACAAAAATAGAAATGATCCGAATTTCAGGCCTTTCCTGTCTGATATGCGCGATATACATTTCGTAGGTTAGAGACAGTCAACACCAGTCTAGATCCGGATTATGAATTTTTTTTAATTTATTGTCTAACCTACACATAAAAGTACTAGAAAAAAATTGGCCATATAATGCCAAGATTCTAGACATCTAGCTTTCCTTACAGTTTTACCACCTTAGTGGATAATTCCGACAACCTCGGAAAAAACAACAACAACAAAAAAATTTTTCAGAGTACGTCGGAAAGACATGTCAATTTAGTGTTTATCATGTGAAAATACATATGATCTGAAGTTTCGTGTTTTGTTGTCTAACCTGCACGTAAATGAACAAAAAGTAACAGTAACTCGGGTCTTATAAAACCAAGACTGTTATTTCTAAAGTTGTAATGAATACATAACTTTTCTAATCTACCTTCATGGATCTTTCCGGCAAGCTCGGAAAACAGCGGCAACCTCGGATATGTTTTTCCGAGCTTGCCGGAAAGGCCCAAAGGTGCTCATTGGTTCTACTGACCTTTTATTTTTCACCTCGAAATTGAAATTACAGTAAAATACAGAATGCTTAAAGCATAGTTAGGAGTTATGCCATTGCCGACGTAAAGCACACTCTTAAATTCCACACATTGAATTGTGACAACCCCCCCCCCCCCAAACTCAACCCCCAGTGCACCAATATGCCTTCCTATTAATAATTAATCGATTCAGCAAATTTAACAAATGGCTCAGATATCTTCTTCTGTATTTTATTATGCTACAGCGCTAGCTCACCAATCTTTTTAAAAGATAAGCTTGTTTAAAGGTATATGATATAACTCGATATGTCAAACAAACTGACCCATAAAGAATTCTTTATAAGAGTTCTAGCGAAGAAAGTGCCTATTATCCCCATCCACCCTCAGACAAAGTTGGTGGGATATACAGAAATCACCTTGTCCGTCTGTCTGTGTAATCATGTCCGGATCATAACTTTGAACTTGACACAAAATCGCTAATGTATTGGACGTTTGAACTTCACACAATATTACTTATGAGTTATGACCTGAGTCATGACATTGAATAAAGGTCATTCACTCATTTGTACAATTTCCATATCACTTTGAGAAAAAATGTAAAATTCCTGTCCTTGCCATATCTTGTAAAGAAGAAACGTGTGTTGTATTTTTTTTCTTTACCAGTTTTGTGTTTCATTCAGTTACCTGGACTTTTTGTATGGAGAGAGTACACATGTCAGTGGCGGATCCAGGAATCTTGAAAAGGGGGGCCCGACCAGTTTGGGGTCGGGGTAGGGGCCCACGGCCACACACAAAAAAAATGATTTATTAAATCTTATGTATATCTTAGACACAAAAGGGGGGATGGGCCCCCTGGGCCCCCCTCTAAACCCGCCAGTGCATGTATATACGCATTATACATGTTTCCCGATCCATTCTGATTTTAGAATCAACATTCTTAAAGTAATGGAGAATATTGGAAGCACATACTTGACATTAAATTAAGATTGCTTATTACACGAGGTTCGAGTCATGACCTTGATTTAAGGTCATTTGGGCAAGGTCACTGGCAGAAAAAGTGTTTAATTCGTGTCCAGTCCAGAACTCTCTAATACATAAACGTTGGAAGTTTATGCTTCAAACGAAAATTGATTACGAAATGAGGATGTATCATGGTCATTTGGGGAAGTTCAAACCGACAGAAAAAATACATAATTCTTGTCTGGTCCATGAATTTCAGATGGATTATTGCTGGAAGCTCATACCTCACACAAAGATGACGTATGATCCATGCAGACAATTTTAGTATGCAGGAATGGGTACATTCGAACGGAAAAGGGGGGGTCCTCAGAAGTAATTGTTAAATTGATACAACCGTAAATCAATATTGGTTTTCTAATGCTTAGTACTATGTTTATCTGCATATATTGATAAAATTATTGGGACATACGCCCTCCCCACCCCTAGGGATCTATGGTCTCACGATTTTACAACAGCGGTGTTCATCATAGGTCAAAGCATCCACCTAAAGTCATCCATTTTTTTCGGATCGCCCGGTATTCTTTCATGGCCATTTAGATCACGTGATGGCAACGCCACCAACAAGCTGGACATCAGAGACATTTCCATCAAATCAATGCACTCTAAAAGTCAAGGAAAGGTCTTTGAAAAAGAAACTTGAAAATACGACGAAATACAAGGCGCAATCCCCTAACGTTTCGTTGTTATCGTACATTCTTTTATTTTTAGCGTAAACTTGTAAACAACATTCAATTGGAGCATGCAAAGGTGAGAAATATGTTCTAATAATCTTTTATGAAGATTGTATCAAAATTCTTGGTCTACCGACATTTATTTTTTGGTACTTGACCATGGTAACTTCTTCAACTTTTCTGCGCACGCGTACAATAAGGGGGGAGAAGTAAAGCAATATTTTCGTCTTGGGCCATACAAAAATTATGTTTTTCTCCATAAAAGTATATTTCTTTAGGTTCCGAAACCTGTAATTTTGTAAAACCTGATACTTTCAGGAATAGAACAAAATTGCTCGGGACCTGCAAAAATTCTTTGTTTGTCATGTTTTTCCGTTTGTGCGTCACGGTGTCGCTTTAAGAACAACAAAGCTAGTACATGTTCATATGCAGTAGTGTATATTCAAACATATTAAAGTCATAGGTCTGTGGACTAGGCTGAGATTGCAATATAGGTTCAGAAGACTTAGGAGGTGCAGGTACGTAGCATCGGTTTTCAAAGTTGACGGGTGGGGGGGGGGGGTTACCAGAAAATTTTTGACAAAAAAGGTACCTCAAAAAACTAAGACAAGCATAATAAAATGAAAAACAACCCCCGTCCCCCTAATATTTCGGGGGGGGGGGGGGCAGAAGTGTTAGGTATACTGCAACTAAACGTAATAGGGGGCGGAAGTATTTTCCCGGGGTTCAAGATGACTGAATGTGCTCGAAGCATGCGTCTTGCGCAAGACAAAATTAATCATGACTATATATATTTTGCTTGGGCCCTTCGGATTGGTTAGAAAAACAAACATAGCAAGATATAGTTATACGTCTTTGTCTAGTAAGACGACATGTAAATATGAATGGATCCGACGGTAATCTGTACCATTAGACTGTTTGACAGAAGTCAAATGACTCAAACCATTACTTTATATTTGTTTTTCTTGCTATGTTTGTTTGTTTTACTAACAAATCAAGGACCCTCACCAGCAGATTTTAGAATAATACTGACAAGCCAGGGGCGGATCTAGAGAGGTGGGGGAACCGGAACAACCCCCCCGGGGGGGGGCATTTTTAGTGTTATTAAATCTCTACGCAAAACTAACGGGGAAAAATTACCAAGGAAACACAGACCCTTCTTAAAACGGCGAGGAGAGTCATATATTTGCAGATAATTGACTTTTATGCTTGTTTGTCTGTATCTTCTTCCTGCCTCCTTCATCAAGTTGAAGATTTTGCCAGATGGATGTGCGCATGTTTAAAATAAACTTTTTTTTGTTTGTTTGTTTGGGTTTTTTTTTTTCTTCTAAAAACGGGATAAAACAGGATTGTTTAAGTTAAGTCTTTCTTAGTCACTCGGGATTTAAAGATCTCGAGTGATTCTGCTGCCACGATGTCATTATTCCATTCTTTGAAGGTTTTGCAGAAGAATGACCACTTTCTACAGTCCTTGGTTGCAGATGGTATAGCAAGAGAGTGTTGTGTGCCGCAATCTTCTTACAGGCTTAGTGAAGTGGTCCTCTGATGGACTTTGTTGATTATTATCTTGTACATCGTAATCAATCCTGCATCTTTCCTTCTACTTTTTAAATTCTTCCCTTCCAGATGTTTAATCATTTCTCCCACGCTAGATCTATTTCTATAATATCTCATTACGTATCGTGCCGCCCTTCTTTGCACCTTCTCCAACCTATCTATGTGGCCTTGTTGGTATATGGGTCCCACACTGTCGAAGCGTTTTCCAGCTGAGGTCTAACCAGAGATATGTATGCTCTCTCCTTTATATATTGATCAGGATGTTATATGGAGATTTCGTTGCAGGAATCCTAAAGTTTTAATTATTTGCCTTCTTACATATATTTGAAATATGTACAGAGCTCCTGATAATTTTTTACCTCAAAGTGTATTTACTCCCTGATTTTCGAATCAATGCAGATTTTGCTTTTCAGCAAAATAATCAAAAAGTATTTTGTTAATCCATTGCTCATTTGACATCCAATGTGATTTTTAGCTTGTTATCGAAATAAGCGTTTTTGAAAGAGGAATGTAAAAAAAGGACAGTTTCTGAAATATATTAGGTTTTGCTATATAAATTGTTGGCATAGATCGAGGTAAAAGTTTTAGAGTTACTCCCCGTTTGCATTAAAAGTCGCGTGGCGCTAATTTATAGCAAAGGAGCCAAAGCATTATTTTCATACAATTAATGAAGGTTGTCGGCGGACTTTAGATGGTGTTAATGCTACAGAAAATGGTAAATATATAAGAGCTGTTTAATGAACCGTGATAAAGGATAAATTAGACACCATGCGTGTTTTTGTGGAATTTTGACAATATCGACGCGTATGCGTCAAGAACGGAAATTTGGATGTTATATGAACAGTGGAAATCTGTGATATTTTCAGACAAAATACGAGTATTTGATATTCAAATCTTTCTCCCGAACTGGAAATTGGCCTAGGTTATTACGAATACGCTTATAAATCAAAATTTCCTTTTAATAAAAATTCAAACACTGAGCTGACCTCAATTCACAGAATTATACATGTATCATTCAATCCGTCGTACATGTACGCAGTACTTTCGTTGTGTAATGCTTATTTATGATTGCTTATGCGTAATATGTACGCCCTGTTTTAATTTTTAATGCGCATTTTGAAAAAAAATCAATGCATATTTCTGCAAATACGCACCTTATCTGGAGCTCTGTATGTAGTCCCCAATTTAGATCGGATGTTATAGTACAGCATAGATCTTCATGGACAAGTGTATATTATCATGGCCGTAGGAACCGGGGGGGGGGGCACGGGGGGGCGTGCCCCCCAATAATTTTGCCGATGTATAGATTACTATAGTAAACATAGATACTATAAGCTTGTGCCCCCTCAATAAAACCGCCTGATGACCTTTTTTTTTTTTTTTTTTTTTTTTTTTTTTTTTTTTTTGCTTGTCAAGGAATATTTGGTAGTTGACATTTTTTTTTTTTTGCTTGTAAGAAAATTTTTGGTAGTGCCCCCTCAACTGTCAATTGAAAAATGTTTGGCTGTGCCCCCCAAATTACGATTACGAAGGGTATAGTTGTAAATGATCGGGTTTTTCTTTTTTGAAACCCTAAGTACTGTATCGTTGTAGAACCGACTTATGTTTTTTTTAACAACGCTAAAAAAAATTAAAGAAAAAATCCAAGTCTGACATGTGGACCCCTCTTTGAAAAAATCCTGGATCCGCCCCTGAAATTTATTTACTGACAGCTTTTGGCGCCAAATGTCTCAATACGGAAGCGCACATGTCACGAAAAATTAATGGTACGACTTACTGTTTTACATGAAAGAAAAAAAGCAACACTATTTTTTCCGTTTTCGATTTCGATTTTCTTAAAAAACACTGCATGACAAAGAGAAAGTGCTCTCGAATTATAAGGTGAGATTAACATATGTTATTTAACTATAGTTATCTGTAAATTCAGACCTTCAATTGCAGAAAATCTGGACAAAACACTTTCGTTAGTTAATTGCGAATTTCCTCGTTGAAAATTTTTAGAAAAATGTAAGTGTAAAAAAACTTAATATGGTGTATGTATATTTCTTCGACAAAAGAAAAGTTAAAAGGTAAAATTGAGACATATTGTTTTTATCATATGTTTGCTGAATCATTATTAATGGGAAACAATTTGAAGTCAGTGCTATCAGGCTATTACCAGATTACCAGATTACTGCAGGTTGCACTACAGTATTAAATTTTCCTATATATCCTGACCAAAAATGCGCAACTGTGAGTTGAAGGTCTTAATTTAAAACAAACTTTTGAGAGGTGTCCTTTTTAGATCTTGTAAAACAATTCTTTATAAAGATTTTAGTACCAAAAAATACATATATAGCCATCCAGCAAGGCATGCAAGTTTGTTTCAGTCGAAGTCGAGCAGGTGCTTGAAAATCAAGTTGTATTTGAGTATACTCAAATACAGTATATAGAAAAATCAGCACACCTTCAATTATAATGAATCCGGTCAATACAGGAAATTTTCATATAGTCTTTCATCTCAAAAAAAAATCAGCTCCAGTCTCGTGCCAAAATGCCCGAATCGGGAGGGGAGATTCAGGAATTAATTAATTATTATGCGTCAACTATGTTTTGACATGAATCTCAACTGAAATACTGTTATGACACCTGCAATTAAAATTAAAATTTTTGCTTGCCAGTTTAACACTATTTTCCTGATCTATAATGAACATTTAATGTAATAAAATAAGTTTCATAAAAATCTGTCTCAAGTTAGGGAAAATATTGGTGATACTCTGTGACTGGGGTGTTCGCGGTGAACATGGATTTCTGAAAATATGGCCAAAGATGCCGGCCAAGGGACATAACTTTTGAAAAGTGTGGATTCAACTATTACATGTCTTCCCGATTTTTTCTTGATATTTGTTATCTTTAACACCTGTGGTGAACTAACATGATATGTATCAAATAGCTTCATTAATTTGGAAAATATGTGGTCACTTGCTTTTGGAGCCATAATTAGGAATTTAAATCATGGTGATTTTGTGCATAACAATGTCATTCTCTTTCAAGTAGAAAGAATGTTCTATCATTAAAATGATGTTGTCTTACGGGCTTGTTTGATGATAGAATTCATTCTGTAATTAGGGATAGATAACTCTTATCTATGTGTATACATTGTTCTGACTATCATCATTATAGATAAATTTGAAGTAAGAAAAAAAATTGTTAAGAAAATGTTTAGAAATTTTCCTTAATATGGATAAGTGTTTTGTATGGAAGATGTGGAAGGCACATTCCAGCTTAAAAAGGTTTGCCATGCTTATACTTTGATGTTTTTTTTAAAATACAGTTTGTCTTCAAAATTGTGCCACAACGAATCTGCTCCATTTTGCTAAAATGCATCGTTTTCATATGGGACATACTCTAACTGTGGTTATAACTTATAAGGCCTGTCCAAGAGAAACAGTTAGATTATTGTTAAAATATTTTATGTTTAAAGTAATTTCTCAACAAATTAAATATATGGGAATTACAAATGTATGTTATTTTCAGTAACCAATTAAAAATTATTTAGAACAAGATGATAATTAAACAAAAATTCAGACTTTTTTTTTCATATGTTACATAATTATTGAAGTCAAAAGACACAATAATATATGTCTTGAGATAAGAGAGATGGATTCCATTATCTTGATCATGTTGATAACTAATAAGCTAAAAGAAAGACCGAAGCCTAATATGTGAATTTTTTTTTAAAGCTGAAACCATAAAAACCATGGCATTAGAAGAGGTGAAGAGTATGCTCAGAGCAGTTCTTATGAGCTGCAAAGAGGGTGTCCCAGCTCACATATTACAAAGTAAGTCTTGTACAATGTATTGTTCATCTACCCGATGATTGACAGTTAACATACAGTACAAACAGGATTAATACTGTTATTTAAAAACGTTAATACTCTAGATTCACCAAATATTCGCGACACCTTATTTTTGCAAGATGGGTTTATGGCATTTATACGCGAGACAAAATTTTCACGAATTCTGACTATTATCCTGTATGACCTTTACTAATAAGAAATATACACAAGAAGGAAAATTTTGCAAGGAGACTGTCTCCTGTAATTACGCGGAAATAAAGCTCTCGCGAATAAAAAGTGATTAACAGTAGTCTGTAGGGGATAAGCTGTCACTATAACTGTACATGTCTTTTTAAGGGGACTACCGTGAAATCACACAGGAACCCCTGCCCTTTAAGAAGCTTGGTTTTTCTAATTTGGACGAATTTATCAACAGTATACCTGATGTTGTCAAAGTCAGAAGGTAAGAAAATGATTTTAATGTACTGTATGTATACCACTGTATACTTGATTAGCATGTAAACTGCATTTTGTGCTGTCTTGTGCATGTTACCTACCTACCTAGTCCTTGTTGCACCCAGAGGCACATAGGGCAAGTGTGCATGTTACAGAAAACAAAAATAGTTAGAATGTAGCAATTTATACTGTTAGCCAGGCATACATTTTATAATATTCTCAGATGCTTTACCAGACAGATGCATCACCAAGTTCTTAGTTTTAAGAGAGTCCTACTTCTTTTTAAAGCCATTTAAATTTCTGTATGGCCTCTGTCTTGATGGTTTAGAAAATCAAATTCTTCCATAAAACAACTTTAGTCCTAGTATTCAAACTCTGCAAGATTATTTTTCTAATTATCCTAAAAAGGATTTTCCTTTGGAAGTTGATACATTATCAGTGCTGCTTCCCTGACTAGGTGATAAATGCAAAATCTTCATTTTCTCCAGAACAAGTGCCTCACAGATGTATGGAAAATATTGAGTGAGTTTTGAAGCCACTGACCTTTGTTGTTTATGTTTATCTTGTTTTGTTGTAGGAACAAGCAGGGAGAAATTGTCTACCATGCTGTTGCTAACGAAGAAACAGCCCACATACAGTCTATGGTAGCCAAACAAAAAGGAACAAAGAAAAAGAAAAAACTCAAGGTACTTCTAGTTACTGTAAACCAACTAATATTTGAGTCGTCTTTTATTCACGATTTGTCAGTTTCAAATCTATCCACAATGATTAATTTCCACGACTGAGGAAACATTCTCTACAAATACAAAGCAAGATAAATGGTTCACCGCTATTAATATTCGTGAGTAAAAGTAAGTCACAAAACTCATGAATATTTCTCGCATGTGAATAAGAAGTTGGTTTACAGTATTCTGTATAATTTAGCATTGATATTAAGAACCTGCCTGCCACATGGAATTTTGAAATTTTTGGCCTGAGAAACTACCAATTAATTTTTTTGTGCCGTTATCGATACTGTATCTAATTATTTAATTGGATAAAAAATGTTCAGTATCTCCCGACACTTCAATAATACCCGAATCCGCTCTGTTTCCTGGAACTGAAAATGAAAATGAAATATCTTTTGTATATCTCTTATGGTATTTCTCATGGTAGAAATAAATAGAGGATATCCAATGTTTGTAGATGAATATGGAATTTATTTCACAAGTGGGACAGGATTTTTTGATATTTTCACGAATGCGAAGCACAAGTGAAGATATCAAAAAATCCTGTCTCATGAGTGAAATAAATTCCATATTCATCTACAAAACATTGAATTTTCTGTTTATTACATTTTCTTAGATTTTCCCTTTGCCTCTGTCTTTTCGTAACACAGTGTCAAAGGCTGTGACGTATAGTTGAGCGGTTCAGATGTCATAGCTAAGCGATTGCGAGATTGAAAAACATTGTAAACATGGAATTTTAATGACATATTTGGAAAAACTTTGACAGTATAACTATTAGTCTCTATCAGGATGGCTCATTAACTCTATCTTATAACAGGCCAGGGATTTTTTAAAAAACACTCTTCATGAAGGGAAGGAAAATCGTAATATTTGCCGCACTTCTGATATTCTCATGTGTGAATAACATATTGATATCCTTTCACACTGTGTCAGAATATCACTTTTATTCAGTAAATAAATTACAGTATTTCACCGTTAAAAATGTAATAAATCAGTAAATATGACCTGAGTGGATTGTCTTATCTTGGAATGCATAACAATCACTAAGTCTGAAGTTTAGGTTTATTTCAAATATTCCTTGAAGTCTTATTTATAAGATGTGTTTTTGAATAAACAACGTGTACTTCTTTAATGTTGTATTGCAACTTTATTAGTGTTTTTCAAAAAATTTATGCGTACTCCAAAGGACTGAATATGTACAATGTACCGTGTACCACAATTTGTACTCCACATAATACATTAATCAGATCTTCCAAAATCTGCCAGTACCCAGTACTTTTACCAGGCAGAAATCATGATTGTACTGGCCAAAATATTAGCTGGAGAAAAATTCAGTTATATATTTAAATAAAATCGCTTCCACAAGGTACCTCTTATTTTTGTAAAAGTACCACCTGTTTTTAATATTTCTGAAAGTCCTGATTGATATAGATCTTGACCTCACATTCTTAGTTAGCAAAATTGAATCACTGAAGTCATGTACTTGAATTGGAGTTCTTTCTCCTTCCACTGTAGCCTGCAGTCAGGAGACCAATCAGAAGATCAGAGCCATTTAAGCCTTTTACACAAGGAGGAGTTGCAAGACCCCCACCCAGAGGAAAACCTCCACCTTGGGCACAGAGACCCTTCCAAGGGTCAATGAATCACACACCTTATCGAGCAAGACCTCCATTATTAGGGAAATCACCACTCAATATACAGGTATAATTCACTGTTTTTTGCTTTTTTTTTGTAAAAGTATAGCAAAGGGATCATTAGTGTAGAATCTATTTTATAAATTATTGCAAGACAGCATTGATGAAGTATGTGCAACTCATAAAGGTTTGGGCTTTGTAACTTATGTTTGTTGTCAGATGCTGTGTTAAAGCCTTTTTCATGTGTCCTTCAAGGAAGAGTGGCCTTTAGAACTCATGGGTGGGTTGTTTGTTAGACAGCAGTCCTCAAACTTCATAGCCATGCTGGCCATGACTGCCATGGTTTGTTTCCTTGTTGGACAATTAACCCACAGAAATGAGAAGAAAGGGAGAAAAATTTTTTGTGTAGATATGAAACACTTTTAATCCCCTGTAAAGTGACTTAAACTTCTTTGAAGTTGAGTATTTATGTTCTGGTTTCAATCAGCTACATTTTGTGTATGTATCACATTGATAGAGTGACAAATCTAACAATGGAGGAGGTGTACTCTTGTTATGTTTATGTATACCGGTATACAGTTTAATTTGTCTAATCTGGATTTTGATTACTCTGGAATATACTGTAGAATCATCAAAGCTCATGGATTTCATGGGTCACCTTTAACCATGAAATTACATCCCCACGAACAATTATTTTGTCAACATATGTATTCAGTGAATATTCTGTATATACAAGTTACCCGCGAAATTGTGTTCCCACGAAGCAACAAAATTTTGTTTGCCCACGATCATTGACCCCCACGAATTAAAATGAATCCACATTTGGGCTTTAAAATTTAGTCCCATGCACTTCTTTTATGTATTATAAAAAAATCTGTGTAGTCCAGATACTGTCTATTCTGTATTCTGTACTGCTATATTTGTCCCAACTGCTCATAATGAGGTTGAAGTCTCAAACTTTGCAAACCAAAAAAGATTATATTTTGTTAACATATGCATTGTACTTATAAATAAAACAACGGAAATTAATTTAAGATATTTTCCCTGCATCACGGATTCTGTCTAATCCAGCCAATTTTTATGGAACGTGTGGCATTCGGTTTGGACAAATTATACTATATATTTATTTAATGCATGTACAGATTATTTATTCAGATCTCAGAGACCAAAAAAAACTTGTTTCTTTTTTAGCTCACCTGAGCCAAAGGCTCAAGTGAGCTTTTCTGATCAAAATTTGTCCGTTGTCTGTCATCGTTGTTGTCGTTGGCGTTGTCGTTGTCGTTGGCGTTGTCGTTGGCATTGTTGTTGTTGATGTAAACTTTTCACATTTTCATCTTCTTCTCAAGAACCACTGGTCCAAATTCAACCAAACTTGCCACAAAGCATCCTTGGGTAAAGGGGATTCAAGTTTGTTCAAATGAAGGGCCACGCCCTCTTTCAAGGGGGGATAATTAGGAATTAGTGAAAAAATAATGGCATCATTTAAAAATCTTCTTCTCAAGAACCACTGGGTCAGGAAAGATGAAACTTATGTGGAAACATCCTCAAGTAGTGTAGATTCAAGTTTGTTCAAATCATGACCCCCGGGGTTGGGTGGGGCCACAATGGGGGATCCAAGTTTTAGATAGAAATATATAGGAAAATATCTTTAAAAATCTTCTTAAGAACAATAAAGCCAAGATTGGTCATATTTATATGGAAGCATCCTCAGGTAGTGTAGATTCAGGTTTGTTCAAATCATGACCCCCGGGGGTAGAGTGGGGCCACAATGGGGGATTCAAGTTTTAGATAGAAATATATAGGAAAATATCTTTAAAAATCTTCTTCTCAAGAACAGCAAAGCCAATATTGGTCATATTTTTATGGAAGCATCCTCAGGTAGTGTAGATTCAAATTTGTTTGAATCATGACTCCCGGGGGTAGGGTGGGGCCACAATGGGGGATCCAAGTTTTACATAGAAATATATAGGAAAATATCTTTAAAAATCTTCTTCTTAAGAACAGCAAAGCCATGATTGGTCATATTTATATGGAAGCATCCTCAGGTAGTGTAGATTCAAGTTTGTTCAAATCATGACCCCCGGAGGTAGGGTAGGGCCACAATGGGGGGTCAAAGTTTTACATAGAAATATATAGGAAAATATCTTAAAAAATCTTCTTAAGAACAGCAAAGCCATGATTGGACATATTTATGTGGAAACATCCTCAGGTAGTGTAGATTCAGGTTTGTTCAAATCATGACCCCCGGGGGTAGGGTGGGGCCACAATGGGGAATCAAAGTTTTACATAGAAATATATAGGAAAATATCTTTAAAAATCTCCCCCCCCTCCCTGGGATAGGATGGGGTCACAATGGGGGATCAAAGTTTACAGAGGATTATATAGGAAAAAATCTTTTTCTCAAGAACAGAAAAGCTATGATTGGTCAAATTAATATGGAGGCATTCTTGGGAGTGTAGAATGAAATTTGTTCAAATGAGGGCCCCCGAAGGTAGGGTGGGGCCACAATGGGGGATCAAAGTTTTACAAATGAATATATGGGAAAAAAATCTGCTGCTCAAGAACAGCAAAGCCATTTGTTATATTGATATGAAAGCATCATTAGGTAGTTTAAAATTCAACCCCCCCCCCCCCCCCCCCCATGTAAACTTTTCAATACTAAACTGATTTTTGTTTTTTTTTCCTAGCCAATGTGCTCAGGTGAGCGATGTGGCCCATGGGCCTCTTGTTGGTTATACTCTTCATTATACCCCCCCCCCCCCCCCAAAAAAAAAGAAGTTCCCTACAAATGTAAGAGTTTATATATATATAGTCCCTTACAAATGTAAGAGTTCATATATAGTCCCTTACAAATGTAAGAGTTTATATATAGTCCCCTACAAATGTAAGAGTTTATATATAGTCCCCTACGAGTGTAAGAGTTACGAAGTAACCCTATTAAAAAATGAAGTAACCCTATTTAAAAATGTTGCATCAAAGTAACAGGTAAAATGGAAGTGACATAAGAAGAATAGGGCACTTTATTAGCTGAATGTGTTTATTGTTTTTGCATGGGTTAAATGTTGGCTTTGTGTTGTGTATAGGTTAACACTAGTGATGAAAGCAGACGTCAGGTGACAGTAAACAGAGCATTCAGTGCTGCGTTGGTTGCTGCGACAACAGAAACACGTGTGGTAATTCATTTCTTTGTTCACTAATCCTACACTAAAAGTTTACTGACCAATTTATAAATGTGTAATTTATAAAGAAAGTGTCATCAGATTTGCATATTGTGATGTATTGTAGCCGATGCAGGGCTCTAATTGGTGACTAATTTAGTTGCCATGGTGCCTAAAATATTTGATTGGTGCCTAAAATTTTTCTATAAGTTGTCAAATTGGCGAACATTTTAAATTTACTCACTCATTAGAGATATTGTCTACTTATTAGTGTTAGGTCATAATAATCAGACAAGTATTACATATTAATTATACAAACAATCCTCGATATTATTATAGTTTTAAAGAATACGAGGGGTGATCAAAAAGTTCGCGAACTAATTGAATAACTTCCATAAAAGAAATGAAATTAGGTTTTAGTGTTCATTATTTTTAGCTCACCTGAGCTGAAAGCTCAAGTGAGCTTTTCTGATCACCCGTTGTCCATCGTCCGTCCGTCCGTCTGTCCGTCCGTCTGTCTGTCCGTCCGTCTGTAAACTTTTCACATTTTCAACTTCTTCTCAAGAACCACTGGGCCAATTTTAACCAAATTTGGTACAAAGTATCCTTGGGTGAAGGGGAGTATAAATTGTTAAAATAAAGGGCCAAGTTCCCCTACAAGGGGAGATAATCAAGAAAAGACAAAAATAGGGTGGGGTCATTAAAAAATCTTCTTCTCAAGAACCACTGGGCCAAAAATACTGAAACTTATCCTGGGATAGCGAAGATTCTAAATTGTTAAAATCATGACCCCATGGGGTAGGATGGGGCCACAATAGGGAATCCAAGTTTTACATTGAAATATATAAGAAAAATCTTTAAAAATCTTCTTCTCAAGAACCACTGAGCAAGAAAAGCTGAAATTTACGTGGAAGCATCCTGGGGTAGTGTAGATTCTAAATTGTAAAAATCATGACCCCCGGGGGTAGGGCGGGGCCACAATAGGGAATCCAAATTTTACATTGAAATAAATAGGAAAAATCTTTAAAAATCTTCCTCTCAAGAACAAATGGGCCAGAAAAGATGAAATTTATGTGGAAGCATCCTGGGATAGTGTAGATTCTAAATTGTTCAAATCATGACCCCCGGGGGTAGGGCGGGGCCACAATAGGGAATCCAAGTTTTACATTGAAATATGTAAGAAAAATCTTTAAAAATCTTCTTCTTAAGAACAACTTGGCCAGAAAAACTGAAACTTATGTGGAAGCATCCTGGGGTAGTGTAGATGCTAAATTTTAAAAATCATGACTCCCGGGGGTAGGGCGGGGCCACAATAGGGAATCCAATTTTTACATTGAAATATGTAAGAAAAATCTTTAAAAATCTTCTTCTCAAGATAAACTGGGCCAGAAAAACTGAAACTTATGTGGAAGCATCCTGGGCAAGTGTAGATTTTAAACTATTAAAATCATGACCCCCGGGGGTAGGGTGGGGCGACAATAAGTATTTCAAGGGGGAAATCTGGTAAAGAACAGCATGGCCAAAGTTACTCAGGTGAGTGATGTGGCCCATGGGCCTCTTGTTTAAAGTAGTCCTCTCCGATTTAAATGCACATCTGCCACAGTTCTGTCCATGCGCAAATCACGTGATACAGGCGGTCACGTGACATGCTCCGAAGCGTTCCGTTCACAGGATGTAAAAGATCTTTTCGAGTCTTATATTTCTTACCATACAAGTTATTTTTTATAACAAGAACAGTCAACTTGTCAAAAATGGCCAAATCTCGGCAATAGGATGGGTGGATAAGGATATCCTTTCCCGGAATGAGCATGGTGACCATCGCAACCCGAGTTTTCCGTCTTGGGAGCGTCGTTTATCCAATGTGGATATAAGGCATGGCGCCTTCTTTTTATCATATCTGATATGATTAAGTTCTTAAGTAAACGATATTTTAGGGATTTAATAACTGTATTATTGTTAAGATATTCAACTATTTTTAGCTCACCTGAGCCGAAGGCTCAAGTGAGCTTTTCTGATCGAAATTTGTCCGTTGTCTGTCGTCGTTGTCGTCGTCGTAGTCGTTGGCGTTGTCGTAAACTTTTCACATTTTCATCTTCTTCTCCAGAACTACTGAGCCAATTTCAATCAAACTTGGCACAAAGTATCCTTGGGTGTAGGGGATTCAAGTTTGTTCAAATGAAGGGCCGCGCCCTCCTCCAAGGGGAGATAATTACGAAATAACAAAAAATTAATGGCATTATTGAAAAATCTTCTCCTCAAGAACCAATGGGCAAGAAGAGATGAAACTCATGTGGAATTATTGTCAGGTAGTGTAGATTCAAATTTGTTCAAATCATGACCCCCGGGGGTAGGGTGGGGCCACAATGGACGATCAAAGTTTTACATAGGAATATATAGGAAAAATCTTCAAAAATCTTCTTCTCAAGAACAGCAAAGCTATGATTGGTCATATTTATATGGAAGCATCCTCAGGTGGTAAAGATTCAAGTTTGTTCAAATCATGACCCCCCAGGGGTAGGGTGGGGCCACAATGGACGATCAAAGTTTTACATAGGAATATATAGGAAAAATCTTCAAAAATCTTCTTCTCAAGAACAGCAAAGCTATGATTGGTCATATTTATGTGTAAGCATCCTCAGGTGGTGTAGATTCAAGTTTGTTCAAATCATGACCCCCGGGGGTAGGGTGGGGCCACAATGGACGATCAAAGTTTTACATAGGAATATATAGGAAAAATCTTCTCAAGAACAGCAAAGCCTCTGTTTGTCATATTTATATGGAAGCATCCTCAGATAGTGTAGATTCAAGTTTGTTCAAATCATGACCTCCAGGGGTAGGGTGGGGCCACAATGAAAGTTCAATTTGTAGAGAAAAATGTCACAGTCAAAAAAATATGTAAGCATCCTTAGTAAGTGTAGATTTAATTTTGTTCAAATCATACCCCTCCCTTTTAGGGATAGGTTGAGACCACTTATGCATTTAAGCTTTTCAACACTAAACTGATTTTTCTTTTTTCCTAGCCACAGTGCTCAGGTGAGCGATGTGGCCCCTGGGCCTCTTGTTCTAACTGTAACTTGGCGGTCTTTCATATCAAATTGCTCAACTGTGGACACATCTCTTTCCCAGCGTGCTTTCACTGGGCAAGAGAACAAACATCATTTTTAACCATCTCCCTTCTTTCACTTAAACAATCAATCCAATTAATGATTAAACTCCTGGCAAGTCTTTTGTCTTCATAAACTTTGTACAAAGTTATATATGCTATTGCAAATGAATTTCCAAGATACACATTAAACTTTACAGCAGTTCGTTGCTCGAGTACGACTGAGTCAATCATCTTTTGTCACAAGTAACCTACCTAATGACGTCATTTTCACATTGTGACATCACAAACATGAATCAAAACATCACATAAAACTGCTATATATAGAACACATGTATGACTATATGTGTGCCAAATTTCATTCTGATCTGAATTGTGGTTTTGAAAATATAGAGATAGTTCGCGAACTTTTTGATCACCCCTCATATTTTATGAGATCCAAGTTTCTTTAAAAAATGATCTATTAAAACTTTTTACATGCATTTTTACGTGCATGATTAAGTTAAAATCTTTTGTATCTTCTACATTACTTTTCCGACGGAAGGGGGGGACAAAAATACTCTTGTACCTCCATTTTCAGAAGTGGAAGGGACAGTAAACACCCCCTTTTTGTGACACCCCTCTTTGTCCCTATATTGACTAATATCAGATTTTAAGGTTGGCACCTAAGAAAAATTTGACTGGTGACTAAAAATTTGCATTGGCGACTAAAGTTTTTTGATTAGGGGCCAGCTGGCACCTAAATTTTAGAGGTCTCATAGAGGCCTGCAATAAACAATCCTTGAAATTTTAAATGTTTATTTAATTTATTATACAAAAAAATTGGGCCCTTCAAGGGTGAACTTCAAGATACATGTATTTAAGAAATGAATTTAATTTTTGAAAATTTTTGAGAACGTGAATTGTGATACTTCACACTGGTATATTTTCTGTAATTTTGTAAAATTTTTCATGTTATTATTTCTTTGCTACAGCCAGACACAGGCCAATATGGTCGCAGGTATGAGATTCCCCCTCGATTTCAAAAAATACAGGAAGGCAAAGAAAATGTTCCAGTAGAGAATGTTAATGCCAGCAGGCAAAAACAGGATAATGCCAGTAAGCAAAAACCAGGTAATAACAGAAAACAAAAACAAAGTTAAAATAGTAAACAAAAGTCAGATAATACTATAAAACAAAAAACCAGGTAATACAGAAAACATCAAGCATGAAATACAGAAACCAAAAACCAGATCATACCATAAAACAAGAAACCCAACCAGTAACCAGAGTAAGAAATTCAACCAGATACCAGAGTAATTAGTCAATGTAAACCAGATAGGAAACCCAACCAGTAACTAGAGTAGGAAACCCAACCAGTAACCAGAGTAATTAGTCAATGTAAACCTGGTAGGAAACCCAACCAGTAACCAGAGTAATTAGTCAATGTAAACCTTGTAGGAAATCCAACCAGTAACCAGAGAAATTAGTCAATGTAAACCTGGTAGGAAATCCATCCAGTAACCAGAGAAATTAGTCAATGTAAACCTGGTAGGAAATCCAACCAGTAACCAGAGAAATTAGTCAATGTAAACCAGGTTAGAAACTGAGTACTACCACAGTGGGGCAAAAAGGAACCTGGCAGACAACCCAATAAAAACACAGCAACCACTTAAACGATTAGAATCATATGGTCAAAAAGGCCGAAGCTTCTGTGATTTTTTGCATAAAGATTGTAAAATATCTATACAATTTAGTTACTTGTAATAAATTTGAGATTATTTAGAAAAGCTTATATTGAGCATATTCTACATTGTAAATCTATACATGTATTAGGTTTATTGTTAAGTGGGTCATTGATGTGAGAAACACACAATTTGTTACTGTAGTTCATACAGTTCAATATAAAAGAGTAAAATGAAAACACATAAAAGATATTTATGCATTTTTTAGTTTCAAAACCACCGATGAGGCAGAAGAAAATTAATTTTGAAAAAGGTAAGATTGTTTTTTAGGATGTCCTTCAATTTGCTTGACTAATTTAAAGAGATTTAATTGATAACGTCTTATCATTTTGTCATTACAGTCCCAGATGGAGAAAGATATATGGAGGCATTAAAGAAATATGCAAGAGATAATAATATTTCACTCAACTTTGACCCTATGCCCATGAAAGGAGCGAATAACCCTGGTTTTGTCAGCTCTGTCATCATCAATGGGAAACGCTATGGAAGTGGAGGTATGAGCGTAACTAACTAGATTTATTAGGCAAAAGTTTGTATGTGTAAATGCTCTATGGTAATCAATTCATCTTGTTTGTCCATCTGTTCAATAGATCTGACTTGTATTTGTCTATACCACCAATTCCCACTATTACTGTCACAGAACAACTCAAGTATTTTTATACCTCCTGCTTGAAATGTGGAGGAATATAGCGATGGGGATGTCTATCCATTGGTATGCCTGTTATACTTAAGGGTACCCCTCTCCTCCTCTACCACTGAACAAAATTTAGAGTTTTACAGAATCGTTTATTACAGAAAGCCATTGTGCACCACATTTTTTATGTTTTGATCAGACAGATATTTGGGCTTTTCCTTAGCAAAACATGGACACCACCATACTTGGGGGTATAACCATGTGTTATCTGCAACTCCCCCTATACCACTAAGTAAATTTAAAGAAACTTTTCCACAATCTTTATTACATAGTGCCATTGGGCATCTCCCTTTTCATGTTTGAATGGACAGATATTTTGGCTTTCCCATAGCAAAACATGGACTTTGCCATTATTCTCATATGGGAGCCAGGGGTGGGTGGGTTTCATTTTGTGAGCTCAATGTTCACAGTACCTCTGTTTCTACCTGTCTTACAGGTATATATTTAATCCATACATGTACCTGTGAAGTTGTGAACAGGTAGATCATGTTTGAGGTAAACACCTGTCAATTTGGAGTTTGAAGTCATTAATAACAAGGTCAAAAAGTCATATTTATTTTCTCAACAATTCCTCAATTGAATTTTATTATCTTTCATGCAAATTGACCAAGTGCTTTTGACTCTCTAAAGCTTCAGTTTGGTATATTATAGTTTTTCTGTATTTTTGTTCAGATGTGTATGGTAGCGTGAGTATTCTATGTGTGGTTTTGAGTTGTTGTGTATTTTTGTACAGATGTTTATGGTAGCATTGAGGATTCTGTGTTTTTATGATTTCTGTATTTTTGTACAGATGTATATGGTAGCGTTGAGGATTCTGACTTTGCCGCGGCTCGTACCGCTGTCGAGAGTTTGGGTCTTCTTTCTATGTCAGGTGAGTAGCAATCTGTTGTTTTATTTACTGTAATTTGACCGGTATGTACAAAAAGGATGCATCATTTATGGAATAAGATACTGTGTATTCGAAAATTATTCAAGTTTGTTTACAGTTCAAAGCTACCTTTTTAGGTTTGAAAATTTGCACATAGCCATATTGACTTTATGTTTATGGTAAATCCTCCAAAATGAAGGAAAAGAAAGCAGAATTTACTTGCAGAAATAGTTTATATCTGGCTGTTGTACTGCAGAAAAAAATGCTATAAGCAAAAACCCAAACACCAACATAATGAAATTCTTTTTAAAAAAATCTAATTAGGTTAGTACAGAGCTAGATTCACTTTATGCATAAAATGGCCCTGTAGATTATTATACAAATATAGCCTTTTGATGAGATTAATCCTATAGACCTTTGAGAAAGCATATCTACCCAGCATGAAGTGTACCAAATGAAAAGACTGTTTTTTTTATAACAGTTAATAAGAAATATCTTAAAAATCCATGTTTTTAACACTTCATAGTTTTTCATATAAGGCATTGGAATATATTGGTGCAATTCTTGACATCGTAGTGCATTAACTAGCCATACAATTAATATGTAATTTTTAATAGATAGGCAGTGATCAAAGGTTCAAGTAATATTTATTGCATTGTCAACTGATATTAAGCAGTTTTGATTTTTCAGAAATACACAGGGCCAAACAAAGAGAACCTTCTTCTTTAATGTTATTTCAGTGTTTACAGAGTTATCTTTCTTGACACACAACTTTCTTTCAAAACACTTCATCAAGCTTTGCTATAATGATATAACATATTTTTCATCAAATACATGTAGATTATTTTTTTGCAGTTCATGTGTAGTTCAAGTTGATGGGCATTTTTTTTAATTATTGTTTGGACAAACCCCCTCTTGATAGTTTTTATTATGAATTCAAATTCATTTTAGGAGAGAACACCTCACGTACACAAAGTCCACTTGCATCAGAAGCCCAGATCAAGGAGCGAGTCAGAGAAGTGAGTAGAAATAAAAGCTGTAGTGTGGGAAATCATTTTCCATTCTGTTATCTGTCATTAGGGCTGCAATAATTAATCGCAGTGCTCTTGAATCGTGATGCAGTACAGCATTCAATTCAATATCTTCAAAGTACAATTTGGTTCATGTTAACATTTTTTTCTGGAATTAAAAAAAAATCAGTGTACCTGGTGTTTTGTAGTGGCAAAAATGGCCGACACCAGTAGTCCAATTTCCAAAATTTGGACTAAAAACACACAAGCGAACTTTACATGTATGTCCCGCTGAGGAAGTATTTTGTTCTGAAAGAAACTGAATTATTGAGGTAGAATTTGTTCTACAGAAATTAATTACAAGTTTGGAAAAAAAAATCATAGAACTGGGGAATCATTTGAAATGAAAACAAGGTACACAAGTGTTTAACGTTATCACGGTTTTGAAAAGTTGAGAATTTTAAATCTTGATGCATGGCAAACGTACAAGTTTTGGTATTTGTAGTTTAAAAAAGTTGTCACTCTAAAGTTGTAATTAAAATCTTAAGTCTTTTCTTGAATTGATTTATTTATTTGTCAATTCATTTTGACAGGAACATAAATACATTAACAGATTTATTGAATAAATTTTATTCCAAAAATATTTTAACATTCCATAAAATTTCTGTGATACAATAGAGTCCGCAATATGATTAGAATGGAGTATACATCTATCTCTTTAATTGATCAACATGATTACAAGGTTCTGTTTCTTTATTATATATTAGAGCTAGTGATAACTATTGAATTGAATAGAAAATAATGGATTTGTGGCCCTAAGAATTGAAAGTTGAATTGTGAGATGTATTTGAATCGTTGCAGCCCTATCAGTCATCATCAATTAGCGATTAACGATTGATTAATTAACAATTACTTTTCAAGGATTTCAATGAAAACAACTCAAATAAACCAGTTCTGTATCTGTATTTGGCCCCTTGTTTTAAGAACTGTCACATTTTTTCTATATAAAGGGGGATTACTCTTACAAAAATTTCGTTTGTACACCATAAGGTTTTCAGTTTGTGGTTTTAATTAACTTGACTGAAGATGTGATCAAAAGCTTTATGTTCTCCATTTTCCAATTTCAATTTAATTTGCACTGTACTTTTTAGCTCACCTCAACGAAGTTGGGGGAGCTTATGTAATACCCTCGGCGTCGGCGTCCCAGGTTAAGGTTTTTGGAGCAGTTTTCTTTTCAAGTACTTCTATGGCCTATATTAGTCAGAGATGCATGGAGGATGCTTCTAGTGTGTTTCATTGTACCAGTCAAGGTTTCAGATGCTGCAATTTCAGCTAAAGAATGACCAGGTTAATGTTTTTGGAGCAGGTTAAAGTTTTTGGAGCAGGTCTCATTTCCAAGTAACTATAAGTCCTATATTGACCAAACTTGCATGGATGATACATCTAAGATGCACACTACTGAACTTGCTTTGGATGCTGGATCTGACCTACATTTTCCAGATGAGTGACTAGGTTAAGGTTTTTGAAGTAGATCTCATTTCCAAGTAACTATAAGCCCTATATTGACCAAACTTGCATGGATGATACATCTAAGGATGCACACTACTGTACTTGCTTCGGATGCTGGATCTTACCTATATTTTCCAGATGAGTGACCAGGTTAAGGTTTTTGGAGCAGATCTCATTTCCAAGTAACTAAAAGCCCTATATTAACCAAACTTGCATGGATGATACATTTAAGGATGTACACTACTGGACTTGCTTCGGATGCTGAATCTGACCTACATTTTCCGGATAAGTGACCAGTTTAAGGTTTCTGGAGTAGATCTCATTTCCAAGTAACTATAAACCCTATATTGACCAAACTTGCATGGATAATACATCTAAGGATGCACACTACTGGACTTACTTCGGATGCTGAATCTGACCTATATTTTCTGATGAGTGACCAGGTTAAAGTTTTTGGAGCAGGTCTCATTTCCAAGTAACTATAAACCCTATATTGACCAAACTTGCATGGATGATACATCTAAGGATGCACACTACTGAACTTGCTTAGGATGCTGGATCTGACCTACATTTTCCGGATGAGTGACTAGATTAAAGTTTTTGGAATAGATCTCATTTCCAAGTAACTATAAGCCCTATATTGACCAAACTTGCATGGATGATACATCTAAGGATGCACACTACTGAACTTGCTTCGGATGCTGGATCTGACCTATATTTTCCGGATGAGTGACCAGGTTAAGGTTTTTGGAATAGATCTCATTTCCAAGTAACTATAAGCCTTATATTGACCAAACTTGCATGGATGATACATCTAAGGATGCACACTACTGGACTTGCTTCGGATGCTGGATCTGACCTATATTTTTTCCGGATGAGTGACCAGGTTAAGGTTTCTGGAGTTGATCTAGTTTCAAGTAACTATAAGCCCTATATTGACCAAACTTGCATGGATGATACATCTGAGGATGCACACTACTGGACCTACTTCTGATGCTGAATCTGACCTATATTTTCCAGATGAGTGACCAGGTTAAAGTTTTTGGAGCAGATGTCATTTCCAAGTAACTATAAACCCTATATTGACCAAACTTGCATGGATGATACATCTAAGGATTCACACTACTGAACTTGCTTCGGATGCTGGATTTGACCTAAATTTTCTGGATGAGTGACCAGGTTAAAGTTTTTGGAGCAGATGTCATTTCCAAGTAACTATAAACCCTATATTGACCAAACTTGCATGGATGATACATGTACACCGAAGGATTCACACTACTGGACTTGCTTCGGATGCTGGATCTGACCTACATTTTCCGGATGAGTGACCAGGTTAAAGTTTTTGGAGCAGATGTCATTTCCAAGTAACTATAAACCCTATATTGACCAAACTTGCATGGATGATACATGTACACCGAAGGATTCACACTACTGGACTTGCTTCGGATGCTGGATCTGACCTACATTTTCCGGATGAGTAACCAGGTTAAAGTTTTTGGAGCAGATCTCATTTCCAAGTAACTATAAGGCCTATCTGAACCAAACTTGCATGGATGATGCATCAAGGGACGAACAATCTCAAACTTGCTTCGGATGCTGGATTTGACTTACATTTTCTGGATGAGTGACTTAAGTTTTAAGTTTTCAGATAAGTCTATTCCCAAGTAACTGCAAGCCCTATCAGACCAAAATTGCATAAATGTTGCATCTAGGGATGCACACTTCTAGATTATTAGTTTAGTGTGCTACTTTGCCTTACTTAAAGACAACATTCGTTGAGGTGAGCTCTGTAATCTCTGATTACCTATGTTTTTTTTGGTGTTGTTTGACAGATTCTAACAAAGTTTACCTTTATTGTGCTTTTATGCTACAGAAGCAGATGGTCACCTTAGGACAATTCTGATTGGCCATTGCCATAATGAGTAGTCCAATCAAACTTAGTTTTACAGTGAATGCTATACTCAATGATAACAGAAAAAAGTCAAATGAAAGTGAAGTTGTACAAAATGTACCATTTCTTTTTCAATATTTCAAGATGGATCACTGAGTTTACTGATCTGTAGACTTTCCTGGTCCAACAATGATTAATGGGAAGCAGAACCACTCTTCTGTGTATTATTAAATTTATTGACTGAACAAATAACAAACAATGAACAGTGATTGCTAAGATCATATACTGTAGTTCACTATATTTTCACCACACCTTATTTTCGTGAGACAGCTATCTGGTATTTAAAAGCGAGTAAAAATTTTCACGAGCTGTTGTGATTTTTGTCTACAATCCATAACAATACAAATATTCGTGAGAATAAAATTTGGGCGAGCAGGCAGACTTGCATAGTTATGCGAAAATAAAGTTCTTGCAAATAAAAAGTGATTTACAGTGTTAATTTCTGATTCAATTTCTGTCCAGTTTAAACAAAATTTCAGATACAGTACTATGTTTCAAAATGGACTCAAAGTGTTTGATGGGTACATTTGCCAGTGAGATAGTTAATTCTGCAGTCTAGATTTGTTGATTTGAATGAAGCTCCATATCCTACAATAAGATTATGCTCAATTTGAAATTTTACTATAATCTAGCAATGATATTTACGACTTCTTCTCTGAGGATTTAGGAAAGTACCGTCTGAGGTGCTGCCCCTCCCCACACAATTTCCGAACCTCGAAGTAGATTTTTTCATTACAGTCTGCACAGCTGTAATTAAAGGCACCGTCAGCGATATGCCTGAAGCACCTCTTACTCGGGGTATCCCAGAGTTTCTGTATGCCCTGTAAACTCCTCAACATGTTTGCCTTCTCCATCTTCAATGTCTCACAATCCAGCATTGTACGTCTGTCTCTCTGTGTTAAGTCATTGGAGTAGTCCCTGAACATCTCAATCTTGTCGTGATAGATCTGTAACAGTGTCTTAGATGACAGCTTTTTACACTCGGGACTCGAGTCCAGTTCCTCCAGTGTTTTGGTTTTGGCGTACTCCATACAGTGTTTGTAGAGGGATCTAAGATTGTATTTTTCTGCCAGGACTAACATTCCTAGAGATCTCTCCTGGGTTATGAGAAACTGTTCACATCGTTCCTTCACACGATTTATTTGGAATTCATCAGAAAGTTGTAGTAAGAATTTCACATTAGAATCTGTGGAAACCAAAGTAATTTATTATATGTGTACAGTAAAACATGCCTATAGTTAATATGCTTATAATAAATTGACGCTTACAGTGAAATGATTTTTATTCCTTATGACTTTAAAATGTATTGTAAACTGATATAACAAATTACACTTATAATGAAGCAAAATCATCTGTCCTTAGGACTTCATTGTAAGTGTGTTTTACTGCACACAATTTATAGTCAAGTATGATATTTGAAATTTATGAAAATTAAATGAAAACTTCATGCCCACAAATCACACAAAAGAAAGTAAAACAAATAAACAGATTTGTCATTCCATGTTTAAATAAATTTTCTCTATTTTGGTGAACACCTGTGGATGTGTTTCATTTTGTATTAAAATGAATATTTAATCTAAATTGTTTATTTTTCATTAATTCTCAGTTAATCATCAGGGTATTTAGATTAGTATCAGATTGGTGATAAAAAAACCAAAAGATTTTATCAGTCTTGTCTTTATCAGGAGTGAAGTTTCATAAATAAATTCTTTGTTTGAGATTAGATTGGAGATAAGGGGGTTTGATTTGACATTGATTTTAAAACACCCAGACATGGGACTCCATGCTAGAGCCAGACATTGTATAATAATGAAGGGTCCGTGTATTGGAAAACCAATTTATTCTCCTTGTTATTTATAAAAAGAAAACACTTAAAAGATAAGTAAGTTTACTGATCAATATTTCTTACAGGGGGGAAATATTTTAGTAGACAATGCATAGTTCTCAGAGAAGTCTCCCTAAGAATGTTAAAAGAAAAGCAACATTGTAATAAAAAATAAAATTAGTGATCTGTTTACTAAAATTGTAGTATTTTTCAGTTCCTCCTTTTAATTTGTTACTTCCGAAGTTTATCTCTGTTTAAAGTTGTCATTAAGACCTGATTCTCCTAGTTAATAATTATTTCCATTGATTATTTAATATGTCAGACTTCCATGATTCATAAAGATGTGAGGTATACCTGAATGAATTCGAGTTTACCTGAGATAGGTTTCTGTGTGGAGTAGATACAGTGCAACAGTTCTGTAACTTCTTGTAAGTTTTTATCTGGCATTAAGATTTCCCGCAGTCCCTGGGGGTTGGAACATTCCTCCAGGAACATCTGACGCCACACAGGTGACCACTCGGCCAGATACTGTTTGTGGACATGGAGGGGGGTGCCACCGATCACCAGGGTCAGGTCGCTCAGCTCGTCCGGCTGAGTAAAATCTCTTAAGGCTGATGCATCTGTCATGTTGAGATTTGGTCAGTCTCCATGTTTGTGAGCTGAAATCATCCAGATAAATTATAATATTTTCTTAGTATACATTTATTTAACAATATCAATTCTTAAATCAAATTAGAAAACACAAAATTTACCTTACTTAATTTTTTTAATTCATTCCAAAAAATTGCAGTAGTCTCAGGTTATGATTGAACACTGGATGATGTTTGAGGCCATCTTCAGAACGTTTACTGTATGTATATATTGTGTTTGGTAAGAATTTACTAAATACACCAAGACTAAGTCAGTTTATAATGCCCTAAACCAACAATTGTCTATGATGTAACCACTCTAAGATAGGCACTGTTATTATCACAATTTAAATAGATACACATTTAAACAGCTAGTACACAATACACTTGTATGCAATGTGGAAATCTCTTTATGTGCCAGAGTTATACATACAACCATTTAAGAAGGGGGTGTTTTGGTTTAGTCATTTTCATTTAAATAATTGTGATCATTTAGTCTTGATCTTTGTTACGTCATATGAAGGGATGTTAGATCACTTGTGTTAAAGGTTAAAATGTACTGGTCTTGTCTAAAATTAAAGCACTCTTTTGTAAAAGATTTGAGAGGGAAATGACCATGGAACACATTTAGTATTTATTTGTTTCTTAATTAAATGTGAACTAATGTACACTGCTTATAAAGAGACTTCCAGTTTTTCATATCAGCAAGAGCTGATATTGGTCAACAGATGATATAAGAAGTAGTACACATGAAGCATAATTGCCTTGGGTTTATATGGATGTGATACAGACAGACAATTTTTTGATCACTGGTTGATAAGGAATGTGATGTAGAATGATTTGGGCTGATATTTGTAGTAAGTTTTAATGAGGAGTGACATAAAGGGCTGATATTGAGTGCAGGTTGATACAGGATGTGATATAGAGTGACTTTGGATTGGTAATAGTGGTAGGTTGATATGAGGAGTTATATAGAGGAAGTGGCACCCTAGCTCATCACAACCATGCACTTAGTTTGTCTGCTTAATATACAGAAGGAGAGAAGATTTTAAAAGAATCTATGCATTTTTACTATATGATCAATAGAGCCCCACCCTAACACCAGAACCCCAGAAACTGGGGCCACGAATTTCAAACTTTTGGTAGAGGGGTCAGTATTTATTATAATCATGCAATATTTTGACTGCTTGGGGAGTAAAGAAGAAAATTTTTGAAGATTGCACAAATGTTGATGTTTTTTTCCCACCCCAAAGGCCTCAGTAGAGCAGAGGCCATAAAATTCACATTTTTGTTTTCATTAAATCTTTAAGAGTTGAAGAAAACCGATTGCATTAAGTCACCTGAGTGACTCGGGTGACCTTAACACAAAAAAGGTTTAAGTAATATATGGTGCAGCTCAAAAATTTTCAAGTATCATGTTTGTGTCTGTGCTGAGTTGACAGTCATGCATTACTGGGGCAGTAGTACTGCTCTATAATGACCTTATATGATACAGAGTATGTGACATCAGGTATACCAGAATATGTTTATTATTAATTTTTATAAAATTCAATCAGTATATTGTTGATGAATATCCACTCATACACATATTAGTAGCATTTTAGATTTGGTTTGAAGAGTTTATGTTAGGTGCAAGCAAAAGTTCTTCCAGATAGATATTTTCAGTTGTCATTTTAGATGCTGAATGATGTTTTACTAGTAAGTTAAGAAATTCCTAAACATTTTGCTCATGAAATGAAAAGCTGAATTCATATGTATCACTTCTAAATGTATAATGCTTTTTTCATATCTTTATTTAGATCCAGATACTGTTATCGTGGGCATAAACATCTAAATAAATGTGCAATCATTGCATCATTTGTATTGCAAATAACAATCTAATTATTTTCATATTCATTTATGTGTATTTTTGTATCTCGGTCTTTAAATGGTGACCGATATCCCTATAATATTTGTCTTGAATTGCTTTTAAGATTTGCACATTTTGACAAAATTATAAGCTGTTTCACAATTACTGCATTACTGCTCTTTTGCAGGGCAAATTGATGTAATTTGGCAAAGTTTTAATTGGCAAATAATTAAATGACATATATTAAACAATTGCTGTTGTGTCATATTTCACCAAACCATATCAATTTTAGCTGCAAAAATGCAGTACTGCAGTTACTTTGAAAGGGCTAATTACAAAAATAAATTCTCTTTTTAGCATACTTTAAAATGAATTTTCCTCATTTTTTAAACTCATAAACTTTTCTGGTCATCTGTCTGTCATCTGGGATTTTTTTTACTCTCCAAAATAGTTTGGCAAATTTTAATCAAACCTGGCACAAATCTTCCTTTCCATGTCTCTTACAAGGGGGAGATAAATAGGAAAAAATAGGATGGGGTCATTAAAAACATTCAAGAACCACTGAACAAGAAGACAAAACATGTAAAAAGCTTCCTTATCTAGTGTACAGATTCTTAGCCATGGGGCCAAGGATGAGTCCTCAGTTAGTGGGTCAAAGTTTTCACACTGATGAATGTCAAAACTATAAGGGCCTTAATAGTCTCACTCCAAATCTCATTCTATAGAGTCATATAAAAACAGTTTTAACATGAATCCCATCATATTGCTTTTAAAATTAACATGTAATTTTTTTTTTTTGTTTTTGTTTTTTGTAATCTGCATGTACAGTATGCTAGTATTTCAATCTGAGAAATTTTACAAAGAAAATGTCAAATCAATATTGCAAACCTTGAAGCAGTTTTGAATATTTTTTGCATTGGAAGTAATAAATCAAGAAAGTTTCTCCAATATGATGGATTTACAAAGTACTTGTAATACAAAGAAAAAATTAACAAGATAAAATATGTACAATGGGAAAGTTTTAAGATTTTGTCTGTGACTAAATCAACAATCTCTTTCAGATTATGCCTTCGAATAATTCTACATTTAAGAAAAAAAAGATTAAATATACAAACCTCAGTATCATAAATTCAGGTATTCACAAAGATATAATTAATGTCTCTGGTCAGTGTATTAAGGATTAGGAGCTGCAGATCTTCACATTAATGTGCACCGGGGGATTGTGAATATAGCCAGACCTAGCTTTAAATGTCTCGTGGAATATTATTCCCATGTAGTTTAAACTCAAATCCAATACAAGTACAATGTACTTTTGGGTTAAACCAACAGAATTCAATGTTATATTTATTGCATAAAGAAAATATTTCAGTTCAATATTTTTTTTCATTAGAGAGAGGTGAAGCCAGCATGTAAAAGGTTTCACTGTCAGATATTTCAATGTCAGTCTGTTTATTGTGAAAAAAAATCAATTATTTTTAAGATTCTGTTAAATCTTGCTCCATATATTAGACTTGCAGGTTTATACTTATGTTCCTGTCTAAGTATTCATGACAATAGCAGTGAATAGGTTCACAAATTTTAATATTCATATTTTAGAAGAACTTGTGCAACTCAAATTTTAAAGCGAACAGAAACTACTGCATTGCTTAGAGAGAGAATAATCCTTAATACATTTGCATTTCGAGAGACGAAATCAAATGGAATTTTTGAGCTACAGTTCAATTATTAATGCTTGCTGGTACTTAAACATGTCAATGGTTGAACAATCAAAAGTTAAATTTGGCATTTTAGAACCATTTGTTAAATGTATATGTTACACTAAGGGATTAAGATAGTAAACATTAAAATTAGAACCTTTTAAATCATTCTTTTGCCAAAACTTTTTATTTAAATTCACAGCATACTGATGATCGATGAATGGAATGGCTGTTTTTGCATTGGCCTTACTGGTTAAAAATTATATTGACAGAGAGATGCTGCAAAGAATTTAAATATGAGCAATTTTAATTACTTAAGAAATATGCTTCAGAATAAATTGCATGTATCAGTATTGCTTATTGCTATTTAATAATTTCAGTTGTTTAACATCTCTTTGACAATAACTAGTAATGAAATGTGTGGAACAGGAAAAAATCTCTTTGTAATTTTTTGTATTGGGATGTTTTATTTGAGTAACTTTTCAAGAGGTCTTGTTTTAGTAAGTTCTCACATTATTTGTCTAGGGCTCTTCTTTAAGGACTAGAAACGTACAATGAATTTTTATTTTGTAATTTTAGTTGGTAAAGGGAAAGAATAATGGAATCTGGGACACACGCCTGGAAGTAATGTACAGAGAACAGTACAACGAGGACCCTCCCCCAGACCTTGTATATTACATAGAGAAATGGCCAGATATAGTCAGGGTAGAGGCGTAAGTATAAAAAGGCACAAACACACACACATACAGAGAACGGTACAGCGAGGACCCTCCCCCCAACCTTGTGTATTACATACAGAACTGGCCAGATATAGTCAGGGTAGAGGCGTAAGTATAAACACACACAAACACACACACACACACATACAGAGAACAGTACAACGAGGAGCCTCCCCCCGACCTTGTGTAATACAGAACTGGCCAGATATAGTCAGGGTAGAGGCGTAAGTATAAACATACACACATACAGAGAACAGTACAACGAGGAGCCTCCCCCCGACCTTGTGTAATACAGAACTGGCCAGATATAGTCAGGGTAGAGGCATACGTATAAACACACACACATACAGAGAACAGTACAACGAGGAGCCTCCCCCTGACCTTCTGTAATACAGAACTGGCCAGATATAGTCAGGGTAGAGGCATAAGTATAAACACACACAAACACACACACATACAGAGAACAGTACAATGAGGACCCTCCCCCCGACCTTGTGTATTACATACAGAACTGGCCAGATATAGTCAGGGTAGAGGCGTAAGTATAAACACACACAAACACACACACATACAGAGAACAGTACAATGAGGACCCTCCCCCCAACCTTGTGTATTACATACAGAACTGGCCAGATATAGTCAGGGTAGAGGCGTAAGTATAAACACACACAAACATACACACATACAGAGAACGGTACAGCGAGGGACCTCCCCCCAACTTTGTGTATTACATACAGAACTGGCCAGATATAGTCAGGGTAGAGGCGTAAGTATAAAGTAAACACACACATACAGACAGACATACACACACAGAGATTTAGTAATGTAATAGAGAGAAGGAGGAGTGCAAGAAAGAGAGAACAGAAGAGGCAGGATGCAGAGAGAGAGAGGAGAATTTTTACTCCCCTTTACTTGAGATTTTAAAAAACTTGTAAGGAATGATTGATTGATTGATTGATTGATTGTAAGTTGTATATGTGCTCTATATCTTTGGCTTAAGTAGGAATCAAAAAGTAGATTGCCCACCAGCCAATCATGAATATAGATAAAGTCATGAACAGATATTGTCATCTTTTATAGTCTCACATCATTAAACATAGATATTTCAATCATTAAATAAAAACAAATAAAAGTTGAATATTACATTATGTTACTATTTCTTTGTTACTCTGTGTCCATCTTAAATTTTTCTACATATTTGAAGAATGAACTATATCTGTATTCTCTCACTTCCAACAGATGTACACTAACAGGTAGAAACAGACTTTATCCAGTGACTGAGGAACAAGTCAAAGGAGACCATGGGGTCCCCCTGTCCCTCCCTAGACCAATCACAACACAAGCTGGAGGAGATGCTTCCCAACAAAATGGCACACTGACAGCACCACCCGAAAAAGCACCTGCTCATCCAGTAGTCAGTCAAGAGGTAAGTATACAAGTACTCTAGAAAAAAGCACCTGTTCAGCCAGTAGTCAGTCAAGAGGTTAGTATACAAGTACTCTAGAAAAAAAACACCTGCTTAGCTAGTAGTCAGTCAAGAGGTTAGTATACATGTACTCTACAAAAAAGCACCTGCTCAGCCAGTAGTCAGTCAGGAGGTTAGTATACAAGTACTCTAGAAAAAAGCACCTGCTCAGCCAGTAGTCAGTCAAGAGAGTCAATCTGAAAGCAGATTTAAAAAGTTTATGATGAATAATTTATCAGAAAAGTAATGAGAATATGCTTCTGGGAATTGTTCTTACTATATATTCCATTATAATTGTAAACTCTACAGTTTAGGCATGTGTCATTCAGAATTCATGTGGTACAAATAAACAGATCTAAGATTGCTCCGGTTTCTAGGACCCTTGAATTTCTGGTAGATTCTGTCACGTTATTTTTGTGTGAAAGGAGAATATTCATGTTTCTCAAAATGGTTGACATTAACTTTATACCTTATTTCTTAAGGACATATTGGGTATAATTGAATAAAAAACATGTTTTGCAGCTGTTGGTTTAGGTCTCAAGAAATGCTCTGTGTTTTATAGATCAAAGAGTTAAAAGTACCATCTGGAGAAAATTTACCTATTGGGTAAGTACTTTAAAGCTATCTATTGGATTATTATATACAGGTTAACTATCAGGTATGTACCTATACATGTATTTAAAAGTTACTTAATGATCAAAGCATATTCATGTACAAGTTACCTACATTTGGAAAGTACTTGTATATGTAAAGTTTAGATTAGTCTTGTGGTAATACTTAATGTTAGATTTGCTTTGTCTTTTTTATACATGAAATAGTAACACACACCTCGTCATAAACAGGATACTTAAGTGTTTTAAAACAGTTTCTTGTGTACAGCATTTCCTTTACAAGAATTTCCTCTGGTGTAAAGTAATTACAACAAACTTCATGATGTTTTTCTTTTTTTTTTTTGCATTTTGAAGAATACATCATGATCAGGACAATGTTTCAATGTACCTATGTACCTATATTTCCCGCCCCCTAAGTCACGTTTTGATTGATTTCTGCAGGGAGAAGGTGTCCGTTTACATGACCTATTTGGGAGATGATGGGAGTTTCTGTGTTCAGCATGAAGATAGTGCCATTTTTGATATTACAGAAATAATTGACATAGTAGCTAATGTAAGAACATCACACTCTCATATGATTAAATCCTTTTTTAAGATCCGATCTGTCATTTGAAAATGAAATTTAATTGTCTGAGAAAGAGAAATATATTTTTTAGGATTTTCTCTTTCTGCAGGGCCCTGTTCCTGAACTGGAGGATTTAGAGCCAGGGAGGTTTATTGCTGCTCTGTACAACACTGGGTCAGAAGAACTGTGGAGCAGGGCTGAGATACTCAGTAGGGAGGGGGTAAGAATCTATGAACAGGTTTATCGGTGCTCTGTACAACACAGGGACAGAGGAACTGTGGAGCAGGGCTGGGATACTCAGTAGGGAGGGGGTAAGAATCTATTAACAGAATTATTACTGCTGTATATAACACAGGGACAGGGAAACTGTGGAGCAGGGCTGAGATACTCAGTAGGGAGGGGGTAAGATTCTATTAACAGGTTTATTGCTGCTCTGTACAACACAGAGACAGAAGAACTGTGGAGCAGGGCTGAGATACTCAGTAGGGAGGGGGTAAGAATCTATTAACAGGTTTATTGCTGCTCTATATAACACAGGGACAGAAAAACTGTGGAGCAGGGCTGGGATACTCAGTAGGGAGGGGGTAAGAATCTATTAACAGGTTTATTGCTGCTCTGTACAACACAGGGACAGGGAAACTGTGGAGCAGGGCTGAGATACTCAGTAGGGAGGGGGTAAGAATCTATGAACAGATTTATCAGTGCTCTGTACAACACAGGGACAGAGGAACTGTGGAGCAGGGCTGAGATACTCAGTAGGGAGGGGGTAAGAATCTATGAACAGATTTATCGGTGCTCTGTACAACACAGGGACAGAGGAACTGTGGAGCAGGGCTGAGATACTCAGTAGGGAAGGGGTAAGAATCTACTAACATTAGGGGATTAAGAATGTCAGAGACTATGTTCATATTATCAAAAATATTTGGATGATGTTCCTAAGTTATTTACAAGTATAACAAGTACAATTTATATCTTTGGTATAACAGATTTAATGGAAACAAAATTTGCAAATGAAAATTTGAATACAACCTGTGAAAGATCAATATACAAAAATTTCAAACCACAGAAATTGTTGATGAGGATTGGTATTGTCTGTATGGTGTAAAATGTTTGTGAAGAAGTTTTCAATGGCTGTCAATATTATTCATTACACAGTCAGTTAGGGGCCTACTACAGAGTCATACAGGGTGTGAAATGGAAATCTGCAAAGCCTCACCCAATACGGATTTCCATTTCACATCCTGTATGACGCACGTCGCCCATTACGGATTTCCATTTCACACCCTGTATAACTCCATATTAGGTCTCTAACTGACTGTGTAACAAATTTATCCCACTGAAGACCTTCTTGAATATTGCAATAAAAAAATTTGAGCATATTATCAACATATCAAGTTTTAATCCAATAACAATCAACATAAAATATCAAAACAAGTAACAACAGATTTAACTAACAACATATGACTACAATCATGAACATGTAATTAAGGACTGCAGTAAACATTTAAAACTGCATAATACCTGTTTCATGTCTTATTTCTATTTATGTTGAAGTTGATTGAAAACTAACAATCATTAAAGATTGTAGTTTGAATTTACTTTGACTGCTTTGCATTGCTGTGTTTGAAACACTTGCACTTGTGTTTGGGAAAAAGTCACCAAACAAATCATTTAGACAAATTCCTTCAAGACACTTTGCATCCTCAAGGAGAGTGGGTTGATCTCCATCATTGTTAGCAGAGAGTGCATCTCCGAAATTGCTAGTGGAGGGTAAGGGAAGTTTGACTTCAGTATTGCTAGTGGAGGGTAAGGCAAGTTTGACTTCAGTATTGCTAGTGGAGGGTAAGGCAAGTTTGACTTCAGTATTGCTAGTGGAGGGTAAGGCAAGTTTGACTTCAGTATTGCTAGTGGAGGGTAAGGCAAGTTTGACTTCAGTATTGCTAGTGGATGATAAGGCAAGTTTGGCTTCAGTATTGCTTGTGGAGGGTAAGGCAAGTTTGGCTTCAGTATTGCTAATGGATGGTAAGACAAGTTTGGCTTCAGTATTGGTAGTGGAGGGTAAGACAAGTTAGGCTTCAGTATTTCTAGTGGATGATAAGGCAAGTTTCCCTTCAGTACATGTATTGCTAGTGGATGGTAAGGCAAATTTCCCCTTAGTATTGCTAGTGGATGATAAGGCAAGTTTCCCTATAATATTGCTAGTGGATGGTAAGGCAAATTTCCCTTCAGTGTTGCTAGTGGATGATAAGGCAAGTTTGGCTTCAGTATTGCTAGTGGAGGGCAAGACAAGTTAGACTTCAGTATTGCTAGTGGAGGGTTAGACAAGTTTGGCTTCAGTATTGCTAGTGGAGGGTAAGGCAAGTTTGACTTCAGTATTGCTAGTGGAGGGTAAGGCAAGTTTGGCTTCAGTATTGCTAGTGGAGGGTAAGGCAAGTTTGACTTCAGTATTGCTAGTGGAGGGTAAGGCAAGTTTGGCTTCAGTATTGCTAGTGGAGGGTAAGACAAGTTTGACTTCAGTATTGCTAGTGGAGGGTAAGACAAGTTTGACTTCAGTATTGCTAGTGGAGGGTAAGGCAAGTTTGACTTCAGTATTGCTAGTGGAGGGTAAGACAAGTTTGACTTCAGTATTGCTAGTGGAGGGTAAGGCAAGTTTGACTTCAGTATTGCTAGTGGAGGGTAAGGCAAGTTTGGCTTCAGTATTGCTAGTGGAGGGTAAGACAAGTTTGACTTCAGTATTCTAGTGGAGGGTAAGGCAAGTTTGACTTCAGTATTGCTAGTGGAGGGTAAGGCAAGTTTGACTTCAGTATTGCTAGTGGAGGGTAAGACAAGTTTGACTTCAGTATTGCTAGTGGAGGGTAAGGCAAGTTTGACTTAAGTATTGCTAATGTAGGGTAAGGCAGGTTGGTTTTGTACACTAGGCAGTAATGCTTCCGAGACGCTTTGACCCATCTTCATTTTCTCACCGTCATCAACTCTCTGATATACAGTTAGAGACTGGACAGATTTATTACCAGCAACAGCCATAATCTGAGATGGGCCATACATTCCTTAGGACAACATTGTGGCTCCAGTTGCCCGAATAGGATGATTTGTGTAAATTTTAGATGAATCACATTTCTTGCTGAGATCAGTGGGATAATAATCGTTAATCTGCAGTAGTATCAGTAAGATGGCAGATGTATATGCTCCTGATGTACCTTCCAATTCAGTGAATTTAACACTGGATTGAATTTCATTCACTAGCTAGATTTATTTGACACATTCAATCTAACATCAAGGAGTCAGATGATTTATAATCCTGTTTTGCAGACAACAGTTGATGTCGTATTCATTGACTACGGAAACAGAGCCACCTGTAACCAGAACGTCACCAGATTTCTGACAGAGGAGCTGGCACGGTATCCCATACAAATGATCTTCTGTTATCTCTATGGAGTGGCCCCTTTAGAGGTGGGACATCCTTATAGTTGTCTCTAGAGCAGATTAAGGTGAACAATGATGCAGAAGTATACAATTAACAAGATTTGGTGTCTTTTTTAGCTCACCTGAGCCAAAGGCTCAAGTGAGCTTTTCTGATCAAAATTTGTCCGTTGCCCTTGTCGTTGTTGTTGTAAACTTTTCACATTTTCATCTTCTTCTCAAGAACCACTGGGCCAATTTCAACCAAACTTGCCATAAAGTATCCTTAGGTGAAAGGGATTCAGGTTTGTTCAAATGAAGGACCATGCCCTCTTTCAAGGGGAGATAATTTAGGAATTAGTGAAAAAGTAATGGCATCTTTTAAAAATCTTCTTTTCAAGAACCACTTGGCCAGGAAAGATGAAACTCATAGTGAAGTATCCTCAGGTGGTGTAGATTCAAGTTTGTTCAAATCATGACCCCCAGGGGTCGGGTGGGGCCACAATGGGCGATCAAAGTTTTACATAGGAATATATAGGAAAAATCTTAAAAAATCTTCTTCTCAAGAACAGCAAAGCAATGATTGGTCATATTTACATGGAAGCGTCCTCAGGTAGTGGTCATTCAAATTTGTTCAAATCATGACCCCCGGGAGTCGGGTGGGGCCACAATGGGCGATCAAAGTTTTACATAGGAATATATAGGAAAAATCTTAAAATATCTTCTTCTCAAGAACAGCAAAGCCATGATTGGTCATATTTACATGGAAGCATCCTCAGGTAGTGTAGATTCAAATTTTTTCAACTCATGACCCCTGGGGGTCGGGTGGGGCCACAATGGGCGATCAAAGTTTTACATAGGAATATATAGGAAAAATCTTAAAAAATCTTCTTCTCAAGAACAGCAAAGCCATGATTGATCACATTTATATGGTAGCATCCTCAGGTAGTGTAGATTCAAATTGTTCAAATCATGACCCCCGGGGGTCGGGTGGGGCCACAATGGGCGATCAAAGTTTTACATTAGGAATATATAGGAAAAATCTTAAAAAATCTTCTTCTCAAGAACAGCAAAGCCATGATTGGTCATATTTACATGGAAGCATCCTCAGGTAGTGTAGATTCAAATTTGTTCAATTCATGACCCCCGGGGGTCGGGTGGGGCCACAATGGGCGATCAAAGTTTTACATAGAAATATATAGGAAAAATCTTAAAAAATCTTCTTCTCAAGAACAGCAAAGCCATGATTGGTCATATTTACATGGAAGCATCCTCAGATTGTGTTGATTCAAATTTGTTCAATTCATGACACCCCCCACCCCCGAACCACTTTTATATTTAAAATTTTCAACCTTTCAAGACTGAACTGATTTCTGCTTTTTCCTAGCCATAGTGCTCAGGTGAGCGATGTGGCCCCTGGGCCTCTTGTTTTTTTTGCCAGGGTGAAGAGGGCTGGTCTAAAAATTTTAAAGAGAAGTTTGCAGAGATGGTCACAGATCAGAAGCTGACTGCCACTACGAGAGAAATTTTAAGTAAGTCCATGAAATGTTTTGTCCTCTACAGTTTTAAATTTCTGTTGTATAACAGGAATCAGTCAAGGTCACAAGTGAAAAAATTGCTATCAATACCATGTATAGTTGAACGTTGATATCTAGAACAAGGGTATCTCAAAAACCTGGGATATACCAAAGTTATTTGGCAGTCTCAACCACTTTTTTTTTAATGTTTAATTTTTTATCCCTATTATCTGCAGATATCTCGAAGATTAATCTTAGTCCCCTTGAGTTCAAAATAATGTGGTTTGACTGTATTTTCTCTACATTACTATATAGTTAAGGTTGTCATTTTTGTCTGGTCACCATTTATATATCAGTACAATTCCATTTATTAACATTCCTTTTCATGAACTTCTCAGGTGATGGTACACATACTGTTGACCTCTTCCTTTCTGATGCCACGACGAGTATCAATGACAGATTAGTCTCTGAAGGCATACTCAGAAAGTTAACAGAGGAGGAGCAGGAAGAGGCTTCACTCATTGGTGAACCAGGTAGGTCATTGTGATTAAGGGTCAAAAGGTCAAGGTCAGTAAGTCGGTAATTCTACTGCAGAAAGTCCACAATATCAATTGAAGTAAGTCCACATGCACTTTCTCTAACATGATGAGTATTTTGAGTCTTTTTTTTCCAGAGGAGTTGGAGTTACCTTCAGATAATCAATGGGATGTCTATGTATCCTATATCCTCACCAGTACAACCTCAGTCATGATCAGACTAGTGGGGGAAAACTACTCAGTAAGTCCACACTAAAAACAAAGAAAGTGTACAGTAAAACATTATGAAGTGCCAGGGACGGATGATTTTTGCTTCATTATAAGCATAATTGTTATATTCATCAGGTTCACAATATATTTTAAATTCATGGGGAATGAAAATCACTTTGCTGTAAGCATCAGTTCATTATAATTGTGTTTGCTATAAGTCTGTTTTACTGTGTAATTTAATTCAATAACTTGTTCATTGATAAACGTTAGAAGTTTATTTTTCAACACAAAAGATGACATAACCAGGTCATAGGTCATTTGTACAAGTTCAAGGTCACTTGCAGAAAAAAAGTGTTTCCACTCCTGGTCATATCTTGTAATGGAGAAATATTGAAAACTCATGCATGGATTCTTGTGACATAAAAGATCCAAAGGTCATTTGAGCAAGGTCAAGGTCACTGGCAGAAAAAAAGTAAAAATTGTACACAGTCCATAAGTTTGTAAGAGAGAACATTATCATTATGTGCATTTGCTTTTAAGTTCCTATTCAAAAACCTACAAAGATTGCACCTATCTCTGTCCTTTGTCCTTTTATTTTAAGCTGATTGTGTTGTAGGACAAACTGGAGGACCTAGAGAGGAAGCTGGAGGAAGCTTTCCACTCCGCTCCTGAGGATGTGGAAATTAATGAGGGACAGGTGTGTGTGGCATACCTGGACGAGTTGTTCCATCGTGTCAGGGTCATCAAGAAGGAGGATAAAAAGGTAGAGGACTTCATACACTCCTATCTTGTCTTCTCTCTGGTGATAAAAGTCTCACTGTGCCTTCACATCTCTATTGATTCTTTTGTATTGGTTTATCAAACTCAAATTAAACAAACAAAACATAGAGAGTTGTAATGTTTAAAATGACCACATTTCTCTATTGATTTTATTTTTATTTTTTTGATAATATATATTTTGTCTGTGGTAGTATGAGTGTTACTTTTTGGATCATGGTGATGTAGATGGATTGATTCCAGACCAACTCCGAATTCTGGATCCAAACATCAACAAACTTCTCCCCTACCAGGTATTTTTGCAGGCACCCTTCTACTTAGTATTACAGCTAGTGGAGTGAGATGTTGGAAGAAAAAATAGTGGAATTTTTACTGCAGAATCAATTCACTTGAGAGTTAAAATTGTATCAATAATCTCTGATGAGACTTATAATAAAGTGGTTCCAATTAAAACAGTCTGAAGAAAATAGGTGATGTATTTTCATTTTCTGTAAAAAGTATAAAAGAAAATCATTGTTGGCATAATGAGTGGAGCAGCATGCCAAAAGAATTTCAGAAGAGCTTCTTTGAATTCAGATAGGGACTCTGTCCTCCTAAGCTATTTAAAAATTCTGATGTAAATCAAACACTTTACATTTGCTTGACCTCTTGATCTTTGACTAGTAGAAATTCAAAGAAGGCTTTCTGATTATTTCATGATGATAAAAATCTGAGATTAAGATTGCTTTCCATTCCCTACTTTTTTTTAGTGATTATGCAGTAAATTTGTGTATTTTTATTATAGGCCTTTGAGGTCTCTTTAGATGGTTTAGAAGCCTATGCAGGAAATGTAACTGCTCCAGAGAAATTATGTGACATGGCACTAGGTAAAACTCTGGTGGCAGAGGTCACAGCCAGGTAAGATAGATTGCCAGTGTACCTGTAAAATAAAATGACTGGTAAGATAAATTGCTAGTGTACCTGTAAAATTAGTAAAAAGCCTGGTAAAATAGATTGCTAGAGTACCTGTAAAATTAGTAAAAAGACTGGTAAAATAGATTGCTAGTCAGAGTACCTGTAAAATTAGTAAAAAGCCAGGTAAAATAGATTGCTAGTGTACCTGTAAAATTAGTAAAAAGCCTGGTAAGATAAATTGCTAGTGTACCTGTAAAATTAGTAAAAAAGAATGGTAAAATAGATTGCTAGAGTACCTGTAAAATTAGCAAAAAGAGTGGTAAAATAGATTGCTAGTGTACCTGTAAAATTAGTAAAAAGAATGGTAAGATAGATTGCTAGAGTACCTGTAAAATTAGCAAAAAGAGTGGTAAAATAGATTGCTAGTGTACCTGTAAAATTAGTAAAAAGCCAGGTAAGATAGATTGCTAGAGTACCTGTAAAATTAGTTAAAAGAGTGGTAAAATAGATTGCTAGTGTACCTGTAAAATAAGTAAAAAGAATGGTAAAATAGATTGCTAGTGTACCTGTAAAATTAGTAAAAAGCCAGGTGAGATAAATTGCTAGAGTACCTGTAAAATTAGTAACAAGCCAGGTAAGATATATTGCTAGAGTACCTGTAAAATTAGTAAAAAGCCAGGTAAGATAGATTGCTAGAGTACCTGTAAAATTAGTAAAAAGAGTGGTAAAATAGATTGCTAGTGTACCTGTTAAATTAGTAAAAAGCCAGGTGAGATAAATTGCTAGAGTACTTGTAAAATTAGTAACAAGCCAGGTAAGATATATTGCTAGAGTACCTGTAAAAGGACGAGGTATGGTAACGGCCAAATAGGCCCCTTATTTGATGTAAAAATCAGAGTGCAGTTAAAATTGTGATAGTTCGTAGTTAAGAACTCAAAACGATGCTTGTTTTAAAACAAGCACTAATTTTGATTCAAAACTTACACAGAGGCCACAAGAGGGTGCAGAAGTAGGACATTTTCCTGAATTTCCTCAATTCTGTTGGAAATTTGTCAAATTTGAAATACTTTTCACTTTGGGAAACATAGAGCACAAGCTTGCCTATCTGAGATTTTTATACATAAGATGAATCTGAAACTAGTGTATGAAATATATAAATCTGGTAGATAGGCAAGCTTGTACTCTATGTTTTCTGAAACAAAATGTGGTGTAAAATCGATGGAAATTCACATAAAAATGAGAAAATTCAGAAATTGACATATTTTCTGACCTTCCTGTGACCTCTGTGTATCCCATAATTTGGAACCAATACTCATTTAAAGATAGGGGTGACAACAGGTTTTTATTGATAAACTGTGGCATCATTCTAAAAGACACCCTAAACCAGGGGCCAAAAGGGGGTCTTAGCCTATCTTGTCCTTTGTAAAAAGACTGGTAAGATAGATTGCTAGAGTACCTGTAAAATTAGTAAAAAGCCAGGTAAAATAGATTGCTAGTGTACCTGTAAAATTAGTAAAAAGCCAGGTAAGATAGATTGCTAGAGTACCTGTAAAATTAGTAAAAAAGAATGGTAAGATAGATTGCTAGTGTACCTGTAAAATTAGTAAAAAGCCAGGTAAAATAGATTGCTAGTGTACCTGTAAAATTAGTAAAAAGCCAGGTAAGATAGATTGCTAGAGTACCTGTAAAATTAGTAAAAAGAATGGTAAGACAGATTGCTAGAGTACCTGTAAAATTAGTAAAAAGCCAGGTAAGATTGATTGCTAGTGTACCTGTAAAATTAGTAAAAAGCCAGGTAAAATAGATTGCTAGTGTACCTGTAAAATTAGTAAAAAGCCAGGTAAGATAGATTGCTAGAGTACCTGTAAAATTAGTAAAAAGCCAGGTAAAATAGATTGCTGCAAAATTAGTAAAAAGCCTGGTAAGTAAAAAGCCAGATAAGATGGTTAGCTGGTGTACTGTAAAATTAGTTAAGAAGATCAGATTATTTTTATCAAATATAAATATACTGTACATGAATTTCCTCAAGTTTTGTGATCAGTAAAAAGAAGATGTTGCACTTCTATGGGTGACTTGTGGACCAATCATGCAACCCTTTTATACAGCTTTATTCATAAGCAAATGATTTACATATGTGTAAATATAGCATATATCACTATAAATCCACTTAAATAATATATGCAAAAAAAAACTCCTGTAAGCATATTTGCACCTAGTCAGAGACAGGTGCAAAACTCTTTTCTCATATGCAAAAGAAAATACTGTGTGCTAAATTGTTCAACTGCGGTGTTTCTTGATGGAGAAAGCTTTCAGTATAAGCTTTCTACTGATGAAAAGATCAGTCTTATTCTTAATTCTAAAATTCTTCAACAGTAGTTCATCTTTTAATTATACCCCACGCAACAAGTTGCGGGGGGTATAATGTTTTTGACCCATCCGTCAGTCCTGTTTTTTTGTCAGCGCAACTCCTCATAAACTGCTGCACAGAATTTCGTCAAACTTTGCAGATATTTGGGACACAATGTGTAGATGTGCATATTAGCAGAAAATTCCGATTCCTTTATTTTTTCTGGGAATTTCGGCACTTTTCAACTTAGATTTTTGGCCATATCTTGAATATAGAGACGAACAGTTTGTCAGCGCAACTCCTCTTAAACTGCTGCACAGAATTTGGTCAAACTTTGCAGATATTTAGTTCACAGTGTGTAGATGTGCATATTACCAGGAAATTCTGATTCCTTTATTTTTCTGGGAATTTCGGCACTTTTCAACTTAGATTTTTGGCCATATCTTGAATATAGAGATGAATAGTTTGTCAGTGCAACTCCTCTTAAACCGCTGTGCAGAATTTGGTCAAACTTTGCAGATATTTAGTTCACAGTGTGTAGATGTGCATATTACCAGGAAATTCCGATTCCCTTATTTTTCTGGGTATTTTGGCACTTTTCAACTTAGATTTTTAGCCATATCTTGAATATAGAGATGAACAGTTTGTCAGTGCAACTCCTCTTAAACCGCTGCACAGAATTTGGTCAAACTTTGCAGATATTTAGTACACAGTATGTAGATGTGCATATTACTAGGAATTTTTGATTCCTTTATTATTGCCATAAGAGTTTTGCCTATTATTGAAGAAACTTTCTAGCTAGGTAATAAGGAAATCCACTGGAATCAGCTTTTGTAATGAAATTTTATGTGAAATATTTTATGACCTTAAAAGACCCCTATTGATTTTGAGATCAAATTATTAATAATTTAACACACACACAAAATCTTGGATAGTTCCCCCCCCCCCCCCCCCCCCCCCCCAAATTGGTGCTTTGCCTTAAATAATTTCATAAGTACAGTATATAAACAAATTCATATGACTACATCATAATTTTGTTTCCATCAATTATTTAAATGTGTAAATTATCATGTGTTGGACATGGACTTACACTCATTAACAAATCGAAATCATTGAGGAATTTAAATAACAGTTTGTCAGCATAACCTCCTGCACTGAATTTCCTGAAATTTTGTAGGTATTTCAGACATAATGTATAGATTTGTATATTACCAAGAAATTTTGATTCCATTATTTATCTAGAAACTTCAGCCCAATTAAATTTGTAACATACAAAGATTTGAATGGCCTTGTATGCAAGAAGTTTTGAGGTGATGATTTTTTGCAAGTAATGCCCCCTTTTTAATTTGGGGGAGCGTGGGATATGTGAGCTTGCTCACTTTTTCTTTCATTCTGTAAAAACCATCATCTCAAACTTGATAGTGGGTTTCTTTTAATTTAACATTCAATAAAGTATCATAATGTAATTCCAGTGCCTTACAATGTACATATGAAAGGATTCACTTTCTCCAGTTTGTGGCCAGTTTTAAGAAAATCATGATAAAAAAAAATAAAATTGTAGATTACAAAAGCATTTATTCACAGTACATAAAGTCAAAGGAGACACGCAGTAAATTTAAGTCTGCACACAGGAGCAAATATTATGAGAAAATTTCTCGTATATGCATGTATGTCTTTTTGATTTGTTATACATAGGAAATACAAGTAGGGTAGATTTTTTCTTTACAGAGATGGAATTTTTTCTGTTGTATTATATGACACGCAAGGCGACACAGACGTAAACATTAACCAAGAAATCCTAAAAGCTGTACAGCTTGAAGCGGAGACATCACTGCTTGCTGCTGCCGGAAGTAACCCCCAGTCCACTGAGTCGTCCCCCCTTCCACAGCGTAGAACCACTGAATTATCAACCCAGCCAAACACAAGTCCCCAATCTCTCTCTCCTAAAAGACAACCTCAGAACTCAGTGACAAGTAATACTCAATCAACATCTGTACAAGTTCCCAAAGGTAAGATTTGCTTCAAGTGGAATTGCATTTTAGTTGTGATATAGTGTTATCTTTTCCCTTGGAATATACCCAACACTTGTCTTTGTGCTACTGTAGATTCCCAAATAATTTTGTGTGAAGGACCACTCGCGAAATAAAATTACTCGCTTTTATTTTCATGATGCTGAAATCCATGTAAAATCTATAGATCAAACGTCTACATGTGTGTACTTGCGAATTATTGTTCTCGTGATTTGACATCTAAGGGCCATTATGCAACATAAAGTAATCGTGTAAAATAAGGAATGTACAGTATTTAAAAGACTAGTTATTAAAGAACTGGAAAAAAGTTCACTCAAATGTTTTAATTGCCAAAGGTTTACAGATTTATCTAAAGGCTTTTAGCCCTATATGTATTGAATTATGTTTTCCTATTTTTTCAACTACGTATTGATTTGATGCAGAGTCTGAGCCTCTAAAGAAGAATTCAAGAGACGGAAAGGAAGGAGGAACAGATTCCTGGGAAACAGAGAGCGGTGAGGGATCCTGGGAAACAGAAGAGGAGGAGGTGCTAGAGGGAGCGGTGTCCAGCAAAAGAAAACCCGTGTCATCTGGTGCGGTACCGAAATCCACACAAAATAAAACCTCAGACAGAAAAAAATTACATAATGTGATAGAAAAGAGTGGGGAAAAAATCCAGATTAGTGGTCCGGTGAAAGAAATGACTCAAGGATTATCTAGTCTAACCACACAAGATACTGTGATATCAGACTCTCCTTTGGCTTCAGAGGCTTCAGCTCAGGACCAGGGGACACAGAATCTCTACACATGGAGAAGTTCAGGGAAGCCTCCAGAAAAAGTGTCATTTAATCATCCATATGAAAATGATGAAATCGCCTTAATGCATACCGAAGTTTATAATACACGCCCAGTGCCAAAGACTTTTGTGACTCCACCAAAGGGGGAATACCTTGACATCCATATAATAAATATATTCGATCCAACAAACTTTGTGGTAAGTGATGCCATGCATTTTTAGCCACGAGGAAGTTGGACAGGTGTTTATTTTAACATCCAAAATAATTTGATACTCTATTCAAATAAAGCAGATCTTAGGAAAAAGTATAATCTTAAAAAAAACTTCTATCCATAAATATATATGGTTATGTTTTGAAACGCTGTGATTAAGACCCCCCCCCCCCCCCCCCCCCCAAAAAAAGTTCACAAATCAACAAAATTTAATTGGCACAAAAAGTTTCTGCTGTTGCAGTATTCAATTTTCTTTTTAATTTCATCTTTGAAATTATTTTTGACAGTGCATACCTTTCCAACATATGACAGAGTCAGAAAAACTGCTGAATGAAATGTTAGAATATTTCAATTCCCAAAAAAGTCTGGTAAGTACTTCACTTTTTTTGTTTTTGTATTTAAATAGAAAGCACATATTTAATAAGGCTGCTCATTTTTTATACATTTTATGTCATTTCTTTTTGAAAATGATTGAGCGAGAGCCTTTTTAGCTCTTCTAAGTGAAGGCTTTGAAAGCGATTTCTGTGATGTGCTGATTTGTTGAAACATGGCTGATAATCAAGAAACTCTTGGTCAATATTTATTGTCATATAATTTTACATATATACTCAGTAAATTGATTTGACAGACTTTAAAGGATTCAGACTTGGTGGAAGGACAGATGTATGCTGGAAATAAAGATGATATGTGGTATCGGGTTGTAGTCAAAAACAAGATCACCTCCAGAAACCTTGTGAGTATAGTGAATAAGAAATGTACCACCTCTACATATTGTCTGGGTAAAAATTCTCTAAAGACTAGAGTAAAAATCTAGACCAATGAATGTACATATAGTGTATTTCAAAATGGTTATAACACAGACGTGATACCAATTCCCCCCCCCCCCCCCCCCCCCCCCCCAATTTGTTGTATGAACTTGGAAGGAAGGGGTCCTGTCTTTATGTACCTGAAAAATCTGTTTCTTTACCTTTGACCCAGTTTTGAATTCACGCACAGAAAATGATAACAATGGGGGGCAGTAATTCCCCTGTATACAGTAGTTATCCATTGCACTGTTTGAACCAAACCTTTGAATTTTGCATGGGAAGTTTTTATATCCTTACTGGTTTTTCTGTATGGTTTATATATTTCTTGTTAATAAATTACCCATGTATATGACTTTTCCTCTTCCTAGCTGTAATATTTATGACAATTTAAAATTTGCCCATGTATATGACTTTTCCTCTTCCTGGCTGTAATATTTATGACAATTTAAAATTTGCTTTTTATAAAGTCTGCTAGACTCTTTAAATGTCAGTCCTTAATTATGTGTAAATGAATTCTGTTACTCACTGTACTTTTTTGCTGAATCAACTTTTTTATATATTAACAAAAATTTAAGGACATTATTGAATAAACCAGACCTCCCCCCCCAAACACAGTTATATATGAACTGTATTAGTTGGATTTGTCACATTATTCTTTTATTTAGTCTCTAAAGAAAAGAAAATGAGTTTCCCTCATTAAAATTGATAAGAAATAATTCTCGTAAAAAAAGTCTGCAAATTTTTCCTTTTATTAAATTTTTTATTCACAAAATGAGTCGGATTAGGTGGCAGGCACAGTTTATTTTAACCCTCTGCTCAAGTCTGCAATAAAAAATAAACACAGTCTGATCCAATCTATTTAGCCCTCTGCTCAAGTCTGCAATAAACTTAAACACAGTCTAACACAGTGTATTTAACCCTCTGCTCAAGTCTGCAATAAACATCAACACAGTCTAAACACAGCTTATTTTAGCCCTCTGCTCAAGTCTGCAATAAAAATAAACACAGTCTGACACAGTCTATTTTAACCCTCTGCTCAAGTGTGCAATAAACATAAACACAATCTGACACAGGCTATTTTAACCCTCTGCTCAAGTCTGCAATAAACATCAACACAGTCTGACACAGGCTATTTTAATCCTCTGCTCAAGTCTGCAATAAACATCAACACAGTCTAACACAGCTTATTTTAGCCCTCTGCTCAAGTGTGCAATAAACATAAACACAATCTGACACAGTATATTTTAGCCCTTCTGCTCAAGTCTGCAATAAACATCAACACAGTCTAACACAGCTTATTTTAGCCCTCTGCTCAAGTCTGCAATAAAGATAAACACAATCTGAGGCAGATGAACTCTCTGATTCTTAGGTGTCCAGTAATGAAATTTTTTTATGATAATCAGGAGAATTATGTAGTGAAAAATTAATTTTCTTTCTCTGGTGTGTCATGTTGTTAGTGTGAAACGTCTCACGCATGAGTTATCTACCTTGAATTTAGTATTTATTTATATGTGCAGTATTGTATTATAAAATACCTGTGATGAATTTCTCTGATTTTACAGGCTTCGGTGTACCTGTGTGACTGGGGAGAGTTTACCATTATGAGTGTAGAGGCAATAAAACCTCTTCCTTACTGCTTCACCAAACTCCCACAACTGGCATTCAAAGGAAAACTTTACGGCAAGTTATTTTTATGAAGTTGTGTGTTTTATATTTAGCTCACCTTGGATGGCTTGCTTCATCTGTACAAATATAACAAGGAAGAATTAATGCAGTAAGGAGCAGTGCCAAGATGAATTTATTCTCCATGTAAAACTAATGATTAACTGGTGTCAGAAAGTATTTATGAATAGATGAATATACATGACTTTAAAATGAATGGTCAGGATATTGTAGATCACCAAATTTATTTTCACGAGTTTCTTGGTATTTATAAACGAGAAAAATTTATAGGCAGGTTATTATTGTGTGTTATCTCTAATACAAAATTACAGAAATACAACCAGAAAATGAAGTTTTCATGAGCTGACAGTCATGCCTAAACATGCAAAAGTTCTCTCGAATAAAAAGTGATTATTAAACATAGCTGAATTCATATAAAAATAAACAAAAAAGGTAAATACAAATATTTAAAGTTAACATCTCCAAAGCATCTCAGTTTATTCTTATGATGTACTCTATTTTCAGGGGTGAAGCCAGCAAAAGACTCTCACATGTGGAGTGAAGCTGCAAAGTATAAATTTATCCAGATGGCTCACAACCGCAGCCTTGTGGCTCTGATTTGTGGGAAGGAGGAGGTGGGGGGACAAGAGCTGGTGTCAATGAGGCTGATGGACACATCAGATCCAGATAAGGATGTCTGTCTGGATGAAGTACTCCTAGAGATGGGGGTGGCAGAAAAAGTCCGGTTTACTTCATAATCTACAGAACTGGTCTTGGAATAGAGCAGTTCAATTACTGATGGAATTGAGCAGATACTATCAGTGTTTAACCCTGTATTTTACATTAAAATGAGTTTTATACTGTGTAAAAGTTATATAATATTGTGTCTATAGCAAAATATCCAATTTTCTTTAAATTTAATGAAAACATGTAGAATAGTATCAAAACACTGGACTTTATGCATTTGTATGCCATTTATTTTACAAGCACCGTTTATGTTTTAAATTGAAGGAACTTTGATCCCAAGCAAGATTGAAATTGTAGGTACACATACCACTTATATTAATGGTGTGTGTATAAGTTACCAAATATAATACTGTATACAGAGGAGGCTAAAAGCTTAGCTTTTAACACATTACTGAGGAATACTTCAGACTTTTGCAGTAAAGTTTTATATTTAAAGAGAAAACTGCTTTTGAAGTCATTTTAAAAATGAGTGTTTAGATATTAATACTTTGTATTGTTTGATGTTGAAACATAATATGTATAGAAATTTGGCAACTACATATACATAAGATTAATTGTCACTAAAAGTGCAGTTGCTTGAACAGTTTTTTCATCTGGGACTGCAGCATGACTTATTTCTTTTGCTATACTGTTGCAAATTTGTTGATGAATTAAATTTTAAAACTTTAATGATTTAATGGTTCTCTGTATATTCAGTAATTATTTTCAGACTGAAATGACTTTTTTTCATAGATGAAGAAAAAATTTCTGAATGAAAATGCAGAGAAATATACAGTCATGTATATTAACTCTTTCAGTATTAGTTTAACAAAGTCTGCAAGACTCATCTCTCTGTCAGTGAAAGATAAAGTATTTCCTGTATAATTGAGAGTTTGTTGAAAAAATAAATCTTGTAAATTCCTTATTTTTAGCCTGTGTACCTGAAGATTTTTTTTCTTCCATTTTTTAAACATAGGTAATCAAAGATTACGAAGCTCACCTCGACGAATGTTATCTACATGTAAGGCAAATTTCACATCATATTTTTTTTCTAGTTAGGGTACATCCCAAGATCAATGGCCATGCAAGTTTGATTTAATTATAGACCTGCATGCTCAAAAAACTTTTGACCTGTTTAGTAATCAAGAAAATTTTGGTCACTTCCAACATCCAAAGCAAGTCTGGAAGTTTTCATCCTTAGATGCACCATCTATGCAAGTTTAATCATAACAGGCCATAATATTATATAGCTACTCCAAAAAATTACCCTGGTCACTCATCTGGAAAATGTACATCAGATTCAGAATCCAAGGCAAGTCTGGAAGTGTCCATCCCTAGATACATCATCCATGCTAATTTGGTTAAAATATGGCTAAAATTCACTCATGTGGAAAATCTAGGTCAGATCCAGCATTCGAAGCAGGTTGGTTAGTGTACATCCCTAGATGCATCATCCATGAAAGTTTGGTCCAGGTAGGGCTTATAGTTACTTGGAAACGAGACTACTCCTAAATCTAAACCTGGTCTCACATGTGGAAAATCTAGGTCAGATCCAGCATCCGAAGCAAGTGTGGTAGTGTCCATCCCTGGATGCATCATCCATGCAAGTTTGGTCCGGGTAGGGCTTATAGTTACTTGGGAATGGACCTGCTCCTAAAACTTTAACCTGGTCACTCATCTGGAAAATCTAGGTCAGATCCAGCATCCGAAGCAAGTGTGGTAGTGTCCATCCCTAGATGCATCATCCATGCAAGTTTGGTCAAGGTAGGGCTTATAGTTACTTGGGAATGGACCTGCTTCTTAAACTTTAACCTGGTCACTCATCCGGAAAATCTAGTTCAGATCCAGCATCCGAAGTAAGTGTGGGCATGTCCATCCCTAGATGCATCATCCATGCAAGTTTGGTCCAGGTAGGGCTTATAGTTACTTGGGAATGGACCTGCTCCTAAAACTTTAACCTGGTCACTCATCTGGAAAATCTAGGTCAGATCCAGCATCCGAAGCAAGTGTGGTAGTGTCCATCCCTAGATGCATCATCCATGCAAGTTTGGTCAAGGTAGGGCTTATAGTTACTTGGGAATGGACCTGCTCCTTAAACTTTAACCTGGTCACTCATCCGGAAAATCTAGTTCAGATCCAGCATCCGAAGTAAGTGTGGCCATGTCCATCCCTAGATGCATCATCCATGCAAGTTTGGTCCAGGTAGGGCTTATAGTTACTTGGGAATGGACCTGCTCCTAAAACTTTAACCTGGTCACTCATCTGGAAAATCTAGGTCAGATCCAGCATCCGAAGCAAGTGTGGTAGTGTCCATCCCTAGATGCATCATTCATGCAAGTTTGGTCCAGGTAGGGCTTATAGTTACTTGGGAATGGACCTGCTCCTTAAACTTTAACCTGGTCACTCATCCGGAAAATCTAGGTCAGATCCAGCATCCGAAGCAAGTGTGGTAGAGTCCATCCCTAGATGCATCATCCATGCAAGTTTGGTCCAGGTAGGGCTTATAGTTACTTGGGAATGGATCTGCTCCTTAAACTTTAACCTGGTCACTCATCCGGAAAATCTAGGTCAGATCCAGCATCCGAAGCAAGTGTGGTAGTGTCCATCCCTAGATGCATCATCCATGCAAGTTTGGTCCAGGTAGGGCTTATAGTTACTTGGGAATGGGACTTGCTCCTAAAACTTTAACCTGGGACGCCGACGCTAACGCCGACGCCGACACCGACGCCGACGCCGGGGGTATAGCATAAGCTCATCTCGACTTCGTCGAGGTGAGCTAAAAACAATTATTTTTAAGTAAAAAAGCTCAAAATTACTTGCTGCTTTAGGCTTTAAATTTTAAACAGGAATTTTAGAATTAGAGGCAAAACTAAGTTGGCTTTCCTTTTTTAAGGTGTTTAGAATTTAGAATAGATGTTGATATCAAAAAATGAGAAAGGGTGCAGGGATGCACCCCAGATTTCATATAAATGTGGGTTTGATAGGGAAGGGGTCAGTGGCAACATTGAACCCCCTTACACTATCCTTGGTCTTCAGCTATGGAAAACCAAAAACTTAAGGTTTTTTCATGAAGGATTTAGCATTAGGTACAATTGTAATCATGAATTATGTGTGTTTTAAACAGATAATAAAAAAAAAGAATGGGGCAATCTTATTTGCAAGTGAAAGATACTTAAAGTGACAGTGCGGCTGCAAAACGTGCGCTTTTTCATTCAAATTTACCCAATACATCATTAAGAAATAAGATATAAAGTTGACGTAAGCAGTTTGAGAAACATAAACATTCTCTCTTCATACAAAATTCTAAAACGACACGTGCCTACACTGTATTTTCACTGTTGTAGAGAAGTGGACAAGCTTTCGCCTACATCCATATATATATATATATATATATATATATATGTGTGTGTGTGTGTGTGTGTGTGTGTGTGTGTGTGTGTGTGGATGTAGGCGAAAGCCTGTCCACTTCTCTAAAGAGAATAGCCTACACTGTAGAGTTTACAATTAAAATGGATATGAGGTAAAAGCAATTCTCAAAAGCAAATTATCATAACTTTCTGATAAAAATAATATAAAATAATAATCGTAGAGATTTTAGTCTGCTTTCAGACGAATTTAATATAATTAAAAGTACAAATGTTGACGTTTTGTGTATTGGGGTCCGAGAAAGGAAAAACCACCAAATCATACGTTATCGCTGCAAAATGTCAAACAAACTATTTTTCTGCACAGTTAAAAAGTTAGCACTTCAAATGGCAACAATATTTAGAAGTCATAGGTGTATATTTATGTTGAGTTTACACCAATTTTTTTTTTCAAAGCAATGGAAAACCCATCTTCGCTAGCCAAGGGTTTCTGATACGCTACTCTCCTCATAAACCGACGATATTTGCGTTCGGGATATATCTTGACTCTTTAATATCGGGAATGAAAAACGCAAGTAAACAACGATCCGTAAGATAACATGCCATTCTATGAATAGCTGTATGGTGTCATCCAACATCTTAAGCTACGTGCAAAATATGTGATTAAGAATCTATACTGAAGATGTAGATTTGCATTTTAACATGTTTAAATAACAAATTAACATAACTCAATACCTTCTTGTTAATTTTTCTTTAAAAACATTATGTTTTTAAATACGCTTTTTATTTCTGTCGATGACGCAATCTGTGCGAACCTGGTAAGAATCGTAATCACGTGACGAAAACAATCCCGTCTTTTGTCAGCACCGTATGCCAAGGGTTTATGAGGAGAGTAGCGTATCAGAAACCCTTGGCTAGCGAAGATGTGGAGGAGAGTAGCGTATCGGAAACCTTTGGCTAGCGAAGATGTGGAAAAACAAGTATCAACAAACCTGTGTAGTAGAGCCTTCGCGAGCCCCGCGTGAGTGTCGCCGAGTTCCCGTTTCTTCCTCATCCAACGATAATATTAATCCCCAAACTAAATTTTAGTCAGGAAAGTTGCTTTTTCAAGCTCTATTTTCAGTTTCGTTTTGGTCGACTTTGTCAATGTAGCAGGCTCTACCGGGCTTCCTTCTCTTACCATGCTGTTTTGTTTATGAAAACTACGCATGCGTGCATAGCATGGAATGTGGAACCCCGAACACGTTGCGATGTATATATTTATGTCCCATAAATAACTATTAATTTTAATGAAATAATCAAAGAGGGTGTTGCAGAAACTCGTGATTATTCCCTAAATCGAGAAGGTCATTTAAATACCCACGACGCTTGAAGAGTTATCTCTAAATAGAGATAATGCTACGTAGATGGCTTATTTGTACAGCGGGTATGTCCAGCTTGTTATAACGAAACATTTCACATTTTATGTTAATATCATGCATAGTTTCTGCTATATAGACTCGTACATCATTTTGAAAGATGTACTGTAAAAAGCGTGCGTTAATATTTTTTAAATATATACAAATGTGTCCAATAATTATGCTATTGATGCAATATCCAAGAAATTCCATTGAGTCATTTCAATTTAGTTGTTTCAAGCCACTAATTAACAGAACAATAATGAAACGAAATGAATATGAATAAATTAAATTATTTATATGATAGTACTTTATTTTTTAAGACATTGCCACTAAATAATAACATTAAATGTATGTCTTATTAGTTTTAGATCACAATATCAAAGAGAACAATTTAATTCTGCATGCATTTAAAATATTACCCATCAACTTTCTGACATTCTCTCCCTCTCTCTTTCTCTCCCAAGAGAGTTGTTACACTGTACTTCCATTATAGTGTATAAGAAAAAAAAATGTATATACCAGCCATTTCAGGATTCGAACCCATTCTCAGGTAAAAAGAATCTACACATAGAGTTCACACGCTTTACCACTAGACCAGCTCCGACACTGAATTATCTTGTGCTATTTTATGTACATACTTTGCATTTCGGGTGGATAATAATTTTTCTTCGATTTTTGTGATTTTCAAAAATATGCCTCTTTGAAACAAAAATCGGAAATGGCAGTTTTGAAGAAAACTCCTGTCTCTTTATGCGTATATCAAATTCATTCTGTTTCAAGGAGGCAATTTTCAGAACAATGGGGATTCCCTATGTGAAAAACAGAAAACTTGACTTATTTTGCTATGTGACTAATTTACACTTCTTTTAATGGCAAATTGGTAGTCGATATGCATTTTGCAAATATTGTTCTACATAGTGCTGTA